AGTGATTCCCCCTTGTAGGAGACAGTGAGAAGGCAAGAAAGGAAATTAGAAAGATCACTTAACCCTGGCTGGTGTGGCTTGGTGGGTAGAGCGTTGGCCTGCAGACTGAAGGGTCCCGGGTTTGATTCTGGTCAAGGGCACAGGCCTGGGTGGCAGGCTCGATCCCCACTAGGAGGCATGCAGGAGGCAGCCGATCAATGATTCTCTCTCATCAATGATGCTTCTATCTCTCTCCCTCTCCTTTCCTCTCTGACATCAATAAAAAATATACTTTTTTTTTTTTTTTAAATAAAAAGGAAGATCACTTAAAGGAGAAAGGAAATCCCCAAAATGAAAATTGGTCAGGATATAGTATAGATAAAACAGAATGAAAAAAATGTGTTTTTGCCTAAAGCACTGGTAAACCAGCCCCTTATCTGACAACTGTGAATGCAATATAAAACTGGCAAGTTCTTTTTTTTTTTTTTAAGAATATTTTTGTTTATTCCAGAGAGAAAGGGAGAAGGAAGGAGAGAAACATCAGTGATGAGAGAGAATCATGGATCGGCTGCCTCCTGTACGCCCCCCACTGGGGATCGAGCCTGCAACCTGGGCCTGTGCCCGGCCTGGGATTGAACCCTGACCTCCTGGTTCACAGGTCGACGCTCAGCCACAGAGCCACGCTGCTGGCGGGGCCTGGCTAGTTCCTAATGTGTCATGCTTCCTAAGGAAACATTCTTATCTACCCCCCTGGTCTCTGCTGTGCGTTGTTTCTGTAGGACTGCTTACGAGACTCCAGGAGCTGATTCTCAGTTACAACAAGATCAAGACTGTCCCCAAGGAGCTGGGCAGCTGCGCCGGGCTGGAGAAGCTGGAGCTGGCTGTCAACAGAGACATCTGCGAGCTGCCTCAGGAGGTCAGAGGGCAGTGCCGTGCCCAGTGCCAGCGGCCTGCTTCTCTCAGCGGGAGGGTCCTTAAAAGCAAGGCTCCCCATTTTATCCCAGGAAATAGGTAGTGAAAGCTGTTTCCTGCCATTTTAAGTAAAAGGTGTTGTTTAAATAGGGAAAACCTCTGCTTAGCATAAAGGACGCGCTGTTACTGTCACAGCACTGACATCCTTTACTGACCAGACTCTGATGGCTTGAAGGCCAGAGTGAGTCTTATTTCTGTTTCCTTGGCACAGCCTGGGATGTAGTTGATAATAAATGCTTATCGAGTGGAGTAATCGTCATCATGAAGCACAATGTGTTAATAGAAAAAACCCTTTGGTAACTAGCTGGTTGTTATAGAGTGCCCAGGTTGTTTTTAAAAATATTTTTTTTATTGATTTCAGAGCGGAAAGGAGAAGGAGAGAAAGGGAGAGCTAGAAACATCCATGATGAGAGAGAATCATGGATTTGGCTGCTTCCTGCATGCCCCTTTTGGGGATCGAGCCCACAACTCTGACCTCCTGGCTCATAGGTGGATGCTCAACCACCGAGCCACACCCGCGGGGTCACACAAACATATTTATGCTGATGTGAAAACAATTTCTTTATACTCTGTTTTGAGCCATTTAAAAATTGTAAAAATCTGACGACAGATTTTGAAAAAGTGTTTTATTCATGGCTTGAACTCTAAAGCTGGAGAGACACCAGTTACTAGATGGAGCATTTCTTATCCTAGATGGCTTCACACACATTGGGAGCATTAAACGTTGTTTTTGCTTGCCCAGCTGGTGTGGCTCAGTGGTTGAACGTCTACCCATGAGCCAGGAGGTCATGGTTCGATTCCCGGTCAGGGCATACGCCCGGATTGTGGGCTTGATCCCAGTGTGGGGCGTTCAGGAGGCAGCCTGGTCCATGATTCTCGCTCATCATTGATGTTTCTATTCCTCTCTCTTCTTTGAAATCTATAAAAATATTAAAAGGTATTAAATATACATAAATGGAATGACTAAACAGTAAATTCTGTGCCTGAGATGCCATTTCTAAAGCATCAGCACAAAGAAGAGGGTTCCATTAGAAATTATTTTGAATTTGAGCTTTTCCATACCAATCTCCACTCCTGGACGAGAGGAAAACGTGCTTACTGTGAGGAAGGACGGACGTCTCTCCCGCAGGCTGCAGGCCTGGGCCTGGGGTACTGGGAAGAGCCTTCTCCTGGGGTAGAGAGCTCTCTGTGGGAGCATGTTTCCTGTGCAGGAGGTTCTTAGCTTTGCTCTGGTGCCACCGGAGGAGAGAGGGCCCACGCCTCGGGGAGCAGTCACGGAGCTCCCTCGCCGGGTGCGTGCCCAGCTCGTTCCTCACTGGGGCCCCCTCGCTTGCCTCTGCAGCTCAGCCGCCTGACGAAGCTCACCCACCTGGACCTGAGCATGAACAGCTTCACCGCCGTCCCTCCCGCCGTGCTGAGCATGCCCGCCCTCGAGTGGCTGGACCTGGGGAGCAACCAGCTCCAGCAGCTCCCTGATGCCATCGAGAGGTACAGCCAACAGCGTCTAGTGCACCCGGGTTTCAGGGAGGAAGGAGAGGGGGGGAGAGAGAGAAACATCAACGAGGAGAGTCATGGATCGGCCTCCTGCACGCCCCCTACTGGGGACCGAGCCCACAACTGAGGAATGTGCCCGGACCGGGAATTGAACAGTGAGCAAAACTGGCTATCTGGCTTCCACAGTGTGACAAGAACATGCCGAAATGGTGACAATACTGCGTAGTGCATGCCACACAATTCTGTGCACTTTATGAATGGACAGTCGAGGAGGCTGGATCGCTTAAGGTCATAGGAAGTGTGCCATCGGGGATTTGAACCCAGGCCGCCTGGCCCCCGAGTCTGTGGTGTTAACCACACGCACACTTCCTTTGCCCTCTGAGCACATTAGCGATGTCTGACTTTGTTTCGGATTCGGTCCCATCTTTAAGAGATGCTATGGGAACAGTGAGGAAGTCTAGAGCACACGGATCTCACTGCCACCTCTGCACGGGGCGCGGTCCTGTACAATGAACCCCCCAGGCCGTCCGCCTGGTAAGCAGAGGCGAGGGGAGCTCCCTCGATGGGCGCGCTGGCCGGTGGAGGTGCTGAAGGAGGGGACACGGCTGTGATGGCTCAGTTCCTAAGAACCAGGATCCACACTGTGTGTGATGGACTCAGCGCAGAACCCTCCTTTCACCCCTCAGGATGCAGAGCCTGCACACGCTGTGGCTGCAGCGGAACGAGATCGCCTGCCTGCCGGAGTCCATCAGCCGCTTGCAGAGCCTGGGCACGCTGGTCCTCTCCAACAACAGGCTGCAGGACATCCCGGCGTGCATGGGCGAGATGCCCGGCCTGAGGTGAGGCGTCCCCGCACCGAACCGACACTCCCTCTCTGGCCGCAGAACAGCCACACGGAGAAATCACACAGACCTGAGTTCTCCTTCGGTGAATACAGGCATTTCAAAGATGTGTCCAGCTCGGAAACTCTTAATTTATAATAGGATTCAGATAATACCGGGTCCGTAAAAAGAAAGCAGTGCTGGGATTTACTACCGCCAAGGAATGCCCTATATTTTTAGTATGTTTTCATTGACTTCTAAGGAGAGGAAGGATGAGGGAGAGATAGTAACATTGATGAGAAACATCCCCGTTCTGGGGATCAAGCCCACAACCCAGGCCTGCGCCCTAACCAGAATCGAACCAAGATCTCTTGGTTTCTGGGTCAACACTCCAGAATCGAACCAAGATCTCTTGGTTTCTGGGTCAACACTCAACCACTGAGCACAACGGCCAGGCAAGGAACACCCTCTGTTGGTGACATTTTCATGAAAATCACCTCAGTTCATTACTATTAAAATTCCTTTAGTATCTTCCTCCTAAAATTCAACTTCTTGGCAGTGAACATGAGAATTCATGACAAATCCTAAATCTGTAACAAAACCGTTCATTCATTTATTCATTCACCTGTGCGGCAACTACTAAGGCGTGTACCAGATGGTGAAGTTACGATAAAAAGCCACTCGCAGGTCTGTAAAGTACGCATACTTTAAGTTTATTGCGTTCATTGTACAGACGGCCCTGGACATTATGGTGGTGCAGAAGTGATGTGTGTAATAAGTCACATGAGCTCCGTGGCACTTTGTTATAAAGCAGGCTTCTGTTAGGTGGCCTGGCCCACGTGCAAGCCGATGGGAGTGTTCTGACATGTGTCAGGGAGGCCAGCTGAAGCCATCTTATCGGATAGCTTTGGCGAATTTCATGCATTTCCGGCTTGCTTTCAAGTTACAGCAGGCCTTCTGGGACATAACCCCATTGTTGGGTCGAGGAACATCTGTGTTTGAGATGCATGAGACATGCCCTTGGCAGTTCTACTGCTCCACACTGAGTCTGTGCTGCTTGCTTTTATTTATTTTAAAATGTTTTTATTGATCTTAGAGAGGGAGAGGGAAAGAGAGAGGGAAAGACTGATGAGAGACACTTCCATCAGCTACCTCCTGCATGCCCCTCCTGGGCATGAGCCCTGACAAATCGAACCCGTGACCTCTTGAGCATTGCAGGACGCCCAGCCGAGTTGCACCCGCCAGGACTAACAGTTGCATTTACAAGCTCTGGAAATCAGTCACCTCAAGCTAACATTTTCTTCTTCTAGAAAAGAAACTGAAAGATTCTCAGGATATATCACATCCCACCGAGGCGTTCAGTTTTTGGAACCATCTAGAAAGAGTCCTTTAGAACATGATCATGCGGTGTCTCCGGGGAAGAAAGAGCACCCTCCACGGCACCTATAAACCTGTTTTTGGCATCTGCTAGGTTTGTCAACTTCAGAGACAACCCGCTGAGACTGGACGTGACCCTTCCCCCTGCGGCGAGCGCCGAGGAGGAGGGCGAGCAGGAGCTGTTTGGCCTCCAGTTCATGCGCGCCTACATCCAGGAGGCCCGGAGACAAGCAGGAGCGCGGCTGGCACCTGACGCAGGTTCGGAATTTCTTTTCCTTCCTCTGGAGGAGGCTTATGTGCGTGAACTCCTTTGTGGGTTTCTTCTATCTTTTTAAGACATGTTTTTATTGATTTTAGAGGGAGAGGAAGGAAGAGAGACAAATGGAAGCATCGATGGGAGCGAAACACATCCATCAGCTGGACCCGCAGGCTCTGCAGGTGAGGAACCGCTAGGTGCATGTCCCACACACCAGTCAGGATGCGAAGGGAAAAGAACAGGGTTGGGGAAAACAGTAATTGACCCACGGCTGGCATACTGAAGGGCAATCTTTACTCCCCATAGAGAAGGTACCCGTGTCAGAAACACAGATGGGCCACAGACTGTGTGATTGTGTGTGTGTGTAAAGGTTTTATGAAACTTAAGTGATTATGCCTCCTATAACGTAATCACTTATTTCTGGGCATGAGCTGTTGAATGGCACAAATTGGATGATATAATGTAAATGAGCATCGTCTGACCCAGTGTATCAGGCTAGTTATTGAGTGATGTATTATCTTCATTTATATTTCCTTGAATGGGGGAGGAGGGCATGAGTAATTAACTTAAAATATAATCAAACTACCTTACCTTACTAATATTTTGCATGCAACTTATAACAAGAGAAAAAGGTTGTAACTTAAACAGTCAATACAATCAAGTTTGCTTATTATTTAAAATGATGATAAGCTCAGAACTAGCACCATTTAGAACAGTTAGTAATGAGTATTAACTGTGCTCCGACTGTTCTAAGTATTTTACATTCATAATCTCATCTTATGTTCACAACCTTTCGAGGTAGGCTTTATTATTGTCGTCACCCCCCTTTTAAGAGGAAATTGAGCCCTGACTAGATTGGCTCAGTGGATAGAGCATCAGCCTGTGGACTAAAGGGTCCCAGGTTCGATTCCAGTCAAGGGCATGTACATGGTTGTGGGCACATTCCTAGTAGGGGGTGTGCAGGAAGCAGCTGATGGATGTTTCTAGCTCTCTATCCCTCTCCCTTCCTCTCTGTAAAAAAATCGGTTATATATATATTTTTTTTCTTTTTCTTTTTTTTTTTAAAGGAAATTGAGGCACAAAGAGATTAAGTAGCTTGCCCAAGGTCATACAGCTGAGAGGTGGTAGGCCTGGGATTTGAACCCATGCAGTTTCACAACACGTGAGATTAAAATAAAATAGAAAAGTCAGGAATTATAAATAGGCTGTTTAATTTACAATTCATGTGACCATAGACCTATAAAAAAGTTACCTAAGAGTATCATTAATGCAAAACTAGTAATTCTGAATCTTTGTCTTGGCAAACATGCCATGATTAACACATCTGTTTACAAAGAAAGGCAGAATTACTCAAGGATGAGATGTGAAAATCAGTCCCACCATGTCTGGCTTACTGTGGCTGTGCACAGAAACGCTGAGTTAAGTGGGGCTGTGTGTGGTGTTTAGTTCACTACCTAATTCTCACTGCACCCCCAACTCTTTTCCTAAACCAGAGAGAACACACTTATATTTGCATTTACACATGTAAAAGTAGCCTGTTAAAAGATGTGAGATAATTAATCTCCAAACTTATTTGCAAATTTCGACTTAATTTGTGAAGTGGGCTTCTTAGTGTCTTTTTGGAAGTTCTAACTGCATAATACCCAACAGAATGAAATACCTTTTTTCTTCCCCTGGAAAACATCGCTTTGGCTTTGGAGTTTGCTTGAACAAATCCTGATAACATATGAACACAGGTCTGACCCTGGACATCTGAAGGCGAACTTACTGATTGATTATAAATAGCTCTGAATTGTTTGCAAAGGGAAAAAGCCTAACTGACGATTCTTTTCAGATCTGTGTGGGAAAAAACCCCATTTGGTTTCCAAAATTCATGTGACTGGAAAGTGACTATGCTAGTCCCATGGCAACCTGTTGTGTGTGTTTCAGATGCTGGAGCCAATTGCGCAACCTCTCCTTCCACCTCTCCAGACCCTACCTCTCCAGACCCCGCCCCTGCAGGCCCTGCCCCTGCAGACCCTTCCTCTGCAGGCCCCGCCCCTGCAAACCCCTTCTCTGCAGGCCCCTCCTCTGCAGACCCCACCCCTACAGATGCAGTCCCTGCAGACCCCGCCTCTCCAGACCTCGCCCCTGCGGACCCCTCTTCTGCAGACCCCGATGGCTGACAGGACCAGGCCCCTGCTGAAGTGACTTTGGTGAATTCTCTGGAGCCTGGACTCTTCTCAAGTAAAAAACAGAGCTAGTACCGAAGTGCAATGAGGCACAACGTTTTTTAAAGTCTGTGTTACCTGCTATAAATGGTATTTTCATGAGTATAAAAACACAGTGGGAGGCCTTGTTTGGTGGAAGACAGATAGCGTCCAGCTCCTTCATCAGGCAGTGGTGCCGGCGGCCGGAGCCTGGGCCGGCAAGGCGGTGAGCAGCACGTTCTCCAGGGACACGGCGGGGTCCGTGTAGCGCTGCAGCGCGGCCCGGAAGCCCCTCCGCTGCAGGTACTGCAGGCGGCCCTGGTCGATCAGCAGCTTGCACAGGCGCCCCAGCCGCTCCTTCTCCGCCCCGGGGAGACCCCTGCAGGGAGCACAGGGCGAGGCCAGGCTGTCAGTTTGCACAGGCGCTTTGGAGGCTCCTGCTCCCCGGGAGTCCCTGCTCCCCAGGCAGCTCCCTGTGACACAACGGAAACTCAGTCTGTTAACGTAGGGCCGGACACGTCTGCGTGAACGAACGTTGGCAGCGTTCGTCTGAGAACAGAGACGGTAGCAGACCCGCCCGGAGCTGTCCAGCTCCTCGTCACTCACCCGGGCCACGTCCCCGCGCGGTCCTCCGGGCCTCTGTGTCCCCCGCCATCATGCTCCTCGCCGTCCTCGCTCTCGTCCTCGCTCGTCCCGAGGGCGCTGGAGGCCTCCACAGCCGCCGTCCGCATCCCACACGTCGCCCAGCTGCTCATGCGCTGGAAATAGTGGAACTCCCGGGCGCCCAGGCCCTGAGCCCTGAAGTAGTCTTTGCCCACGTAGTGTCTCCAGTCGCACCTGTGGTGACAGCACAGAGCGACCACGATGCCAGCCACCGGGGCCCAGGCCTCCGCCTCGCTGCTGTCACCGCCGTCCTCGGCCGCGGCGTCGAGGCTTCTGTCCGCTTTATCGTTCCTGATGCGTTTGGCTGAAGGCTCTTCACGCCCTTCCTCACGGCTGGCGCCATACGTTTCCACCAGACAGCGTAACGCGAGATCTGCAAACACAGCCCCGGCCCACGGCCTCATCTTTCCCATGATCCTTTCCCATCGAAGGAGCACGATGGCTTTTAAAACCCCAGCCAAAAGCAGCCGCCTGCTTAGCTGTCCCCCAGCGATCAGTCTCTTCTGATCAGCTCTGTTCGGAGTTGCTCTTTTCTCATTATCGTCTCCCTTTCTTGAATGATCTTTTCTGCATAGAGTCTACTTCCCAGTAACACTGTCCGAAGCTTAAGATCTATAATAGTTTGCAAAGCCGTTCAGTCCAAAGACTGGGACTGACCTCAGGCCTCCCGCCCTGGCTGAGGAAAGGCCTGAGCAAATCCATCTCCCTACACTGACAAGCCACGGAGCTTTGCATCTCAAGGAAAGCCACAGAGAGAAACAAGAGGCAGGTGTCCGTGCAGGCTGGCGGAGGGGCCAGTCCTGAAAGGAGAGATGGAGGGAAGACGCAGAGGGAGAACCGGGAAGGAAGAGAGCCTCCGGGAGAAGCACGCCATTCAAGAAGGGAGCAGGAGTGCCCAGGTCTGATCTCACATGACCTCACTCAGGAGCGCCCATGTCTGATCTCACATGACCTCACCCAGGAGCGCCCATGTCTGATCTCACATGACCTCACCCAGGAGCGCCCTGTGCCTGATCTCACATGACCCTCACCTGGGAGCGCCCTGTGTCTGATCTCACATGACCTCACCCAGGAGCGCCCTGTGCCTGATCTCACATGACCTCACCCAGGAGCGCCCATGTCTGATCTCACATGACCTCACCCAGGAGCGCCCTGTGTCTGATCTCACGACCTCACCCTGGAGCGCCCTGTGTCTGATCTCACATGACCTCACCCGGGAGCGCCCTGTGTCTGATCTCACGACCTCACCCTGGAGCGCCCTGTGTCTGATCTCACATGACCTCACCCGGGAGCGCCCAGGTCTGATCTCACATGACCTCACCCAGGAGCGCCCATGTCTGATCTCACATGACCTCACCCAGGAGCGCCCATGTCTGATCTCACATGACCTCACCCAGGAGCGCCCATGCCTGATCTCACATGACCTCACCCAGGAGCGCCCTGTGTCTGATCTCACATGACCTCACCCGGGAGCGCCCATGTCTGATCTCACATGACCTCACCCGGGAGCGCCCATGTCTGATCTCACATGACCTCACCCGGGAGCGCCCAGGTCTGATCTCACATGACCTCACCCGGGAGCGCCCTGTGTCTGATCTCACGACCTCACCCTGGAGCGCCCTGTGTCTGATCTCACATGACCTCACCCGGGAGCGCCCAGGTCTGATCTCACATGACCTCACCCAGGAGCGCCCATGTCTGATCTCACATGACCTCACCCAGGAGCGCCCATGTCTGATCTCACATGACCTCACCCAGGAGCGCCCATGCCTGATCTCACATGACCTCACCCAGGAGCGCCCTGTGTCTGATCTCACATGACCTCACCCGGGAGCGCCCATGTCTGATCTCACATGACCTCACCCGGGAGCGCCCATGTCTGATCTCACATGACCTCACCCGGGAGCGCCCAGGTCTGATCTCACATGACCTCACCCAGGAGCGCCCTGTGTCTGATCTCACATGACCTCACCCAGGAGCGCCCATGTCTGATCTCACATGACCTCACCCAGGAGCGCCCATGTCTGATCTCACGACCTCACCCTGGAGCGCCCTGTGTCTGATCTCACATGATCTCACCCAGGAGCGCCCATGTCTGATCTCACATGACCTCACCCGGGAGCGCCCATGTCTGATCTCACATGACCTCACCCTGGAGCGCCCTGTGTCTGATCTCACATGACCTCACCCGGGAGCGCCCATGTCTGATCTCACATGACCTCACCCAGGAGCGCCCATGTCTGATCTCACATGACCTCACCTGGGAGCGCCCTGTGTCTGATCTCACATGACCTCACCCAGGAGCGCCCATGCCTGATCTCACATGACCTCACCCAGGAGCGCCCATGCCTGATCTCACATGTCCTCACCCGGGAGCGCCCAGGCCTGATCTCACATGACCTCACCGGGGCCACGAGCAGCTGAGCAGGCGGCCCTCTGTCTGCTCGCCCACGGGGCCAGTGCTGCCGTGCAGACCACCGAGCTGTGGCCACGTGACAGGAGCATGGAGAGACCCCTGAAATAGCAGGGCCACGCGCTAGGAACTCAAGAGATGCAGACGTGATGGTGACGGGTGTGCATGCTTACCTGTGGCCGCTCCACACAGGTGCTTTCCGATTCCCACCACGGGCAGCTTCTCCCTGCTCAGCACGGGAATCCTGTCTGCAGTAGGAAGAGAGGAGAACTCAGTCAGGCCCCTCGGGGGCTAAGGCCTTACGGGGCCTCCCACGCAGAGAACTAAGAGTCTGAAGTTTAGGGCTGAGAGCGACTCCAACAAACACTCGCACTTGGTGGTTCAGGAATGAGGCTCAAGGACGCAGTGGCTGGAGGAGGGGCACGGGGCTGAGGGCGAGCAGCGTGGCAGCCAGCTGCCCAGGCCTGGCCCTCGCGCCTGCAGGGTGTCATGTGTGGCTGGACTTCCAAGCAACCCGAGTTGGGAACATCTGTGATGAATGGCCGACAACAGAAAGCTACGCAACTCACTCAGACACAGGTGCTGGATGTCAATCTGAAGTCTCTGAAACACTGCATTTTCCTTTCTGTGTTTGCCATCTACCTGCACAAACAGAACATTATTATAACCGAGGCTTTTTGATGTTTCAGAAAAAGCTTTATGAAAACAAACCAGTGCTATTTGTTTTCAAAATCCAGAGCAAAACCCCCTCTAGGAGACATGCCCCGTTTACGAGGAAGTGCACGCACATCGGGGGCAGGGCGCGCCGGCCGCTCACCTTGAACCTCGTGGGCACCTTCTCTACGAGGATGAAGTGAACTTCTTCGGCATCTTTTAAGGCAACATCAACCCAGTGAGACAATTTCCCCTTTCCTGCTCCAAACTCAACAAAGCATCTTCTCGGGCCAAGTAACTTTAATTTCTCAATGTTACCTAAAATAGAAGCCTGCAAACCTCTCGAGATTATTTTATAAACGAGAGCAAACACATCCGGCTCAAGTGGGAAAAACAGCGGGAGGTAATGCTACAGAAGGCGGCGAGGTCACAGGGAAGATGTCTGTGCGGCTTTAAACTGTCTTCTCTTGTTTTGTTTGTAAACATTTAACACGCAGTGCTCAGACCCACAGGCAGGCCAAACATCCTAGCAGACGTCTGAAAGTGTTTTGGAGTGGGAGGGCTCCACCCGGAAAGGCAGGCCGAGGGAAAGCTCGTTAGTGTAATAGCTATGCTCGGAAGGAACAGAGTGTTAGCTGCTGACAGACCAGAGCATGTTCAGATCAGCGTGGCCTGCACGTACCTGCTGCTTCAGGTGTTTGGTGGCAGAATCCCCATTGTTAGGGTCATTAAGGGCATCATGCAATGCTGGGTGGGACATAATTTGATCTTTAAGTGTAGAGTTCAAACCTGTGCCAAACGCAAGCACAAGAGCTTAAGCAACCAAGCCCACAACCACGGGGCTCTGGACAGCGGTGGGCAAATCCTGAGCCACTGGTGCCGTTCCCGGACCACCTGACTGTTCTCACAACGCTTGGACTCGCAACGTTAGGCAGACTTACCCTCACTTACTTTTTTCAACTTCTTAATTAGAATTTCCAACTGCTCTTCAGGGAGAGAAGAAATTGGAACCTACATACAAAAAAAGGAGGAGTGAGTTGATCACCAAGAATATCGATTCTATAGGAAGATGCATTCTAAGTTTTAAAAAATTAACTTTTTCCAAACAAAAATTGGAACGCAGCTCATTCAACGTGGAGACAGCTTATAAATATTGTTTAAAAGTAAAAAGTCAAGTACTTACTAACTGTTCAGGTATTTCTGTTTCGTCTTTTAGGCCTGCATTAATATCTTGAATAAAAAAGTCCTTAATAAAAAAAACAAAAACAAAAAACCCACATAAAAATCATTAGCTTTGGGTACGGAGGATTCACCACAGGAGAGAACAGAGCAAAGACCTCTGTGCTCACGGATCTTCTAGTGAGTGGTTCCGTGAGCATCTGCAGTCTGAGAAACTCATCAGTAATTGTCTCTGAGAGTTTTAACCTCGCCACAGCGCAGACTGAGGGCTGTGTCAGTTCTGTTTACAGCGTTAAAGCAAAAACCAAGCATCAACTATACCCGTGGCTGCTGATCAGACAGGAAGCATGACCAACACCAGAGATAAGATACTGATGTTTCAACAATTTAGGTCTGATTTCTTCCACCTAAAATACTAATGCAAATAGGTAATCATTCTCTCTGGGAAGCCTTTCTTGGTCTCTTGGACTTAATTTTTATCACATGCGCGCTCCTTCCGTTGACCTTATTACAATACCAGTTCTTTACAGCTTACTTACCAGTTTCAAATAAGTCCCGTGGGAACCATTTAATTGGAATAACCCTAGGAGGCACTAAGAGAGTATTTTTGAATAAATGCATTGTGAAATTATTCTCTGAACTACACACTCTACTTGCATAAAATTCTATTATCTGAACGAGGACTCAGTCGGATGCAGAGCTGGCCTTCACACCTGCAAACGCAGTGACTGCATTCAAGCTTTGGTGACAAGGGTTCAATGTTCACATCTGTAATCTACTGCGTCTGTACCAACATCACACAGCACACGCTCACCATTCAGCTTTACTCATCAGCTACTTACAGGTTTTGGCTTCTCTCTTGAGTTGCATTTTTTCAAGTGCTTTGCTAACTGATCTTCGTACACGGTGCTACATTTGAAGAGAAAATTATTTAAACTAAGACTTGTGACAATTACTGTTTCCGGAACAGAAAAAACCCTTATCTGACCCCGTACTTACTGTTTCGGATCTAAAGGACACAGGATTCTTTTTCGAGCATTTTCTTCCTAGTAAAGAAAAAGGATATACTTATTTGAATCAAATATCAAATGCTTTGCTTACAGGTATTAGCTTTGCCTTTGGTGTAATCCCGAAACAAGGCAAAGATTCCTAAGTGGCCATTAATAAAACATGGGCACAGTGAGGTCACAGGGTTCAACAATCACAGTGTCCAGTGTAGCTTGCTTACGAAGCAGTGAGCAAACACTGCTTTGGACAACGAGGCTCTGCAGCTTCAAACAGGTTATAAAGAAAGCCTGCGTATGAAACTGAATCTATGAGAGCACCGACGAAAACACGCACTATTAGTGTAGGCACCACTGAGAGACAAAAAATAGCGCCAATTTAAGCTGTGATGTCATCGATTTCAGGATACATTCTGATTTCAGAGATGTTCAAAGGAAGGGTCTTAGAAATGATGCATCAGGACATTTTAACCATTTGTTAGGTGGCCAAATTCTACAGGCGAGCAGAGTCACTTCCTATTTGTTCCTAAGTCACGGATGGAACTATATGCACTAGGAACATTCAAAGGAAATTAGTGTGGGCAACGCTACCCAACATTCCCTGAGATCCGAGGGGACAGGGCAGTGCTCGGAGGCCTGGTTCTCAGTTCCACTAGGGGAACGTCTGTTACATTTTCAACAATAAAGATTAAAAAAAAAAAAAAAGATGAGCTATCACAGAACAGTCCCGGGGATGAAAAGCACCGCACAGGGAATAGAGTCCTAACAGTGTCTTAACCACTAAGTGGCCAGCTGGGTGCTGGCGTTATTGGGGTGGTGTGTGTGTGTGTGTGTGTGTGACCTCTTAAGTTATATGAATGTCTAATCACTTTTGTATACCTGAGACTAATAGAATATTGAGTGTCGACTGCAACCAAAAAAATAAAAATAAAACTCTGCCCCTCAAGGAGCTGGGGGTGGGTGGGGGGCGCCATCCTTGGGGTGAGTCCGGGTGTCCGCGCGGACTGTTAATTTCCGGGACTGGAAGTTGGGGCGCGGGGGGGGGGGGGGTGTCACTTGGTCAACACTACGCTGTTCACCTCAAACCACTACAAACTGATACCGAACGTCAACTGTCACCGAAAATGAAGACAAAACCTTTCCTCCCCCTTCCCAGCAAAGCAGGCGTAACGGGTTTTCAAGCTGTGCTTCTTTCAGAAGCTGCCGCCGCACTGGCGGAGGAGGCGGCGGGCCACGGGCCCCAGCGGGGGCGGCTCCCGGAGGGCGGCGGAGTGAAAAGGCAGAAAACCCGGGACACTGAGTCCGACCTCGGGGCGAGAGGGGAGGGGCGGGGCCGGGGAGCTACCGCACCTCCGCGGCGCCGGCGTGTTCGCCGCAGAACCTCCTGCCGGCGGCCGCCACCATCCTGCAGAACCTCTTCTTCTTCGCCACGTAGAACCCGCAGCGACCCTCGGCGGGGAAGCCGGTGGCGTGCGGAGCCGGCGCAGAGGCCGCCATCGTTCAAGGCCAGCGGCGAGCGAAGGGAGGGACAGTGGTCAGCTCCCCGCGGGAACCTTCCCTTATCAAAGATGGCCGCCTCGGGCCCGCCACGCCGGTGGACGCCGGGACTTCCGCTCGGTCAGCCCCGCCCCCCTGCCGACCGGAAGGAGGGGACGGTGGCCGGCAAGGTCCAACCCGTCTGCAGCTTCCGGCTATTCCTAAGCCCCGCCCCCTCAGCGGAAGTCGAGCGCCAAACTCAAACCTGAGCGGGACCGGACGCCGCCGAGGCGGGTGCCGGAGCCCGGCCTGTGGACGCGGCGCGCGGCGGCGGGACAGCGGTCCAGCATGAGCCAGGTCCTGTTCCAGGAGCTCGTCCCGCTGCAGGTGAAGTGCAGAGACTGCGAGGAGAGGTGAGCCCGCGGTCCCCGCTGCCTGCGGGTGGCGGTTGGGGTCGGCCGAGGGGGAAGATGGCGGCTCGGGCCGGTGGGCTGCGGCGGGCGGCGGGGTGTCGGGCCGGCGGCCCCGGGACGCGGGGTCGGGGGCGCTCAGCGGGGACGCGGGGCCCCCTGTCGCCGGGTGGCCGTTGCCGAGGACGCGCAGGGAGGCGGGGCGGGAGGCGGGGGCCGCCGCAGGGGGTGCGGGGCCGGGAGGGAGAGCCCGGGCCGCTTTGACAGCTGGGACTGGGCCCGGCTGCTGGGCCCGGTCTTGGGGTTCTGTCAGAAGTCCATTTGAGCTTCGCCTTCAGAACAGCCAATTTTTCTAGCGGTATCGCCCATTCCCACTTATGACAGTTTTTTAAGTGACTAAAATCGGCTGAAAACCATTGGGGCCAACCAGAAAGTCCAGTCACTCAGGTAAAGGTCGCCGACGGGCCGAAAGCCTGGCCCCGCGCAGGGGCCGTGGGGGCGGGGAGACAGCCCGGGGGGTAGGAATCAAGACCCATCGCCCGGGCAAACGCAAGGACAGCTTTCATATAGAGAGGTTGGGCCAGAAGTCAAATATATTTTTGTTGACTTCAGAGAGAGAGGGAGAGGGAGATAGAAACACTAATAATGAAAATCACTGATCAGCTGCCTCCGGCTCGCCCCCCAGTGGGGATGGAGCCCGCAGGTCCGGCCTGTGCCCTGACCAGGAATCCAAGGGTGACCTCATGATTCATATAATAGATGGAGGCTCAACTGCTGAGCCATGCCACCCCCCTGGCCCCCTTTGTTGATTTTATCGGGGTTACCTTGGCTGATAAAATCACGTAGGCTTCAGGTGTACAGTTCTGCGTTTTGTATTGTGTTCACCGCCCCACGTCAAGTCTCCTTCCATCCCCGCATGCACACCCCCTTTTCTCTCCTTAAACTCGCCCCCCAGGAGATGTCTTGGTTCCACCACTCATCAGGCGTCTCCCGGCTTCTCATGTGTAACACTGGTGTAACGTGCCTGCCAGGTGACTGTTAGGAGGGCAGGCGTGAACATGTGGCATGGAAAAGAGGCAGTGATTTACTGGGGAGTGTGAAACTAGTATGTAGTTCAGTGTGGTCCAGAACGCGCTGGCAGGCCGGGCAGCTGCGGACGGAGGTGTGCGGGCTGTTTCTGCCCGTCATTCTCTCCCGCTGCCCCAGTGCGGCCCCTGTGGCTGCGGACAGTTGAACTGGAACTGATCCAGACGGATGTGCGTGGAGTGAAATGCGCACTGGACTTCGAAGGCTCTCTGAAAAAGAGGGGTGTAGACTATCTCGGCTTTCCTGCTGATTATGTATAATAAGATGGCGATATTTGGGGTCTGTTGGGTTAAATGTGACTCTGGAAAACGTGAAATTATTATGTGGCTCATATTTGTGGCCTCCATCCTCTCTCGATCAGACACAGCACCGTTCTAGAATGAATATAGAAAGATGAAAGGTTCCAACATCGGAGCTCCTAGCTCTTCTCCATCTCATTGTGTTGTTGAGCAGAAAATGTTAACGGCCACAGCTGAAGGTCTTTGTGAAGCGAAGGGTCTACTGGGCCATTGCTAGGCATGAAGCCTCCACTGCCAGCAGCAGACCACGGGGAAAGCCGTGCTGGCGTGGGCGAGTGTTTGCATACACCGTGTGTGTGTGTGTGTGTGTGTGTGTGTGTGTGTGTGTGTGTTGGGGGACTGGGGTAAGTTGCTTTAAGAGGGTTTACACTGGTTTAGATAAAGGGGTGAAGCGGCTGGTTCTGGGCTGGGGGCGGAGTCCCGAAGGCAGTGTCTCTGCTGAGGGTTCGGTGTGGGCCGCAGAAGGAAGTTCACGTGTGAACCAGGAGCAGAAGCTCCTGGGGTTGGATGGTGCCAGGCTGTTCTCTCTCCGCCAGTCGCAGAAATGGCCACCTGGAAGTTAGCCCGCAATCCCACAGCTATTAACTGGTTAATTGCTCCTGTCTGCTGCTCTCACTCTCCGCCTCTCACTTACTAGTAACTGCGAATATCTCCGAATTTAAGACACGTGTCACCCTTTCACTCTCCTGTTTAGAAAGAAGCCTTCCTATCCGTGGCAGAGGGCAGCAAACTAGCTCCCATGGCCAGTGCCCACTGCCCATTGTGTGAGTAAAGCCTTCCTTTCATTGGAGCACAGCCCTTCTCATCTGTTAGGAACCCCCTGTGGCTGCTTTTAGCTACGAGGGCAGAGATGAGTGATGGTGACAGAGACCTGTGGCCTGCAGAGACCTGTCTGGCCCCTGACAGAAAAGTTTGCTGCTCCCTGACCTACGGGAAAACAATGCTGATTCTCTAGTCAAGTGTTCAAGGCACGTTCAGCTCAACACATAGATTTATGAGTGCCCACTACGCACCAGGAACTGTCCGAGGTGCTAGACTCTAGCAGCTAGAGCATGAAGCTCCTGCCTCCTCACTTCCAGCCCCACAGCAACAGAAACCCCGGTCTTCCTCCTGGCCCTCGGGAACCAGCTTCCATAGGGAGCCGTTTCCTGCGAGAGGCAGCCCCGCACCGGCTCAGGTTCAGCGGGGGCCACATTGGCTTGAAATCCCTTCATTTTGTACAGGCTTGTTGTCGGGTTCGTTTGTTTACTTGATGTCTCTGTGCCCATCTTTAAATCGGTGGTAAAAGTACCTGCCTCGTGGAGTATTATGAATTTGAAGTGAATTAGAACAAGCAGTGCCTGGAGCATAGTACGGATTCCCTAAACGTTAACTATTATTAACGTGTGATTAATGCGTGAGGTTTACAAATTACTGACGTCATGGGGAAGGAGGCAGGCCCGTGAGAGGTGGCACTGCTCGGAGACCTGTCTGGAGGGAAGTGGTGGAAATGTTGGCGCCCGTGATTTGACACCAACCCGCTTTTTCATTCTTGTCTCCTGAGCTCCGCCCTCATGTGGCAGTCACACGGGACGACTCATTACCCTCCGAGTGCAGCTCCTTCTCTCAGCCCTGCCTCTCGTCCCGCTCCCCTCGGCCTCCGGTGCCTCTGCCTTCTTAACTTCCAAGGTCGGTCTTAAATCCCGGCCACATGAGGCTCTGTTCAAGGTTGCCCGAGGTGAGATGAATTGACCTTATTTCTTGGATAACATGGTGTCGGTGGAAAGCCGGGGTGCTGGTTTGGGCTCGGCAGTGTGACCTTCCCCAGGTGTAGAGCTGCCCTCAGGTCCTCCCTGGAAGGGCCGATGGCGTTGGCTAAGGCTGCTGTCAGCCAAGGCGGAGTATGCCAGGGCTGGCAGGGGCTCAGTAGTGTGGGCACGCAGCCAGTGGGACTCTCCCCTCCCCTCCCCTCTCTGGGAGCCCACAACACAATCAGAAGCAAGCCTGGGGTCAGGCCATTGAATCGGATCTCTGTGAGGACTTGGACATGTTTCGGTTTGTAACCCTAGCACCCAGCGCAGTACCTGGCTTAGCGTGCCTTTCAATCGTTTGAATCGAGAGCTGAAGGCCACAGCTTCTGGGCGGGAGAGGTGGGCTGGAATCCAGGTCTGCTGATGCCAGGTTTACCTACCTGACCAGGAAGGTGCTTTGTAGATGTCTGCATTGTTCAGAATGTGGCGTCTATTCTGAGAAATAGCATGTTTATTGAGGTTTTACTGATTTGTTTTATAATGTTCCTATGGCATTAGCCATTACAATCGGTAAAACAGGATTTCAGATTTCAGACAGTGTACCCTCTGAAGCAGAGGTTTTTCTAGGAGATACTTGGGGAGGCTGGGGGAGTTCAGTACGCACGGGGAATAGCTTTAGTCCGGGCCTTTCCTCCTTTTCTCCCAACATCTGATGCATGTGAGCACTGGGAATACGTGTGACAAAGGCACTGATGATTGTGCTTTCCTCACACATTTGGAGTCGGGAAGGTTCTCTCCTCCCCATCCCCTAGGACGCTTAATTTAAGTGGAATTGGAGTAGTAATCTGATCTGTTTTACTTGTATTGTTCCAAATACTAGCAAAACAGAAACAACATTCCACGGGTTTAAAGATAATTCTTCCTACTTTAAAAAACAAAAACAAAAAACACGTTTTATTGTCTCTATTTAACAAACACTAATTCTCCCTACTTTTGTGGTGTTCCCAGCAGTGCTGGTTTCTTTTCAGCCAACAGACAGTCATGGTAACTCCTCCTGAGCTAAGGTTTAAGCCAATGTACAGTTGTAAGTCCGAGCGTAAAAATCAAGCCCTTTGGTCAGCTCTTCCCAGGTTTTCCCTCGTGCATTGCTCTGTCCACACTTGCTATTTCTGTAGCGCACAGCAAGTGGTGGGCTGTGCGAAAGCTTTCAAACACTCCTTTAGAAGGATAACTTAATACTGAACAAATTGTTTGTTTCTTTCCCTTTCCATGTCATTTATTTAATTCTAGCACAGTAGTTTGAGAACCACTTTTGTAGAGATGGTTTTTTGCCACTATTTTCCCAGTTATTTAGGGATCTTTGTTCAATTTGGTTAATGTTTATGAGCACCCTTATTTATATGCCTCTGGTCAGTACTGGGCTCTGCAGGGTGCGGTACAGAATGTGGGAAGCTCCGATTTCTCCCTTTTAGGCCTCGAGTTCCCCTAGACATGCGGCTCTTTGGCCCTAGAGTGTTTAGCAAAGGCCAGCTTAGGAGGACCCTAATTAAGTTAATAGCAATGTGCCTACCCATATAGTTTAAGTTTAAAAAATTTGACTCTCAAAAGAAATTTCATGCCGAAACCGGTTTGGCTCAGTGGATAGAGCATCGGCTTGGGGACTGAAAGGTCCCGGGTTCGATTCCGGTCAAGGGCATGTGCCTTGGTTGCGGGCATATCCCCAGTAGGGGGTGTGCAAGAGGCAGCTGATCGATGACTCTCTCATCGATGTTTCTAACTCTCTATCTCTCTCCCTTCCTCTCTGTACAAAATCAATAAAATATATTAAAAAAAGAAAGAAAGAAAGAAAGAAATGTCACTCGTTGTGCTGTTGCTATTTGGCTCTGTGGACTGATGAGTGTGCCCACCACAGCTCTAGAATAAGATAGATGCTAACCTGTTGGTGAACTTGTGTGCCTATACCGCATGGAGTATATTGAACAGAGGTACTTTGTGGGTCTGAAAAAATAACATTTTGTGTATATGAGGGGAGGGAATATGTTATCCTAGTCCTTGACTCAACATTCCAGTATCTTAATATTACATCACATTTTAAGTTTTTCAAATGGAATCTCAGAAATCATTTGATTATTTGAATTGCTAATTGTTTTAATCTGAAAAGTTATTAAATTGATGGTTTATCTTTCAACAGATGCTGTTTCAGAATCAGGATAGTAGAGTTACGGTCCAGGCCTTCCCCTTCCTTTATCTCTCTTACTCCTCACAACCCCATTTCACGGGAGAGGCACATTTAGCTCAGGTTAAAGGCCTGATTACTACCTCCTAGTGGGAGAATAAGGACGTGAGTGTCCCACCCAGGTGCCTTCCGGGCACCTCACAGTGGGAACACCTGGGGAAGGCCCCGCAGCGAGGCTGGGAGGTGGGGTCCCTGTGCTGTGACTGCTTCTGACGCCGGGCTTGTGTCTTCACACAGGAGAGTCAGCGTTAGAGTGAGCATTGAGCTGCAGGCGGTGTCTAATCCGGTCCACAGGAAGGTGGGTATTCACTTCGCTTTTGAACTCTGATAAGTTGTTACACTGCAGAGAATGGTTTTCGTTGTTTAAGAATGTGAGATCTTTTTTCACACCTGTTTTGTGTTTAATTTGGGGCCATTTTGTACCTTGCAGGTCCGGAGTGGTAGGATGTACTACGATCACTAAGAGACTATTCTATCACGTATTTCTAAAGCTCAGGAGAAGGGGGGCTGGAGGCTGGCCCTGAGGTTTGCCCAGGACAGCTATTGCTACCCTAGCGAGTTTCATGGTGTGCATGCTCACCAGGGAACGGATCATCTCCGCAGGGATATGTTCTTAAACCTTCCCTTTGCCTTCTGAAGAGCAGCATTTGGAGCATCGGTCCTCTGCTCTTCAGACGGGTACAGACGGCTGGGCCGAGAAGTAGGGCATGGTTTTCTCCACCATGGCTTTCTCTAAAACAGCCAGGGACCGGGAGTGCTGGCAGCAGCCGCAGTTTTGAACAGTATCTTGGGGTGGTTCAGGAAGTACGGCAGTTGCAGTTGCTTGAAGAACAGGGCATCCTGGCAGGGCAAACGCCTGGGCTGCTGGTTTTGGGACGAGGTCATCCATGTTATTCCTGTGCATGCCGGGACCTCTTGGTGTTCTCGCTCTCCTCAGGGCCCTAACAGTCCTCAGTAGCACAAGCAGTTTCATGTCAGGTGGAACCTGACCCTGAGCCCAGTGCTGTTCCGTTATTGTCTCCTTGTCATCTCGTCCTCCGCCTGTTTTCCTTACCGCGTGCCCTCTGAGCCGGGATGTCGGGTACTTCTGCCAGCGTGGGCTGCTGGGCTGAGCTGGCACACGGTGCGCTTGGTCTGGAAGCAGGTCTGGTGAAAGTGCCGACGCCCTGAACCGAGGCAGGCGGTTCCCATGGGCCATCTGGAGCGGGAGGGCCTCGGGTCACCCGACACCGCCCTCTGCCCGAGGGACAGATGCTCCTTTCCCCAGGGTGGACGGTTGTGATTTGTGCTCATGTGTGCACCACTTTTGAAATACCAGACCGTTAACTCGCAGGAAACTGGAAGTGTAATTCATTATGGCATAGGCGGTAGTAAAGAATGTTTTTGTCATTGTGTCCTAGTGCAGCAAGGGCTGGGGCTGAATTTTCCCAAGGCTCTGCTAGGAGGACATCCCTAAACTTAAAACTCCTAGCGTTTACTTCACTTCCTTCCCCTCTGTTCCGCTCCCTCACCCCACCCCGTGGCGCTCTCAGGGCAGAATCGCCCCCTGGGAAGACGGAGGTCTGTAAGACTAGGGAGAGCCAGGCTCCGGGGAGCAGAGCCAGCTGAAGCTCCATGCGGGTGCATTGATGTGGGTGATCTCACTTTTCACTCACAGCCACGGCCACTAAACACATTAAAATCTCTTTCTTTTAGGATTTAGTTATCCGTCTGACCGATGACACTGACCCATTTTTCCTCTATAACCTTGTTATATCTGAGGAGGATTTTCAGAGGTAACCAGATTTACTTCTCTGATCTTTTATTTAATCTAGGGATAAGTAAGCTTTTAAGTTCTATGAATGCATTGGTACTATTTTCTTTGAAACATACATACCTATTGGGAACATTTAGGTATTTTAGGAACACTGGACTATTTATACTCTAATTACTCGGAATGTTTTTGGGAAAATAAGTATTTCATAGATTATTAGAGTTCTGCTTACAATGACTCAGAAATTTGGATCTTTAGCTAAATTTATTGATCTTTTCCCTCTCATTGAATGAATTTTATAAAACTTTAAGTTTCCTGGTTTATTAAATCTTGATTATGCATGGTTAGTAAAGAAAAAAATTATCTTCCAGAGTGTTAATTATAATAAAAGATAGTAGTTGAATTTTCTAAAAATATCTTTTCCTGTTTTCTGTGTAGTTTAAAATTCCAGCAAGGTCTTCTGGTAGACTTTTTAGCTTTCCCGCAGAAATTTATAGATCTGCTGCAGCAGTGCACGCAGGAGCACGCCAAGGAGGTCCCCAGGTGAGTGTCCGCACCAGCTCTGGGCCAGGACGAGCGGCCGGCCCAGTGTTCTGTGTGTGACAGGTGTCCCTGTCCGTCTTAAAAACGGGTTTCAGGGCTCCAAGAAATCTTAAATTTACTTGATCTCACGATTAAAATCAGAAATATTTACTTTTAATTTCATTATCTGAAATATTTAATAGCATCAAGTGTATGTGTTTAGAATGAGCTTGGAAAAGGAGAGAATGAGTGGGGTGGGGGTGCTGGGGCCTGATCCTTTCACTGTGAAGTTCTCCAGCCTTTACCTGCTGCTGGTGCTTGATGGTTGTTGATCAAATCAGTTATGTCAGCAGAGACTACAAAATTATGCTTTTCTAATCCGATTCTCTCTACATTTATTGGATATAATTTATTTATGATCAAGAACTTACCCTCATCAATTAGGGTGATTTGATTACTCTGAAAAGTCATACAATAAAGGATAAATGCTTAATTCTTTTAAATTGTCAATTTTTAGAGTATGAAGTTGTTACTCTAGTTCTTTTTGTGGTTTCAGTTTGTTTTTTATCTTAGTTCTTCGTTTTTTCTCCTCTGTCTTTCATCGTGAAATCATGGGCATTTATATATTCATTATGTTTCAGTCAGTCATTTTTCTTATCCAAGTTACATGTTTTACTGTTGATACCAGTTTACCACATTTTACCGTTGGGAGTCTTTAGTATTGGCCCCTAGGATTTCAGTGTGCCCGTTTCCTGATCCTTCTAATCACTGATGGTCCACTGGGTACGGAACAGGGTACAGTGGGTGTGTGGCTCAGTGGGAGAGTTTCCCTGTTTTAACCGTGTGCTAACGTGGCCCTTCGCTTCCCAAGGTTTCTGCTGCAGCTGGTGTCGCCAGCAGCTGTGTTGGACAGCTCTCCTGTTCTCCTCAATGTGATAGAGACAAATCCTTTTAAGCATCTTACACACCTCTCCCTAAAACTTTTACCCGGCAGTGATGTGGAGATAAAGAAGTTTCTAGCAGGCTGTTTGAAATGTAGCAAGGTAAGATTTGAATTCAAGGTATTCTTTTAAAATAGCTACCCAAGGACTTGGATAAAGCACTGAAGAGCTTTACTGCTTTTAGTTTTGGTTTTCTGAATAAGAGGTCCAGAAAATTTTTGTAACATATAATGAGTTTGTTTTTCACTTACTCAAGGTTCAAAGATAGAATTAGACCAGGACCTGAGAAAGTGAGGTCCCAGGGTTTTACTACTTTTCTGCCGACTTGGGCAGGTCACTTAAACTCTGGGTCATGGTTTCGTCAGCGTATCGATACGTGTGGGCACATCTAGCCCGCCTGAAATCGAATGAAATAAAGTAAGTGCTCTGTAGCAGCATTGGAGGCCCCTTCAGCGTTTCCAGAGTCTCCTTCGTCAGATGCTGAAGCCAGTGCATCTCACAGTGTAACTGCTCACAGAACTAGGGAGCTGGCTGGCACAGACTGACTCAGAGGTCTGAGGTGGGGCCTGTGGTTCGAGTTTCTAACCAACTCCAGCCTGATGTTGACGCTGTACTTGGCTAATGTTTGAGCATAATGAAATTGTAACCTACATCATTTTATTTTTATAAACAGGAAGAAAAATTATCACTGACACAATCGCTAGAGGATGTTACTAGGCAACTGAGTTTCACACAAAAGGTAAATCAGGTTTCCTTTTTCTTTGTAAGTCATCCAGACATTGGTTTTGGAATCCCATCAGGCTTCTGTGCATTTTTCTTAAAGTGCGTGCTATCACAGAATTCCTCCTCCTCCTTCCACCTCTTTCCTACCAGTTAGTTATCTTATCCGGTGCTTTAGCTCTCTGATGTTTTATTCCACCCAAGTGCTTTAGTTCTCCCCAGCATCTGACTGTTTCCTCCGGATTTCATTAAGTCAGATGATGTGCAGTCTCTGTCCCGGTTCTTTCTCTGCTCCTGTTCACCTCATTCCTCTTGTCTGAAGTGGCCTTTCAGGTGGTCTGTGAGCCCTCGCCTTTTGTTACCTTTAGAATTAATTCCTTTCAGTCATAGCTACTACTTTTTGCCCCTAGTGCTTGAGATTGAGGAGCAGACTGTCTGATAGTCGGCTGTTCTGCACAGCACGGCCACCTTGGGGCCTGTGCCCAGGTTCACGTGTTAAGTGAATGCTTCTGACTGGCTGGCTCCGCTGGGTGTGTGCGTCTTCCTGCCAGAGGAGGGACTAGGGGGGCGGGAGTTTGCAGATTTAACCGGAAGGTTAAAGATAGACCAGCTTGACCGCTGGGCCGTTTCAGATCTCAAACTGCTTTTATTCTAATCTAGATTTCCTCAAATTCAAAAAATCCTCGTGTATTTCTTAAAAATCTGTGCTTCCATATTCCTTGATATCCTTGTAAATATTGGCATGCTCTAACTTAATGACCTGTCTAAGACACTCTTACTATTTTGTGTTGAACTCTGATGCAGACATTATCAGAAAAAGTTCAAGAATTAGATAAGTTACGGAATGAATGGGCATCCCACACAGCAGAACTGTCGAGTAAGCATTCCCAGGAGCTGACCAGTGAGAGGGAGAAGGCCTTGCAGGTAGGAACCTCAGAGGAAATGGGACGTTTTGTTACTGCTTAGTCATAGTGTTCATATAAAAGTAATGTGTGCATACTTCAGTGTTTGACTTTACAGAGTTTGTAAAAATGTCTCCTTCAAAGTCTTACTAACTAGAGATAAACTATAAATATTTAATGGGGTTTTCAGACCTTTTCCATACTTGTAAATAATATATAATTTGTAAATATTTATTTTAAAAAATCACACACACACACACACACACACACACACACAGAAAATCTTTCCAGAAATCGGGACTTTTTTAAAATGCCGAGGGACGCGGGACAAATTGTTAAAAATCGGGACGTCTGGTCACCTTACTTTAATAGCATGTATAACTGCCATAATTAGAAAAGAATAGTTTATTTTTTAAAAGCATTTAGGATTTGATGGTAATACTCACCAGAAATTACTAAGATATGTTTGTGGTATGAGTCAGACAGGCAACATGCTATTACACAGTTAGTACCATGTTCAGATTTTAGTTTAGCTAAAATGTAACTACTAAATGTAGGGCTGAACTAATGCACAATACCTTGCTGATTTCACAAATTTAGGTGTGTGGTTTTTTATTGTTGTTTTCATTACCAAACACGTTTAAAAAATGGAAACAATATAATGGTGTTTAAAGCAAATACTGACAGTTCCTTATGTGCCCTCTCATTGGTTCACACTGTCTACACTGTTTTGCTGTTTGCTTTTTTACTTCATCCTGTATTCTTCTTCCTTGAACTTGAAGACCATTAAATCTAACCGTGTGTTTAGGAGGAGCACGAGATTGGAGTGTAAATCTGCCTTTGTTGACTGAAAACAGCTCCTCTTCAAAACAAGGAAATCTTGTAATTACCGAGAAAAATAACGATTTTTTTTTCTTCACACCTTCTCGAATGTGTTTTTTCCTTCGAATCTGGTCTATACTGTATCATGTAATTATGTAACAGGCGCAGATGCAGTACCAGCAGCAGCATGAGCAGCAGAAGAAAGAGCTGGAGGTCCTCCACCAGCGCAGCACCCAGCAGCTGCAGAGCCGGCTGTCTGAGCTGGAGGCGGCCAACAAAGACCTCACCGAGCGGCGCTACAAAGGCGACTCCACCGTCAGGGAGCTCAAAGCCAAGCTGGCTGGCGCCGAGGAGGTATTGGCGAGGGGCTCGGTCCGTCCCCCGGTGTAAAGAAGTGTGAGCGGCAGAGCACGGTTCACTCTCTCATGGTTCTCCCTGGTTCTCTCTAAAGTCAGCCGGGCCCGACCTCATACTGACCGATCGGAATCTCTCAGGCTGGCCCCGGGCAGGACAGCCAGGCCGTGGACGTATTTCGGGCTGGGTGCCAGAGCCCCTCAGCAAAGTGAGGACAGTGGTTTTAAAACTTGTCTGGTGCTTCCATATGCACATCAGTTTGAGAGCCACTGTGTAGATGGTGGAATGACAAGGTCTTTATTTTATGTATTTTAAAATTCTTTTATAATCAGTATTTATTATCTAAGTGATTTTTAAAACTAGATTTCAGACATTTCTTAGCTAGATTTTTCAAGTTGTAATTTATTCACAAATTAGGATTGTTTTGTTTTTCCTTGTGATTGGGTTAGTTTTTAGCCTATTTCATAACTGTATTCCGAATCTACGAGTTACGTGTACCCTTAGACTTTTGTATCCTTCAAAAAGACATCAGTACTAGAGCTTCAGAATTATTGAAGACGTTTTATATTTTAAGCATCTTAATTGTCGGTAAGCAGACCAGCATCCCGCTTTTCTCCTCGACACTTACCGCCTCCAGGAGCTGCAGCGGGCGAAGCAGGAAGTGCTGTCCCTGCGGAGGGAGAACTCCGCGCTCGACGCCGAGTGCCACGAGAAGGAGAAGCAGGCCAACCAGCTGCAGACCAGAGCGGCCGTTCTCGAGCAGGAGCTCAAGGACAAGGACCAGCTGGTCCTGCGGACCAAAGAAGCGTTCGATACAATCCAGGAACAAAAGGTCTCTCAGGGCTGTGAACCAATTGGTGACCACATTCATAGCAATGCCTTTCCTCAAGGAGGGTCCTAATTATTCATGTTTTTAAAAACATCAGGTGGCTTTAGAAGAACACCGTGAGAAAAATCAGGTACAAATAGGAAAACTGGAAGCAACTATCAAATCATTATCAGCGGAACTGCTTAAGGTTTGTCTTTGAAAACTTAACAGAATGCTAGTATTGTATTGGATTACATAGAAATATACATATGAAGCTCTTTTACAGGCAAATGAAATTATCAAGAAGTTACAAGGAGATCTGAAAACTCTAATGGGGAAATTGAAACTGAAGAATACAGTTACCATTCAGCAAGAGAAACTCTTGGCTGAAAAGGAAGAAAAATTACAAAAGGAACAAAAGGAATTACAAGATGTTGGGCAGTCTCTCCGAAGTAAAGAGCAAGAGGTGGAGAATATTTTATGCTTCTGTGTGTGATTATTTGTAAAAGTTACACCTTTCCTCAGATGTCCAGTTCAGATTTCTACTAGTATAACAAGTAGAAATTAGATTCAATAGAAATTAATAACTTATTTTTGTTTTGTTTGAAAAGTTAGTTATGACTCACATACCTATAGTGTTCATTTCCTAAATAGGTGAGCCTTCACTATTTAATAATAAGAGTATTGAACTCTTAAATTAGTATCAGTCAGTATATTTCTTCAGTTTTTAATATAGTTTTTATTATATTTATGAGGATTGACTTATTTCAGGTATGCAAATTACAAGAACAGTTAGAAGCTACCGTTCAAAAGCTTGAGGAAAGCAAACAGCTTCTAAAAAATAATGAAAAGTGTAAGTATATTATCTTTTTATGTAAATGAAATTCATTGTTTTTATTCAGAACCTTAATATTATTCTTGAATTCATAGAAAAGTTTAGGGAAATCAGGATATTGCTATATGCAAATAGTTTCTAATTTGCAGTTTGAAGTATCCTGTCTTTTGTCTTTACTATAGTAAATTATACACCTGCCCTGTAAAACAGTTACTATCATTAAAAGAAACTATATCACTTATATCAGTGACCCAGAATTAAGTATTAAAATATTAACCATAATTTACTTTTAAAATTCTTCCCTTTTTCAATTGCTGTATTTACCTAATAGTAATAATATAAATTATTTGAAGGTAAAATACAAAATTAAGCATTTAACGTTTTCCTGCATTACTAGTATTAGTTGTCAGGTATGAGTGTGAACTTTAAATAAACTGGAAGATATCATTCTTGAAAGCCTTCAAAGAGACCCTTGACTAGCAGACATACTTGGGATAGTAATAGAATAAACAGTTCTATGTGCTAAAATAAGAATCTTTTCTTTATAAGAATCTTAAATGACAAAAATTTAAGTTAACCTATATTGTTCTCCTGCTCTATAAGGCAGTTTTAAAAATTTTAAATTAAAAAAATAACCTCAGCCTAATTTTTAATATTTAAAATGATTAGGAAAGGAAAAATAGCTTAATAAAGTTCTTACCCTTGTTTCTTGTTTTCTGTAAGTAATCACATGGTTAAACAAAGAACTAAATGACAATCAGCTAGTGAGAAAGCAGGACGTGCTGGGCCCTTCTGCCACTCCGTCGGTACATTCCAGCAGCACGATCAGAAGCGGGCTCTCTCCTGGCTCTCACCTGGTAAGATTTACATGCACGTGGGCGAGGTCTTAGTAAATTCCCTGACGCACAAAATCGCCCCAGGATGTCAGAAAGTCTCCGTGACACGGGCTGGTGCTGATAGACGGGAGTCCTCTTGTTTAGCACCGAGTAGAGTCTGCTCCGTGCGAGTGCAGCAGGTGGACGCTCTTAACAGAGAGGCTGTACTTCAAGGACACACCTCGTAAGACTGGAGTAGATCTGGAAATCACTCAGTATTAACTAAGTACTGCCAAAGGTGCCGAAAACTTACACACCACACCACACACCACACCCATACATACACCTCATACCCACATACAGACCACATACACCCCCCACACACATACACCACACACACAACACACCGTACCACATACACACCCCACATATACACCACACACACCCACACACTCCACATACATACCACACACCACAGAACACACACCATATACCACATATACATACCACACACACACACACACACCATATACCACATATACATACCACACACACACACACACACCACACAACACACACCATATACCACATATACATACCACACACACACACACCACATACATACCACACACACACAGCACACCATATACCACATATTACCACCCCCCCCACACACACACAAAAGGAGACCTGGCTGGTTTGCTCAGTGGTTAGAACACCAACTCTCAGACTGAAGGGTCCTGGGTTCGATTCCTGTCAAGGGCATGTACCTCGGTTGCAGGCTCCATCCCTGTGCAGGAGGCAACCCATCGATGTGTCTCTCTCACATCGAAGTTTCTCTCTGTCTCTCCCCTCCACTCTGAAAAATTCAATGGAAAAATATCCTCAAGTGAAATTTTTTAAAAAAGGAGGGGGATTTCTGCTGAGGTGCAAAAGGTGAAAGAAGTGCCCGGGGCTGAATGACCAAGGGGAAAAGACTGCTGATGAGCCATGGGAAGGGGTTTTGTCACCCAGCACTGCTGTGCACACTGAGGGTTTGCGTTTCCGCTGGCCTCACTAAACCGTTCCGTGTCACTGGCTAATGGCGTTACTGTAATGAAAATTCTGGTCAAGCCTTGTCTCCATTTGCCTGTTTAAGAACACTGGTGCTCTTGCTGCTGCTCACTCCGGCAGAAAAGGGTTTTGTCCCTGGTTGCTTTATTGATCTGTGAGTCTCTCCCCGAACCCCCGTTTCAGGGGTGGGGGTGGGCATGGGCGAGAACCGAGATGCCTCAGGGTCTGTGTTTGTGTAGTTCCAGAGCCGGCCAGGGGCTCAGCTGGTAGAGCGTCCTGAGCGCCAGGAGGCCACCCGCTGGATGCGATTCCCCGTCAGGGCATGTGGCCGGGGGCGGGCTCAACCCCCGCCTCTTCTGAAGCCAGTAAAAGGGCGTTTAAAACAGTGTGAGACGGGCCCAGCCTCGTGGTGTGTGCCAGCGGGGTTTGTGGTGTCGTGAGAAACAAAACCAGCCTGAGGCGGTGCTGGTAACGCCGTTATGACCCGGATGCCAATGCCTCTGGTCAGCAAACACTTAGTAAGAAGCAGTTTCTCATCCTGCAATGTGTGTGTGTATTTGTAGGCTGATGGCAGACTGCCTTACCCACCCTGTGGCATCGGATACCCTGTCGCCTCTGCCTTTGGATTCCAGAACACCTTTCCTCACGCCGTGTCTGCCCAAAACGCCAGCCACCCGGCTTCCGGACCCAAGGTGAGAGTGAACACTCAGGAGCTAGATAGAGCCAGTTACTGGCTGTTACGTCCTCTTTGTCTTTACAAGCTGCTGTGGCAGTTGTGCGAGGAGCACATGGCTGACTGCCAGCGGGTGAGTCCGTTCCAGGACGGCCGCTCGCGCTCAGGAGCTGTGGCCGCTGCCTGCTCTGGTAGGATAGACCCGGAAAGGAACCGGCCCGAGGCATTTTGGCTTATCGGGCGTTTCCCCGGTAATTAAGTGGGGGACATCTTTTTATACATTTATGGGCTGTGTTTCTTCTATTAGATTTCTGTTTACCAGTTTTATTCATCGTAGGGAGATTTAATCGTTATAAATGATGTCATGAATGTTCTTTATATGTTCCAGACATGTTGGTTTTATATTTTCACTGGTTATTTCCCTATTTTGGAGTTGTCTTTTTAGTCTCTTTCTGGTGCCTTTTTAACGTAAAGCTTTCCTACGGTATAATTTACATGCCGTAAGTCCCGTGGTTAGGTTTACAGTTTACTGGTTTCAGCCGGTTGCGCAGTGGGGACCATCGCAGCAGTGCATGTTAGAGCACTGAGTTTCCTCTGGCGTTTCCCCGTGCTTCCGCAGCAAGCCACGCTCGTCCCTGAGAGCTGAGGACCACTGACATGCTTTCTGTCGCTGTACACCTGCTCTGCGCTTCGTGTGAGCGAGGCCGTGCAGAATGTCCTTCCCGGGTCTTTCCCTCAGCATCGCGGGTTTGACAGTGGAGGGGAGGCCATGCTAGCCCCTCCGTCTGCCGTTTGATGGCCGTTTGTGTCATTTCCGTTCGGGGCTGACTCCAATGCAGCCGCCGTGAACATTGGTGTGCAGCTTTGTGTTTCCCTGCGGAGAATGAATCTATGGATAGAAGGACTGGTGGGGCATAGATTTAATTTTTAAGAAACCGCCCGACTTTGGAAAAATTCCAAAGTGTGGTCCAGATTCAATAACACTCTTTTTGTTTATTTTTCTCCGGTTTTCTAATTGTTTATGACTGGTGGTAAGAAACTGTCTTACACATTAATATCTGATACTCTAGTTTTCCTCTCTTGGCATGTTGATTTTTTGTAAGGAGTTTTAAAATCATCCTGTCTGGCTTTTAAAAATTCCTGTTTCTGTTGAATGTTACTGTGAAATGTGTAGATCGCCGTAGGAAAAACCAATATCTTGAAACTGTTGAACCTTGATAACCAAGGACAGTAGCATTTACCTTTCTGATTTCTGGTGTTATCCTGTTACACTAGTGTCTGTCTCTGCCGGATTCATTAGGCGTTTTTACCAAAAGTAGACATTATTTTCTTGTGCCTGAGCTCCTGGGTGGGGTTGGTGTTTGTGGGTTTCCTGACATACATACACTGACACATCCTGGCATGAGGCCCACTCCGTCACAGTCCTGTGTCTTTAAGTAGACTTCCATAGCGCATGCTGGTGTTTGCTTTGGACTTTTACATGGATTGTTGGATTACTTCTATTTTAAAATTCAAATTCCCAGCCTGCATTTATTGAAGAACTCTGTGCATACACCTGTCTAAGTGTGTTCGTGCTTTGTGTCCGCCGCTCATCTCGCTGTGTGATAGGGACTTGGGGGCAAGGAGAGAAATCCTCGTATTAAACCTTCTCAACAAAACGTGTGTGTGAGATGAATCAGTGCGCCTGGCCTCTGTGCGCTGGGTCACCGGGAAAGCGGGTAAGCACCTCGCTCCGCGTAGCTTGCTCCGTCCTCACCAGTTAGTTACAGGCGGTGTTCTCTCGCTTCACAGGTTCAGTTTAACTTGCAGTTAACCAAACCAAACCCGTCACTGGGGGACGTTCCGGCGGGAGCAGCCCTCGGTGTGCCCGGCGCCGCTGACAAGGAGAAGTAAGTACCTGACTCCGCGCGCAGAGCTCGCCCTTGGGAAGTCACTGGAGGGTCTCCCGGGGCTGGAGAGCTAGGAGGCCATTTGTCTGCGACGTTTTAAGCTGAAGGTCCAGATTCACTCTTAGCTGTCAAGAGGGGTTTTAAACTGTAGGATGCAGTTAGATATATAGTAACATTTTATTTTCTAAAAGGTTTTCCTATGTAACTGAAGACCCCTTTCAAATATTTGAGGGCAGGTAGCTAGAAATCTTACTAATTCCTAATAGTAACCTGCGGAAGCAGCTCGTTAACCTGCTGGGACCCTTCGGCGAGTAATAGTACAGGCTGATGAGATTGTCCCACGAACATGCATGCATACATGAGCTTCCTGTCCGCGTGGCCCCCTGGGCCTGCCCGGCTCCTTCCTGTCCCTCCGATCTGAGACTGGTTCACCTGCCGTCCGCCTTCTCAGCGAGTTGTGGCCGAATGAAACGGCTCAGATGTGCAGACTGGTCTCTCGGCTGGTCCTCATGTTCATAGCGTCGTTTTGTTGTTGGCATGCTTCCTTGTTCCAGTGTGAGGCGCTCAGGGCCCCTGCTGCACTGGTCCTGAGCAGCCGCCTCCAGCGTTTACACTGGGAGGCCAACTCGGAGCAAAGGCTTCTTTCCCACCCCGGCCCTTCAGCCCGGGCTGCTCCAGAGCCGCCGCCTGGCGAGTGTGAGCCAGTCAGTGCTGGTGCATCCTGTTTCCCACCGGATGTTTACACGCTCCTGTCACACACAGCTCACTTCACCACGTGTGGCGATTGCGTTTGCAGAACAAGAATCAAAAAATCGTGTCCTTAAAAGTAGGACTGGTCAGCTATTTTTTGCATTTTCTCTGTTGAAATTTGTTAGGTTTTTAGATTGTTGTCAGCTAGTAAAAAGTGGCAGTGGGAATCAAAGATTAAAGAAGAAGAAAAATTAAAGAGGGAAAAATACCTATTCATCTTTTCTGAAAATTGGGACAAGACCTTCCTCTAAGTTTAAGCTTATGAGGTCATTGTTTAGCAAGAACTTGTACTTTTCTGTTGCAAGGGTGCCCAGAGAGGCTGCCCCGGGCAGGTCGGACAGAGGGATGCAGTGGCAGAAAGAGAAAAGGGGCAGACATGGCTTTCTCTTTGAAATATCACGTTTGTATTCATCTACCCAGAATCCTGTGGTGCCAGTATGCAGTGGTATCTAATAGTGATCCCTCTGAAGCACAGACTTGAAAGAGCTTTGGGGGAAAGAAAGCAGCAGCGTTCATTTTAAACGGACGAGTGGGAAAGTCCCAATAGCATGATGCTCTCAGGGCAGCCCCTCGGCGTGGTGTGGTCCTCCCGCAGCCCAGCCAGCCCGCCAGCCCAGCGGGCTTCGGTTTAACACGTTCAGTCTTCTCCGCTGGGAAGAGGGCACTGCAGCTGGCAGGCACCTAAATTATTTGCTGAAGAAAACAGGGACTAAAGGGGCTTGTTTTGAACAAAGCTATAAACATGTATAATATGTAGATAAGATGAACATTCAAAATTAACTAACGAGAAAAGTAAGTTTAAGTGCACATGCCTGTCTTCCTGTGAAGCGGTGAGAACTTGGGGCTGGAGCCCAAGTACCTGAAGAAAAGGGAAGCCAGCATTCCTCTGCGGGGGCTCAGCCAGAACCTCTTCAGCGCCGCAGGTGAGGCTTTCTGTCCCGTCCGCGCTGTGGGAGGGAAGGGGACAGGCCCACGGGCTGCCAAGCCACCTGCTCCTCCTCATTGCAGACCGTCAGAAAGAGGGCCCGCTGGGAGCGCTGCCGCCAGCCTGCAAACCCGCCTCGGTGCCTCCCTCCTCCGCCTACTTCCCCGGGCAGCTGCCGCACAGCTAGCGGGCCCTCTGCCGCGGGAGCCGGCACCGCCTGGTGAGGCGCTGTGGCCCACGGGGACAGACATCCGCACCAGGAGCATGCCAGGGCTGCCAGGCAGCCCGCTGTGCGCACCTCCTGCTGCTGCCGCTGCCGCCCCTGCCACAGGCGGCTCCGAGGAGCCCGTGGACTGGGACTTGGGACGGAGGCCGGGGTCGGTGCCAGGCTGTGTGTGAACACGGTGCTTTACAGGACAGCAGTGTCTTCAACTCGCCTGAGCAGCTCGGACACGTCCCCAGACGAGGGTTGATCGTCATCAGGGTTCTAATCCCAGGGACTGCCTGCCTGGTAAAGTCACTTGTCCGACGGAATGGGAGCTAGAGGATGCTAGTAATTCCTTTCATCATTGTCCTTGGTAAAATGTTTTACATTTGCCACCTAAGAATTATGAGGGAAGATGGTGGTCTCCTAAAGTCTCTATATTTATTGATGATAAGGTTCAGTAAAGGAAAAAGTCATAAAGTTAAATGAATTCTTTACAGCAAGTGTTTTCCTTGAAATCTCCCAGGTAGCTATTAACTGGGACGTGTCTTTGCCCAGATCAGGTGCTGGAGTCATTTGAGCTGCAGTTCCCAGGGTTTAATTGCTTCCTGAAAGTCTACTCATCCCAATTTTTTTTCGTTTGGAGTTTTATTGGTGTTTTATGCAGTTAAATTTGTATTAGTGGCGTTCTGTTTTGAAAGTAAGTACTATACAAAAGAGCATCATGAATATTCATTGTACTTGATTTTTCATTTCAAAGCGCGTTTAATTGTGTGCGCAATAAAGTAGGCAACTTTCTCTTGGTTTAAGTTTCAAGTATGGCAGTTCCTTGGGAAAAGGGAGGCGATTTTAAACAATTCACCCAGAACCATAGCCCATTTTTGTGACAACCATCCAGTCAACAGTATCCTTCTCTTCAGCAGTGTCTTAGTCCACTTTTATTTGTAAATATTGCTGATGTTCATTTAATCTTTCAAAAACTCTTTTCAAGGACCATATTATACAGATAAGAGACATTTCAAGATGCTGGCATAGCAACGTTCCAGGGTAAGACTAAGAACCTTTGCTTATTGTTGAATGAAGCCATGTTGTCTGATACTTTGCAACTGCGGGCAACTACAAGGCATCCTGCTCTAGGGACTCACCTCGAACATTCAGTAGCCCTCTGGGCGGTGGCTTTTCACGTGATTGTCTCCGTATTTACATACACTGCACAGTGAGAGCACTTGGCTAAAGCACCGCAGAGTGCTCAGAGTGGGAAGGAGGCTCTTGGCCATGTTAGTCTGTTCTGTGAAGTGTAAACATGTGCACAAGTTTAGGAACAGGATGTGGATGGGATGACGTACAGGAAGCTTTTTAAAATTTAATATAAATTAGAATTTCCGAATGATAGATCACTTCGATGTGCCAAAGATTTTCTATTAGATGTATTATACGTGTACTGACTTTGGAGTGTGCTAATTCTTTGCTCTACCTCTTAAACTTTCATTTGAAATTGTTTTGAATACATACTAATAATCAGAAAGCTGAATTTAATGTGTTTCTGTGAGTTTGGTTAGTAATATTTCAGGAGTAGGGCATGTAAAAAGTATGTGACCCTGGCTGATTTGGCTCAGTGGCTAGAGCTTCAGACTGCGGACTGAAGGGTCCCGGATTCGATTCTGGTCAAGGGCACATACCTTGGTTGCAGGCTCCTCCCTGGCCAGGCCCTGGTGGGAGCACATGCGGGAAGCAACCAATTGATGTGTTTCTCTCACACCGATGTTTCTCTCTTTCCCACTCTCCCTAAAAACCGATGGAAAATTATCCTCGGGTGAGGATTAAAAAAGAAAAGTGTATGAAAACAGGAAAAGGACTGATATACAACACCTCTGCTTAGCAACTTGCTTTCACTTACTGACTAGATTTTCAGTGTTTGTGCCCTATAAGAGTGTTTTACAGTGAAGGGAAGAAATGGATTCAGAGGGAAGGCGTACTGCTGTGATTTGTTACTGCAGAAATGATGATGGTGTCAAAGCCACACCGGCCCTAGTGGAAATCACAGATCAAGACTTTCTTTAAAAAATCATTAAAATATTTAATTTTATTAACAGAATATTTACATTTTTTAAGACCTTATTTAACTGTTAGTGAATGTTCCAAGTTTAAAAAGCATTAAGCAATAATCACACACAAGATGAAAACCCTGTAAACTATACAATACTTTATGTACATTTTTACAAAGTAACACTTTTTTAAATAATATAACTGGACACAAAAATATACACTTTAGAGAAATTCACATCAGGAATTGTATAAAGCTCTCTTCCAGGGTCCTGAAAATGTAGGACAAACATTAGCTCTGTAAGTAAAGTGTTACTGTGACAGTCCTGAAAGGCCACTATATATATTTATCTACATTAGGTATCACGTGACGTTTTCAAGGCTACCAGCTTGACTACAGGTTTAATTACGTGTTCAAGTGTTGAGGTTATGATTCTGCAAACAGGAGAGGGCAGTGGTGTAAGGAGCTGGGGGACAACTGTAAGCCAACATGGAGGTTACAGGCTCCACACACTCAACTGAACAAAACATGGCTGACATTTATTTTAAAAACAGCAGTGAAGAATGTTTAAACTAGAATTACAAACAGGCTTGACACATGATCCAGGTTTAGTATAATCCTCTTAACTCTTGACAGTTCACTCACCCTTCAGTGCATCTGCGTTTAAGGCTTTGAATCGTTGGGCCCGGGTTGGACAAGGTGAAAGCGAGCAGGCCCGCAGCCACGCCTCTGCTCCGCCCCCGTGACGTGGGTAACCCGAAGCCCAGCCCCTGGGGACGGTGCAGACACGCTGCTAGTGTCTAAGAAGTCACAGAGAGCTTTAATGAAAGGACGTGAATAATAAACAGCTTGGTGGCAAGGAAGTGGTGCGATAAACAAAAGGTTTCTTTTCAAAAGAAATTGTAACGTCTTTGGAAAACGGTCCAGTTCTTTCTCTAGTTCCCGGAGTCCATGCAGATCCGTCCTCCAGGCCCTTGGGTGAGTGTGGAGGCGCCGTGGAATGTACATCAGCTCTGCGGCGCAGGCGGCTCACACGTTCGTGTCCTGGAGCAAGGGTTCTTTGGCCTCTCCTGGCGCCTGCGCGCTGTGCGGGTGGCTGTGGCCACCGCAGTGCTTCCGCCAGCTGCTGGAGCGCAGGCTCAGGTTGGTGTGCTCCGGGATGAACAAGGCCACCAGCAGAGCGAGCAGCACCGAGCAGGCTCCGAAGAGGAAGGGCGGGCCGGGGATGATGGAGTTCTAGGGGAGACAGACTGCTTACCTTCGGTAACAGCTGACCACCATGCACTAGAAGCCCACGTTCCTCTCAGCAGGAAAGCCAGTTAGGAAAAGCATTCCCTTCCCGGAGGGCCTGGGGACAGCAGACCCCAGAGAGCAGCCTCTGCCGAATAGGGTCGCTGCAACACAGGACCTGCACCCCCAGGAGCCTTCACCCAAGGCCAGTTCAGGAGAAACAGGACAAACCTCCACCAGACCTGGTCTCAGCCCGCACTCACACTGCAGGCCTATAGGTGGCCACAAACCGCCACCTGACTGATGAAAACCAGTCTGAGCTGGTTACAAGGCTAGTGAGCAAGGAAACTGCTGAGTGGTCTGTACACTCTTTGCCGTTAATATTACAGCTGTTAACGAGGAGCCTGGCAAACAATGCCTCCGGCCCCACAGCACGACAAACTAGCACGCTGAGACTGGTGGCAGCCAAAGGCACACACAACCAGTCAGGCCTGGTTTTAAGTGCTGGTCAACCTAAAAGAGCGAGCGTGTCACCCAGCTGTGTGAGGGAGGAGCCACTTTACCTGCTCAAAGTGGTGCTGCGGGCTGGTGTTGGTCCCCAGGTCCGTGCCCGTCATGGGCAGCTCTTTGAGCTCCACGTGGAAGATGTAGAAGATGAAGCCGTAGAGCGCGGGGCCCAGGCCGTTGCACAGCCCCCGGATTCCCGTTATCATCCCCTGGACAACACCTAAAGGCGGACAGAACGTCACTTGTGCACCTCGGGTCCTGGCGACCCTGGGACCTGCACCACCGAGGGGAGCCAGAGCCTTTCTGCCGCTGCCAGCTGGCTGTGACGCACAGGAAGCCGCCCGAGGCCATCGGCTCACGGCGCCACCGGCCATACAGAGACAAGGCGCAGAAGCCTTTTACCCCCCACAGGCTCCCAGGCGCCGAGTCGGTCCTGGCAGCCAAAGGCAGCTCTTACACGTGTGTCTGAGGGGGCAGCTTGCTGTCCTTCCTCACTGACCAACGGCCTCTTGTCAGACCCCTTATGACCAGTGGCCATTTCCAATCATCACTGGCAGTTCAGGATGAAGTGTTCCCACCACAAGGCTAAGGCGCTACAGACGTCCGCCTGGGGCTGCAGGGCGCTGACCCGGAGACGTGCCCGGTGGTGAGCGCCCCCAGGGTCTGGGCGGGGCACCCCAGCAGACCGGGGGTCAGCGGGAGGCCAGGGCCCTGTGCCCGGAGGGGACGGGGCTGGACGCTGTGCTCACACAGCTGCCCCCACCCCGCACTCACCCTGTTGGTCGGCATCGGCGGTTCGGGACACGAGCGCGCTGACGGCGGGAAAGGTGATGCTGGACATGGCAGCCACGGCCCCCGCGGCCCACATCATCCTGCGGGCAGAGGGCGGAGCTAAGCCCTGCTCCCGCCGCCCGTCTCTGGGCACCGTGAGCGCCGCTGGGAGCTGCACCACTAGACCCTGACAGGCCCTCCTCCCCCCACAGGGAGAATAAGGCTTAAAACAAACACGAGCTGTTTCCAAACACTTCCTGCGGGTTCCCACCGACTCTGACTGAGTGGAGGCACCATTGGTCTGATCTTGCTTTTAAAGTAAATGTTTTATCACTGAGCAGCTAAAAGCTAGACCAGAGAAACGCCACCAGCACACACCACGTCAGACTGTTCGGCAATGGAGCGTCAGTCCGAACGGGAGCACAGCCCTGCCCCTGAGGACGGCAGCCCGCCCCTCCCTGGGGAGCCAGCTGGGAGGAAGGGCAGAGTGTCCAGCGGGGGCTGGGCCGGAACCGCTGGGCGCTCCTCCCAGACCCACTGCTGTCGGGACAGCCACTGGGGCTGCTTGACTTGCTTTCCGACGAGGGAACTGGCTTCAGGCCCAGCGGCTGTGGGACTGTGTGCTTTTCCTAACGACAAACTGCTGGAGGCCTGTTCACAAACCCACCCTGGGAGTCCGCCGTAGTGTCCCCAGGCAGTTCACACAGGGGAGAGGTGTGACACAGTGAGGGGAGCACAGGAAGACGGGCTGAACCTCAGCTGAGGAGCAAGTAACTACGAAAGCTGAATTGTATCTCAAAACAAGGCTGACACCAAGCGTTTAAAGGAAATTAATGACTTACCAAGGCTCTGAACCGAAGCCATACCACGCCAGTTGTAAGATCTGAAACCCCAGACCCAACAAAATGGTGTTCTTATTTCCAATGGATCTCATGAGCAAACTCAAGACTATGGTCTGGAAAAAAAGACCAAAGCGCTTGTCACTTTAAAATACGGGGTGACGGCCAGGAGCAGGACTCTGCTTTTCTATTTTTTTAATATATATTTTTTATTGATTTCTTACAGTGAGGAAGGGAGAGACAGAAACATCGATGAGAGTCATCAATCAGCTGCCTCTCGCACACTCCCCACTGGGGATATGCCCACAACCAAGGTACATGCCCCTGACCGGGATCAAACCCAGGACCCTTCAGTCCGCAGGCCGGTTTCGGCGGACTCCGCTTTTCTAGACGGGGCGTCCGCACAGCTGCCCTAAGGGGGCTACCCCCGGGTGCAGAGGCCAGGACCGGGAACGGGACAGGGAGCTTCGCTGAGCAGTTCTGAAGTTGAGCTGGCAGGTCAGAAGGTTCCGACCAGGACCTGGGGCCTCTGATGTGACAGCTTTACTCTGCAGGCTCATTCCTGACTAAAGGAAACAGCCCAGCTACTCGCCCCTTCGCCTGCGCTCATCCCGCGGGTACCTGGGCCCTTCTGAACGTGACCCGTTTACCACGGCCTGGGGGCAGCCCCGCCAAGGGCCCAGAGCACAGCCCCTGGGAAAGTCCCCCACCCCATCTTGGCTGTGTGTGGCCCGGCCAAGTCACTTCACGGAGACCGACTCCTACAAAATGCCCCTTCCATTTGGCGGGAACAGCACCGCCTCCAAACTCTGTCCTGTTCGCACCCGTGCTCAGTGCTGTGCCTGGCCCAGGAACACAGCACTCAGTGACCACCGCTCTGAGCGGATGGCTCCCTGCTCCTCGTTCTTTCTAAGGTCACACAGGCGCCGGACCAAGTGGAAGCGTGTGCGGTGGCTGCAGGGCCAGGAGCCCAGCGCCTGGCCGTGGGGCGGGGCTTCCACCGCTCACTGGACTGGAACTTCCTGTGGGACAGGGAGAGCTTGCCGGCCAGGAAACTGATCTAAGAAAATCCAATTCTTCCTCAAACGGCCAGTTACATCCGGGTCCTGAGACACCCAAGCCACTCCTCTGCCAATGGCCCGTTTCTGAGCCAGGTGCCCACAGGCCCACAGGATGGGTCCCTCCATTTCTCGACTTCCTGTCCCGACTGCCGTCCCCTGCCCAGAGCCATCCTGCCTGTGCCCCCCACAGCCAGGCCCAGCCTCTCCTTGTACAGGCGCACACCGTTTCCTGGTGTAAGTCCACACCCTGTCCTCTGACTTACACATCACATGCTGCTATGTGCCAGTCAGTCCCCCATCTCATCCACGTTAGCTGCCTGACAAGATGGAGTGTCAGAGCCTGACACGGGAGCCCCCGGAGGGCATCCTGGAGGCGCAGCCGCTCCCCGTGCCTGCCGGACTCACCTGTGCGATGATGGAGAGGATGCCCAGGACCGCTATGAAGGCCGCCACACTTTCTGGTGAAAACTTCATTATCTGGAAGGTCCCCAGGAAAAGTTAATGAACACAAAAGCACAGCAACCACCACACTGATGCCACGGCTAGCACGTCAACATCCACGGAGCCAGAAAACATCAAACTGCTCATTTGTCACCAAAGAATTCTCCCGAGGGAAACGGCTTTCCCGGAGAATCCGCTACGGTGCTAACACGCTGAACACAAACCCACTTAGTACAAGTTAAGCAAATCTAAACCTGCTAGACCAGTGGTCGGCAAACCGGGCCCACCAGCCACTTGCGGCTCTTTGGCCCTGGAGTGTGGCTCTTCCACAAAATACCACGGCCTGGGCGAGTCTATGTTGAAGAAGTGGCGTTAGAAGAAGTTTAAAAAAATGTGGCTCTCTAAAGAGATTTCTATCGTCGTCCTGTTGCTATTTGGCTGTGACGAGTTGCCGACCACTGAGCCAGAGGAAGAAACCCGAGGCAGCTACAGCGCCAGAGCCCTGTGACCAGCAGCAGCAGGCTCTGTGCTCCTCTCGGTGCCCCGCTGCCCCGGGACCAGAGCAGGCGCTGACGCTCCTGGCAGCTGCTCTGCCGACGGGCGCTCCAGTCTGCGAGCGGCCGAGCTCCCCATCTGTGTGGGCAGCCAAGACCGGCCTGAGCCACCCTGGCCGCAGGCTGACTCTGCCTGAGGAGTGGCAGCCCGTGGGGGATGACCCGGTGCGCCTGTCCCCGTCTCTGCCAGCCCAGCCCTCCGACGGCGTTTCCGCGGTCCTCCCGGCGGGCTCACCTGGCGGAGGTACAGGAAGAAGCTGGAGTACTGGCCCGCCTCCGGGAGGTAGGAGAGGAACACAGTGATGCAGATGAGCAGCACGATGGAGTCCTGGCCCACCTTCTTCAGGGACTGCAACACCGAGGGGAGGGGGGGCACCGTCAGCGCGGCCGCGGCGGCTGTGCAGGCCCTTTCTAGTTTCTGTCCGCCTCCCACACTGCCAGAGGCTTCACCCCTTCCCCTCCCACAGCCCCCGAGAGGGAAGGGGGTGAACTTGCCGCAAAGGGGTCGGCCTGCTCCCAGGAGATGGGCGCCCCCCAGGATGCGGGCCGCATCTTCTCGGGCAGAGACTCGGGCACGGCCACCAGGATGAAGCAGATGTCCAGCAGCGCGATGGCCGTCGCCAGGACCACCACCAGGCTGTCCCCGTACACCCGGCCCAGGTATGCGCCGATGGCAGGGCTGATCACCAAGCTCGCGGCGAACGTGGCGGAGACCTGGAGCCACGCAAGGTCAGAGGTGAGAGCAGGACCTGACCCCTTCCTTCCAGGCAGGCTGCCGCCCCTGTGAGCCCTCCCCCACCTGTGCCTCACACTCTTCCTCTGCAGGAGGAGCAATCAGTCTTAGCTGGAAACCAGCACCAGCGGTGGGCCTAACCCAGACCAGTGGTCAGCAAACCACGGCTCACGAGCCACATGCGGCTCTTTGGCCCCGTGAGTGTTAGAACGCCACTTCTTCAAAATAGCCTCGCCCAGGCCGTGGTATTTTGTGGAAGAGCCACACTCAAGGGGCCAAAGAGCCGCAGTGACTCGCGAGCCACAGTTTGCCGACCACTGACCTTGGAGTCCGGCATGAGCCTCCTGACTTTAGATCAGCCATTTCCGTCTCACGACCCAGAAAAGAGTTCCTTAGCTTCAGAATAATGTTCAGAAGAGCTTCAGTAATGTAGCAATATCCGTAATTTCAAATCTGACGTGTGCGACTAAATACACACGGAACACAAACAGCCACACGTACAAGGCTCTGCATGTGAGCGCGTGTGCAGTGCGGCCTGAAGGGCTGATTCCAACAGGAACGGGTCGTGTAAGGCACGCACTGCCCTGTGAGGTCACCAGACAAGCGGGGCCCCGGGGCTGCGGGGAGGGCACCGCACCTGTCCGTAGGCCATGCTTCTCTCGTGCTCTTGGGTGATGTCCGCCACGTATGCGAACACCACGGAGAAGGTCACTGCAAACACCCCCGACACGGAGATGACGGCAAAGTACCACCTGGAGGGAGGGGACGGGAGTGAGGACTGGCTCCGGGCCGCCCGGCTCCAAAGGCTCGGACAGCACAGTGGCGGCTGGGGCAGCACGTGTGGACACAAAGTACCAACGTCTCCAGCCAGTCCCTCACCAAACAGGGCATTTTTAAGTAATTTTGTAGTTTTGACTTAAGACAGCAACAAAGCTTTTGAGATCCAACCACTACTGTCGCCACAGCACTAACAGAAACAAAGCTCAGTCACTCAGTCCCTGCACTTCCTGGGGCCTGAGGACAGAAACTAGACAAACTTCAGTCCGGCTCCGGCAGTGAGCGGGCGGTTGCTATGGAGAGCGAACGAGAGGTGATAAAAGCTGTGGTCCCAAATGCGTCCCAGCAGCTTTCCCCATCGCGTGTGAGCGTGCTGACGGCAGCGGCCGTGCTGCTCCCGAGCGATGCAGACCCACACGGCGGGCCACGGAGGGCGCGGGCGGGAGGCAGCGCTGAGCGGAAGGAAGGGCCTTTCGCTGCTACACCCGCCGGGCACCTACCACGGGCTGATCTTCATCAGAGGGATCGGGGCACACGTGAAGAACACCGTCAGCAGCAGGAAGGACTTCCGGCCCCAGACGTCGGAGAGAGCACCAATGAGCGGGGCGCTGAGGAAGGACAGCAGACCCTGCGGGGGAAGGAAACAGTGAGCCAAAGGGGACCCACAGAGAGCCCGAAGCCGGTTTATTTCAAACAACGTGTCCCCAAAGTGTAGAGGAACAGCTTATTTGTGTGTGTGATTTCAGCGTTTCCCAGGACTGACGAGCACAGCGGGCGCCAGCCGGTGGTCTGACCACGGTGGTCCATGAGGTCCAGAAGGCTGGCGCCCGCTGGTCTACATCACCTGCAGCCTCGCTGCGATTAAACAGGAAGCGCTCCAGGGACTAAGCCCCAGGAACGCCACACGCGCAGGTGGAGAAAGACGATCGTGTTATGCTTTTATAGTCACAGGCTAATTGTGTTTAAAAACCTGCTGTCAAAGGAAATCTCCAGTAAAGAACATGCAGAATATGCAAGACCTGACCAGACGGAGAAATTTCTGAATCCCTAAAATAGTTTTCAATTTATATTCTTACTGTAGTTCACAAAAGCACCGGTCTCTGCGATAAAGGCCGATGCCTGCCCCTGGGAATGCTGGGAAGGGAGTGACCCGTGTGCGAGCTGGGATTCATCAGGGTGCGCAGGTGCTACATTTGAGCCAAACGAGACCGAAAGCCCAGCCGGTTCAAACACTTACACCCAAGACGCACTCTGGCTGCAAAAGGGACACCTACGGGGTCAGTTACCCAGCTCCCATCCCGGCAGATTGCATGGCAAGGTATTAGGTGCTGGGGTGAGCACACGCGTGCATGACTGTATGCACGCTGATCCTACCTTGACTCCTTGAATCAGGCCGTTCATCAGAAATGTATGTTTAGGGAAGGTTTCATGTAATACCTAAAAGAACAGAAGAAAACCTCAGGGTGCCTTTGTCTCAGTAAAACATCCTACTCCGTTTCCAACCGCCCCCTCACAATTCGCCCTAATTTCACTTCCTCAGCTCGCTCTGCAGGCTGCTGGCACGGGAGGCAACCTACCACCGGGCACTGGGGCATTCGCCAGGCACCTCAGACACCCAGTCCCCAGTGAGGACCCCAGGCGGGCACGGAGAATGTCGACCTCTGCCCAAGGCTGCACGGAAGTGGCACAACCAAAGCGGGGCCAGGAAGTAGGGGCTGAGGCCGCGGAAAGGAAGGAGGCTCGCCCCGGAACTGGGGAAAGAGGCTTCACAGGAAGTGGTCAGCGAAAGGTGACTTACCACCAGCGTGGGCGCGGTCAGCAGGCCCCAGGCGAAGAACTCCAGGAAGATGACGATGACCGCGTGGTACACGCTGGGGGAGCCGATTCCTTGAGGCTGGAAAACAGGGGCAGCGAGTGAGCGGGCCGCGTCCCTCCGCGTCCAGGCAGGATGCGTACGGGCGCCGCCCTCGGGCTGCTCCATCGCTCGTTCCCCTTCCCGCAGCTCGGCTGGTCGCCACGGGGACCTGCCGTCTCAGTGCCAGTCCCACAGCGGAGGCCCTGGGCCGCCCGAGGGCAGCGGTCTGCGGGAGGACACCGCCCGGTCCGGGCTGCAGAGACTGACGTGGGCACCTCAGCAGCCACCACCGCAGACACTGAGCCCTCGGGGAGCGGCTGGAGGACTGAGGCCTGAATGCCCAGGAGCGGCGTTCCACACCGAGGCAGCCGGGAAAGAAGGCGGGGCCCAGAGGCGTGGGACGGCCTGAGGGGCCAGGTGCACGGCCAGCCGCCGGCAGACTCGTGCTGGGAGGGTGGAGGCCAGGGAGCCCCCCAGGCCGACCCCGGAACGCAGAGCGGGGCAGCTTCTGGGTATTTATCCAAAGAAACCCAAAACGCCAATCCAAAAAGATATTACGTGTCCTGTACCCCATGTCCATAGCAGCATTCTGTACAAGAGCCAAGAGACAGAAACAACCTGTGTGTCCATCGACAGGCGAGTGGATAAGGCGGATGTGATGTACTGAAATAGTGAAATATTATGCTGCCATAAAAAAGAATGAAATCTACCCTGGCTGGTTTGGCTCAGTGGATAGAGCCTTGGCCTGTGGACTGAAGGGTCCCAGGTTCAGTTCGGGTCAAGGGCATATGCCTGGCCTGTGCTGCAGCCTCGATCCTCAGAAGGGGATGTGCAGGAGGCAGGCAATCGTGATTCTCTCCCTCTCCTTTCCTCTCGAAATCAATAAAAAATATATTTTTAAAAAATGAAATCTTACCACTTGAGTCATGGATGGACTCTGAGGGTACTTTGCTAAGTGAAATAAGTGAGACAGAGAAAGTCAAACACCGCAATTTAGCTTATCTGTGGAATCTAAACAGAAATCAGCTCATACACAGAACTAACAGGTGGAGGCCAGACAGGAAGGGTGCAAGGGGCTGGGTGGAAAAGTGAAAGGGACTATCAAGTACAAATTGCAAGTTTTAAAAATAGTCATGGAGCCTGGCCCGCGTGGCTCAGTGGCTGATTGTTGGCCTATGAACCAGGTTCGATTCCTGGTCAGGGTGCATGTCTGGTTGCAGCCTCAATCCCCAGAGTGGTGTGCAGGAGGCAGCCGACCCCTCATCACTGATGCTTCTCCCTCCCTCCCTCCCTCTGAAATAAAATCATATTTAAAAACGGTCACGGGACCGTGAAGCACAGCACAGGGAACACGATCAGCCACATGTACTCAGTGTGTACGGTGTCAGATGGGTGCTAGACTTATTGGGGTGAGCACTCTGTAAGGGTATGAATGTCTAATCCCTATGTGGTACGTCAACCGGAATTTAAAAACACCGGAGAAACGCACTTTTAAATTCATCTGTCCCGAATGGTTCACACTGACTAAGAGATTAGCAAAACATTACATACATAAAGGTTTTAATGAAAAACTTGTTACTTCTGCACTAGGGGGTCGCTCAGCCCAGCCTGCGCCCTCTCGCAGCCCGGGACCCCTCGGGAGATGTCCGCCTGCCGGTCAGTCGGTTGGTCAGTCGGTCGGTCGGCGGGCCGGCCGGTGGGCCGGGCACCGGGCCTCTAGTTAGTGCTGTGGTCAGGCCGCAGCGCCTTCAGCAGTGACATGGCACACAGCAGATGGTTACATATTTGCTGAGTTTAACCTGGGGACCTTCTCTAGTGAACTCTGTTGTTTTCCACTGAACACTGTGCTTCCTTCCGGAAGGACAGGCCCTTTAGAAACTCCCCAGAAAACCTAAGTCAACGCAAACGGGGCCAACAGCTCAAGGTGAGCGGACCCAGAAGGGCCTGCGGACACACAGGTTCGAGTGTGTGAAACGGTTTATTCTTTTATTCTTGTTTCTGAATTTGCCACGCGGCCACCTGTAAACCCACTTTGCCCCGCAGTGTAGATCACACCCCTTAAGGTCATTTACCTTCCGGGCAGCCTAGGCCAGCCTCTCCTGCTTACCCCCTCCCCCCTCCCCCCCAGCCCCAGGAGCTGCGGACGAAGGGGATTCTGGAAGAGCTCAGTTCACTTTCCGACAAACCACCCCAGCTCCCTGCCCACGCTGTGTGGCTGGCCGGGCTCAGAGAGACGCCCTGAGCAAGGACAAAGCAAAGCCACGGCTGGTTAAGGTGACCGGGCACCTAGCAGACAATGGCGGGGGGAGGGCCTGCCAGGAGGGAGCTGCCCAGAGCTGTGTGTGCCCAGGTGCCCCAGGCGCTGGACTCTGAATAAGCCACCGCCAGCGTACCCAGGAGAACTGAACAATATCACATGGCAGTTTTCCTCCCTTTCTTAAGAAGCGTTTGTAACGGTGGTAACCTGACCAATTACAAGAGGCCGGAAATCAAAGGCCATTTTAAAATCATGTCTTTATAAAGTTTACTTTTACTTTATTATTATTTAAATATATTTTATAGATTTTTTACAGAGAGGGAGAGGGATAGAGAGTTAGAAACATTGATGAAAGAGTAACACTGACTAGCTGCCTCCTGCACCACCCCCTCCCAAGGATGTGCCTGCAACATGCCCTTGACCCGAATCAAACCTGGGACCTTTCAGTCCACAGGCCGACGCTCTACCCACTGAGCCAAACCCGTCAGGGTTATTTATTATTTTTTTAAGTCGACGTTTAGAGGAAGAGGAAGGGAAAGTAACCACAAAGAGAGGGAACACCAAGGGCTGCCTCCAGCGCCCCCAGCGAGGATGGATCAGCTCGGACAAGCGCCCTCGCCTTCCTGTGCTCGGGAGGACACCCACAGACTGAGCCACACCGGCCAGGGCAAAAGTTTTACTCGCAAAGTTATGCTTGTTTTCATTAACAGCTAGAGTGGATTAAAATATAAACCTTGCAAAAAATTACCCTGACAGGTACAGAAATATATCTCCTGATTATACACAGGAATAAACAAATTACAATAAAAACCACCTACAGATGTGTTGGCACACACATTTTGTCACCCTGAGTGTGTTTGCCACTGCGGACTCGCATGCTAGGCCCTCAGCAATCGGGGCGGACAAAGCCCTATCCTACAGGGTGTCCGGCCCGGGGAGGTGCATCCAGATGACACGCGATGATGTCCACGCCCTCCCCCAGGCTCCATGCATCCCCTGCATGAAACCCTTGCTGGGGGGAAGACTGGATTGTGTCCAAAAGCAAGCTATGGATCCACTACAACACCGATAAGTAACGAGATGAAGAGTCATCTCAGCTCTCAGGATGAGCCATGAAGGCATCTGTGAGCCAAAGCCGAGCGAAGAGGAAACACGGAGCTTACAAGAAAAGGAAACTTTCTTCATCGGCTCCACTCACACTTCTTACACCCCTGCCCGCCTGCCCCGCCTGCCCCGCCTGCAGGCCCAGAGGCATCGAATGCAGCGCCCGGGGACCAGGCAGCCAGGGCAGCCAGCATCCTCTCGGGCACTTCTCTGCCTGGCGGTGCTACCGGCGCTCACCGCCACGCTCCTCACCTGGCCCCGGCGATGCTTCATCACCAACAACAGAAGCCTCAGGCCTGGATGGCAGTGTCCCCACCAAATGCCAAGTCTGTGACGTCTAAGAGCCTGACAGCTGCCCGCCAGCGCACTCAGACTGCCCCGATGTGCCAGCGCCCGCCGGGCCCCACCGCAGTGTCCAATGTCCAAACCGCGGCACTTTCTTCAAATGGCCCGGCAGGCCCTCCGCGGGCCCGCTCAGGGCCCCGGCCTGGCCGCGGGAAGGGGGGCCGGCTCCGCGGGGCCCGGGCCCAGGATGCAGCCCCGGAGGTTCGGCCTACGATGTCGGGGGAGTTGTTCCCAGGTAACCCCCTCCTCCCCTTCCGGGCCGGCCCCGGCCCGCGGCCCCCTCGGCGTGAAGTGTATCGTGATGACAACTGTTCCCAAGAAGCCAACTTTCCCTGCCCTCCGGCCCTCCGTCCGGCCCTCCGCCGCCCTCCCCCGGCCCGCAGCCAGGCGGCTGCACGGACACCGGGGGGTTCAGCGCCGCCGGGACGGCCGTTCCCCGGGCCCGGCGGCCTCGGCGCGGGGGCAGCCACCTCCGCGGCTCCGGGCGGGCGGCCAGGCCGGGCGCCGACCCCGCCACCGGGAGGAGGGCGCGGCCCGGCCCTGCGCGGCGCCCGGGAGAGCATATGGACGGCGGCGGGCGGGCGCGCTCCCCGGCCCCGGCGGAGCGCACGTGGGTCGCGGCCAGGCCCCGAGGGTCGCGGGGGGCGAGGCGGCGGGTGAGGACGGGCCGGCGGCCCCTCCCGGAGGCCGGGCCGGGCGGGAGGCCCGCGGCGCCGGGCCGGGCCGGGCCGGGAGGGCGGCCCCGCGGCGGGCGGGCACCGGCGGGGCGGGGGCCGGGCCCGCGGGCCCTCCGCTCACCGTGCCTCCGTCCTTAATGATGATCTTCTTGGCCAGCATGATACTGCGGTTCGCGGCCCGTTTCTTCTTCTTCCCCTGGGTCATTTTACCATCCTCGAGTCCCGCCGCCGCTGCTGCCACTCCCGGGGCGGCGGCCCCGCGGCGAGTCCGTGCCGCCGCTACTGCCGGGCCGAGCCGCTCGCGGAGCCCGCCGCCATCTTCAAGGCCCGGCCTGCCCCGGGCGGCGCGTCACATCGTGCGATCGGCGACGAGCGCCCGGCCCCGCCCCGCGCCGCGCCGCGCCCCCCGCGACGCCGTCGCCCCGCCCCTCCCCGCGACGCTGCCCGCGCCCCACGTGACGCTCTACTCTGGACCCACGTGACGCAGCCCGCCCCCCACGTGACGCCGCAGCCCCGCCCCCTGGCTGCTGGCTGCTGGCTGCGCTGCGCTGCGCGGGAGGGAAGCCGGGGCCGCTGGAGCCGCGGGTTCCAGGCGAAGGGCACGAGGGAGCGGCTCGGATCGCCCAGACAAACCATCTTCCAGACACAGCCTTGTGGTCCGGGGCGCGGGGCGCCTCCCGCAGCCGCCGGGCCCGGGCCTTGCCCTTCCTTCGCCGGGCCTGGCCGCACGTGTTACCTGCGGCGCCTTGGAGTCCGCTTCCAGTTTCGCCATTTTGTCTGAAAGTCAGTTGATGGAGGGGAGCGGGTTGGGTGGCTACGAAGGACAGTTGCAGATGAACGTCAGTGTCGATGCTGGTAGTTCAGAGTTGGGAAGGAACGGCCTTCTCCAGGATACCGGGAGCCTGACGGAGCGAGCGGGGCGCCGCGGCCTCCCAGAGGCAGGGGTGTGGGCACGTCAGCGGGGAGCGGGGGGCCAGGCATGAAGCGCGAGCGGGCGCGGCGGAGGCCAGAGCGGGAGGCCCCTCCTTGGGGCACTGACACCGGCTAATTCTCCGGAGGAGGACGACCCTCTGGAATGTGGGCGCGCCTGTGGCGCCTTCCTCACAGAATGAAGAAGTGACAGCACAGGCGGGGCAGGGAGGTCACAACAGCACAGAACCCTCCTGCGGGCTCCGTTCCCTCGGCTCAGGTCTGGGGGAGGCCGGCGGCCACGCCAGGAGGACACTCCAGCAGCCTTTGGAGGCCCAGGGGCCAGACCGAGGCCTCCTGCCCACCGGCGCGAGTCATCCCGGGAGCAGATCCTCCGCCGGGCCAGGTCCTCGGCCACCTGCTGCCCCTGCCACACCTGCTGCCCCTGCCACACCTGCAGCCCCGAGACCCGGAGCGTGCCCCCCCCCCTCTCCTGGCCCCAGCCCTGGGAACTTAAAAATGACAGGGCAGCCCTACCTGGTGTGGCTCAGTGGATAGAGCCTGTGAACTGAAGGGTCCCGGGTTCAATTCTGCTCAGGGGGACATGCCAGGGTCGTGGGCTCGACCCCCAGTGGGGGGCGTGCAGGAGGCAATCAATGATTCTCATCACTGATGTTTCTACCTCTTCCTCTCCTCTGAAATTAACAAAATATATATATATTTTAAATGACCGTGTGGTGCTCGCTTCGGCAGCACGTGTACTACGAATCGGAACCATACAGAGATCAGCGTGGCCACTGTCCAAGGATGACGTGCAAATTCCTGAAGCGTTCCACATTTTTTAAAAATGGCAGTGTGTCATGAAAGGTGTCTGCACAGCCGAAACCGGTTTGGCTCAATGGATAGAGCGTCGGCTTGGGGACTGAGGGGACCCGGGTTCGATTCCGGTCACGGGCATGTACCTTGGTTGCGGGCACATCCCCAGTAGGGGGTGTGCAAGAGGCAGCTGATCGATGACTCTCTTTCATCGATGTTTCTAACTCTCTCTCTCTCTCTCCCTTCCTCTCTGTATAAAATCAATAAAATATATTAAAAAAAAAAAAAAAAAAGAAAGGTGTCTGCACAGCAGCCACGGCTGTGGCTCCTCCTTAGTCCAGGAGAACGGCAGGGATGCATAGTCCCTTCGTAAGGGGCCCACGAGGAGGTGCCTGTCATTCCTGGCAGCCCCAGGTGATGGTTGGTAACGTGTGCCCACAAGGTGACTGGCAGGGGGCGCCCTGGAGCCAGACCTCCAGAGGGGCAAGGCTGGAGTGTGAGCCCACCACGTGGGCCCTGCCTGAGCTGCCAGGAACACCTGGGCCCGCAGCGAGGGGCTGCCCGCTGCAGCGCCCCCTGCCCAGCACTGGTGGCTCCCCTCCCCTGAGCCCTGGTTTGCGGAGAATCGGAGAATCGGCTCACCTGGTGAGGCTGGGGAGCTCGGGGAAGCCTGAGCCGCTCAGCACACTCCCCCTCCCCCGTGGGCTTTCTCTCGGGTGGGTGAGCGACGGGCGCCTCCATCAGACTGGCTCCCGGTGTGTCTGCACGGCCCTGGGGTTAAGAACTAAGAACGGGCAGACAGCACTTCCTTTCTTTGTTTTTCCCAGGAGGACATTTCTTTTACTTTGGTTTTTCAATACTTTCAGCAAAAGAAATATCCCTACTACCCCCCCCCCCCCTGCCCCCATTTAAGTAAATGCTTTTCATGAGAAGATACCAAAGAAAAGTACACATTAAAAAATTCTGTTCTTACTTTAGCGATCTGTTAAAATGAAGCATTCTGTACAGGGTTACTTCAGTGACAGGTGCAAATAAAACCCTGTGGCTTATCATTTGACCTCTATGCACCGAACTGAGAGTCATGAAAGAAACAATTAGATTCAAATTATGAAGATACATCCCAGGAACGGTAATTACCTAAGCTTGGGCTAGCAGAGAAGAGTTAATTTAAGACAAAACACGTAGGCTAGCACCACTGCGCGAGGAGAGCCGGGGGCTCGGGGTAGTGAGACTCGGTCTCGGGGCTGAGCATGCGCTGGGCCGGGAGCCAGAGGCAGGAAGGTGTGGGGTCGCTGTTGCCAGAGAACAGGGGCAACTCATGGGTCCTGTCTGACACGGGAGTGGGGCGCCAGGGGACACAGAGAGACGCTTACATCGCTAATTATGAAAATAATGTACTTTCATCAGCTTACTAAGTGGATAACTGGGTACCAAAGAAAAAATGACAACGAAATCTGTCAATTTAAAAAAAGCCATTTAACAAAAGACCAGTTTATATATTTCTTTGAATTATGTCATCAAAATTTAAACATACAAATCACATTCCCAAGCCCAAAAGAATCTTTCTAAACAAATAAAATACAGACATATAGACAAGTTCAGAACCCAAAATGATTGTAAAACGTTGTTTAAATCACAGTAAATGATAGCTCAGAAGAAATAAAGCGAAAGCATGATGGTTCCATCCGACTGTCCAGGTCGGAGGAGCGCAATGCCGGAGGGCTGGGTGATTAAGCTGGTTCTTCGCGCCTCTTAACCCCTTTTCCCACCCCCCACCCCCCACCCCCCCCCCAGTGCAGGGCACGCACCCGAACAGCCTGGCAGCCCGTCAGGCTGCCACCAGTGTTCGCACAGGGCACCCACCCTCCCATGCCGCCAGGTAAGGGTTCCTGAGCAAATGCTGAAACGGCAGCAGGCGGGTTAGTATCCTTAAAACACCCTCCTCCTCCCAATGCCCACAGCTGGGAATGACAGGCACAGCCTCCGGGATGTCAGGGATTCTGGGAAGCAAGGCACAGGCCCAGGTTGTGATGAAGGCGCTCTGGCTGTGGTCCTTAGAGACTCTGAATGTGCTACACATCCCACCGACTGTTCAAGTGACCTTCCACACAGCTAACTGGCTCTGAAACCTTCCCAGACATACAGCACACATGCACATGTGATTACATATGGTAACGATGAGAGTGAGCAATGCGGAACCCTGTTTTTAAAAGAAACTCAGCTGAATGACTATAGGACGCATTTTATAAGTCTAATAATTTGGGAAGAGGAAAAGCGTGCCAATTCTTAAGAACAGTCAGCATTAACTATGTCTACTGAGCACAGTTTCCTTTCAATGTCTCCTTACAACCTAGTTTATGGATCAAACCACCCCTCCTACGAAGGGTGGCACTCAATGTACATGGATGTAAACGTAGATTCTGCATCCGTACCACATGCTCCTCCATGAGACAGCTCCACCACCGCCCGAACTTCTCACAGGGCTGAGCCCATCTCGGCGAGGAGACATCCTCATGCGGCATTTCAGACTTTTGTTCCCAAATACCATGCTCTTAATTTTTAATAGAACTACCAACTGGCACTTTCCTCCCATGAATTAGCATATTCTTTATAATGAACCAATTAGTGGAGAGAAGTAAACTTTAAAAAGTATAAGAATTTAAATAATCGAGTTGTCACAAAAGATTTAATACAATAAGGCTTTGGAAGTCAGCAAAACCCATACCACACCCAAGAAAATGGCATGTCTGTACATACAGTGTCCCAGAAAATGCTTACACACTTTCAGCTGATAGCTCACTTGTGAAAATGAATTTATTTTTTCAATATATATTTATTTCAGAGAGGAAGGCAGAGGAAGATAGACATCAATGATGAGAGAAAATCATTGATCGGCTGCCTCCTGCACACCCCCTACTGGGGATCGAGCCCGCAACCTAGGCAGGTGCCCTGACCAGGAATTGAACCGTGACCTCCCGGTTCATAGGTCAACACTCACCCACTGAGCCACACCGGCCGGTATGAAATGCATGTTAATAAACACTGCCTTTATAATTACTCAGCCGTGTGTATGCATTTTGGGGGGACACCCTACATATGACATGATCCGGAATAAGGGCTCCTCTTCTCAAATGTGACTGTATCTTTAGGGATTAAAAAGCATAAACTAACAACCCAATCTCTGATAACATTTTCAAACTGACTAGAAAAGCAAAATAAAAACTGCTTGGAAAATATACTTTAGATTATTTTCTCCTTTCTTAAAACTCTTGATTATAACTTTATAAACTTTGTTAGGAATCTTGAAAATTGTGTTATTTTGTTCACTGTAGATAGCATATCTGATATCCAATCGTGCTCCTGGGTCATTTTTGGAAGTGTTAAAACAGGCGCAGACTGTACCTGAATTAACAATAATTGTGAGCACACAGGAATGGCTGTAATTACCTGACCACTATTCCACGGGCTGAACGCTCTCTTCTTACAGTATTCAGTCTTGAGTTCTCAGCACCTGAGACTGGGTTCGCTTCGCGGGTCACAGAGGTCAGTGTGAATGCCGATCGTCTGAAAGCACCCTCGGCGCGGTGGTTACTGCACACACACCCAGCCTGACCGCGATCTTCCTTGGTCACCGAACACCCTAAGCCGGGCTTCCAGAAGTCTCCTTGGGGCCATCTGCATCACCAGCAGGCACTGAAGTGTCCTGTGACTTCGCACACATTCAAACTCCGGTGCACCAGGCAGGCTGCGTCCTGATACTAGAGGTACTAAGACCAGGCTTGCATCAACCAAGTCAGAGCCAATCCTGTTGGCACAAGCACCCATGTTTGGAAAGTACTATTTTGAGCCAGATTCTGTGCTTGCATCCCATCTCGGTGAGGAAACATCTTCACATGCATTTCAACTTTACTCCCAAATACCACGCTCTTAATTTTTAATAGAACTACCAACTGGCACGTTCCTCCCACAAATTAGCATATTTTTATAATGAAAGTAGTGGCGAGAAAGGAGTAAATAACATTTAGCAAAGTCCATGAGGGTGACTTTTTAGTTTTTATACGATTAGAACAGGAAACTTTAAAAATATATTAAGTCTGATGAAAAGCATAAAGTAAAATAATTCTACTCTCTGGTAATCCTGGCGTCAATAAATAAACCCACATCCAACTTCAGGAGGATTTGCCCAGCACTCCCCTCATCTCCTCCGCCCGGTCTCTCCCTGTGCCGCCGGGTAACTCACTCCTGCACTTTGCCGCTCCACGGTGGAGCTGAGCAAACGGGAGCCAGCACCTGGCTTCCTGCCTCCTGGCTTCCCGGTGCTCAGGGCCCCGGAGACTCAGAGCCCCCGGGACGGGTGTGAGCGCCTGGGAAGCGCTGAGTGGCCTTGGTGTAAGTCAGAGCGCCATTTATAGGTGATACCATGGCAACCTGGAATGTCTCCAAGGAAAGCTGTTTTGGTCTCAGTTCCTTGATGTCAGACCTACTTTGGTGGTTGTTTTTGACAACAGTTGTAGAGTTTACATATCCATGAGTAAAATACTTCTTAAAAACACCCTAATGTGTACAGTTCATGCACTGATAGTTCAAAAGTCTCCAAATGGAGATACTAGACAAGAATTATTTTATTGTAAATTAATAAGTGAGTATTTACTCCCTTTAAATCACATATTGAAACTTTAAGGGAACACACAGGAATTCCGTTAAAGTACTCCTAACGACTGATGTGATTTACGGAGAAGCAGCAGGTGGGTGAGGGCCAGCCGCTAGCACCCAAGGGCCCAGGGCCACCCGCATGCAGCGGGGATGCTTCCGAGGCGCTGGAAGACCCGACAGGTGGGTGGAGAAATGTGCGTTTCTCTCCGTGGAATGTGGATGTGGACTCTGCATCTCACTCTGACCAGCCAGACCCAGAGGGCACCTCACCAGCTTTTACGTAGGTGAACGACACTTAGCGATCTTTTGTTTGCCAATCTTTTTGCACAAATATAGAAATCTTGGGTACGTGGAAGTGTTTCTCAGGCCATCCTTCTACTTCCTCACAGCTCTGCTGGCAACAGTTATCATTGTCGGACTGACTCTCCACCGACGTGCTGGCCTGTCCGAGGGGCAGAAAGACCGAGTGGAGTGAAGGAGCTGTCTGCAGAAGTGACCGCTGGCGCTCGCTGCAGAGAGCACAGGCCACCCTGCAGCGGTCCACACGCAGGCGCCTCTGACCTCAGATCCCCGCCCCCTGCAGCGACTCCAGCCCTGGCAGTCCTCTCAAGCCTGGCTCTCCAGCTGCGGTAGGCACTCTGTTACATACACACACACGTTGGCCGGACGTTCATGTTTCCCAGCCAGGGGGCAGTGTGATCTCGGAGATCTGGGGTCTGAGCAGTCCTGGGGGTCCCCACCGCCCACGCACTGAGCCCTATGCTCGGGTGGTACTGCCCGCAGGCTTGGGGTCGTAGCCGTACAGGAAAGTCGCTGCGATTACGAGGATGGCTCCCAGGAAGAAGACACTGAATAAGGAGAAAAGGAAAAAGACAAAAGCAGGTTAAAAGCCAACAAGGCTTCTCTTTCTTTACTCTCACAGCTGGATGGGGGATGTTCAGTAACAAGGCCAGCCAAGCGTGTGCTCACTCCTCCCAGCTGCTCAGCTGGCGCCCACACGCCTCTTAGCGCCCACAGCCACCGCGGAGGACAAGCTGAAGGTAACCCGCTCCCAGCCCTACCAACTCCTCGTGAAGCGGGGGGCAAAGCTCCGCATCTGGCTCCAGCTCCCTCCTCCTCCTCCTGCTCCTCCTTTTCCTCCTCACTGCACTGTCCCCCAAAACAAAGACATCTAAATGTCTTTCATCTTCATATGCCTTGTAATGAAGACCTCATTTTTTTTAAGATGTGAAACTGTAAAGGGAAATCTACACTCCTTTCAAACCAAAGTACATTTCTGTTTAAAATCCAAGGTACAGCCCTGACCGGTGTGGCTCAGTGGATAGAGCATCGGCCTGGGGACTCAAGGGCCCCGGGTTCAATTCCGGTCAAGGACATGAACCTTGGTTGCAGACACATCCCCAGTGGGAGGTGTGCAGGAGGCAACTGATCGATGTTTCTCTCTCATTGATGTTTCCCTCTCCCTTCCTCTCTGTAAAAAATCAATAAAATATATTTAAAAAATAAAATAAAATCCAAGGTATAATCAGCAAAACTCAGGACCAATTTTTTAGGATGCTCTTTAAAAGAAAATAAGACTAAATGCAGGGACTTGCTTTCTTTATTTTATCCATAAATATGATCCCTTACTATGAATTGGAAATGAACTTAAAACTGGTATCGGGCCTTAAACTGGATGTAAACTATTGGGTCGGCAACTAAGTAATTGCGGGTTCCACACATATATGGCTTCAGTTGAATTTTTAGGTTTGCAGACGTAGTACAAATGTAAAACACATTTTGTTATTTGATAGTTGGCTATTCAGCTGTTAATCAGTAAAAAAAGTTTTTTGATCTGTTTTGTAGTTTTTGTTTGGTGTTCGTTGAAAAATAGAAAATCAAAAGGAACATTTTCGTCATATTTTGCTTTTTTATTTCCGCAAAGGGAAAAACGCATCGCAAGCTCATAAAAAGTTATGTCCTGTTTATGGTGACGAAGCCTTAAAAGAACGGCAGTGTCAAAATTGGTTTGCCAAATTTCGTTTTGGTGATTTTTCACTCAAAGATGAAAAACGCCTGGTCGTCCAGTTGAAGTTGATGACGCCCTAATCAAAGCAATAATCAATTCGGACTGTCACAGTACAACACGTGAGATTGCAGAGAAGCTTCATGTATCACATACATGCATTGAAAATCACTTAAAACAACTTGGCTATGTTCAAAAACTGGATACATGGGTTCCTCACGAACTGAAAGAATCACAGTTAACGCAACGCATTAGCAGCTGCGATTTGCTAAAGAAACGTAATGAAAATGATCCATTTTTAAAACGACTGATAACTGGCGATGAAAAATGGGTTGTGTACAACAATATCAAGCGGAAAAGATCGTGGAGCAGCCCAGGTGAACCAACTCAAACAACATCAAAAGCTGATATTCATCAAAAGAAGGTTTTGTTATCAGTTTGGTGGGATTACAAAGGAATTGTCTACTTTGAACTCTTACCACCCAACCGAACGATCAATTCTGATGTCTACATTGAACAACTAACGAAATTAAACAATGCAGTTGAAGAAAAGCGGCCCGAACTGACAAATCGAAAAGGTGTTGTATTCCATCATGACAATGCAAGGCCACACACATCTTTGGTCACTCGGCAAAAATTAATGGAGCTTGGTTGGGATGTTTTGCCACATCCACCATATAGTCCTGACCTTGCACCATCTGATTACTTTTTGTTTCGATCTTTACAAAACTCCTTGAATGGTAAAAATTTCAATAATGATAATGATGTCAAATCGTACCTGATTCAGTTTTTTGCTAATAAAAACCAGAAGTTTTTTGAACGTGGGATTATGATGCTGCCTGAAAGATGGCAAAAGATCATTGATCAAAATGGGCAATACATTACAGAATAAAATTATTTAGTTCCATGAAAAAATTGTCTTTGATTTTCTTTAAAAAATCCGCAATTACTTAGCTGCCGACCCAATAGAATACCGATCCTAACTTTTGACATGTGTATTCAAGAAAATGAAAGCTTCAAACTTTTAAAATGTCATTTTTTTGGCTTATTTTATGACTTTATTAATATAAGGCCAATGAACTTTTAAATATGATTTTTATATGACTTTTCCTTTGGGAGAAAAACCCATTCAGATCTATCGGAAAACTCCTGTCAGCCAGATTTGTATAAAAATGTTTCCAGTGGAAGATATTTTCATGCACATAATTGGAAATCTTTTTAAAAAGAGCTAAAAGGAACCCTCATTACATTTCCAAGATTCTTAAAAAGTTGTAACAGAACAGCATTTTTCAGACTAGATCTGAAAAAAAATCCTTATTTTTCTATACCCTTTGGAGATTTAAAGAAAAGATGTTACCTGGTAGGTACAAAGTCCTGTAGCCAAAAGTAGGATATCAATGTGGACAATATTATGGACAGGGAAGTTGCAAATCCTTTTAGAATATTGTCTGCATACTTTATAACAGCCGCTATGACAAGGCCTCCGAGTGCCTGCGGAAGGGTTAAGAGATTCTTTAAAAAACAAACGTATAGACAACTGCTTTCAAAACAATATCATTACTCAATGAGACTTTAAGCTTTTGACCTACAAATTTCTCCCCATTTAGTCAGTGATTTTCATTAAGCCCCTCTTCTAACCAATAGCCTCCTGGGCTTTGTTCCGAAGCCCTCATTCCCACGGCTGTCTGATAGTGACCGCCATGGACCCTGCAGTGTTGTAACGAGTTTGATCAGTTCACGAATAAAATCTGCCCACACCAAGTTAGCGGCAGCCTCTCATGGCTTCCTAACCACTCCCTCCCGTTTCTCCCCATCCAACCACCTCTCACTGCTCTCAGTTACTTTCCCTAAAGCCGCTATCTGTGCTCCCTTTAAAGCAGAGAACCTCCTCCGACCGATCCCACTGTGGCTGGTGAGGAGGGCGCGGCTGTCCTCACAGCCTCCTTCCTGCCAGCCCCGCTGCGGGGACTGCTTCCCCTGCGCCTCGCGCCTCCTTCGCCGCGGGGAGGGACTGAGCCTGGAGCCTGGGGGGGGGGGGGGGGGGAGCCACCAGAGGCCCCATCGCTGCAGGGACTCTGCGTCCCCTCCAGTGCTCTCCTGCTCGCGCCTGCGGGCCCCTCAGACCAGTGGCCCAGCCCTTCTGTCTCACAGCCGCTTCCTGAGGACAGAGGTTCCTCTCCCACATCAAAGCCACCGCAGGAAGCTGACTTCCTGTCTGCCCGCTCCTCTGAACTGGCACTCGCCCTGTCTCCGGTTACAGACAGAGCATCCTTCCGGCTCTGCAGCCCAGCTCCCTGGCCTCCCTGGCCACCTCCCACAGGGACTCTTGCTCCTCCTGCGTGGCTGTGGCTTTGCCAGCAGGACCTGCAGCTGCATCTCCTATCTTCCCCTCACAGCCCCCCCTCCCCCCCCTCGGGTGGGGAGCAGCCTGGACCCTCAGGGCATAAACTGAGCGACTCGTGGCCACAGGGGGACGCGCTGTCGCCGCTGCACCTCGGGGCTGCTTCCTGAGCTGATGGGTGACCACCGCCTCCTGTGCAGCGGGCAGAGCAACGGGAAGTCCATCTGCCGGCCCTGCCTCCTGCTCTCCGCGGGCATCTCCCCCGGTTCAAGTGAAGGCCCCGACCCTCCCACCCGCCTCTTCACAGCCACTTCGGCGGGCACTGAGCGCGGTCGGGGACCCCCCTCGCCCCAGCTCAGCGGCACCCTCCGGTCCTCGGCCTTAGAGCAGCGCACTGCGGGGAAGTACACGCTTTACCTGCAGAGCAACCACGGCCCAGGTGAGCCGGTTGTAGCCCTGGAAGAACCCGTTCTGCGACACCAGCTCCCCGTCGTACACGTACACGCCCATCAGCCCGAAGACGCTCCCGAAGAAACCTGCGGGCGGGGCTCAGTCACCGAGTGGCTTTACTTCCACACTCTCCCCTGGGGCGTGCGCACGTTAACCAAAGTGCCCGCAGGGCCGTGAACACAGGGGAAGACGTGAGGACGGAAAGGAGCACGGACACAGCGCAGCGCGGGAGTCACAGGCTCCGCGCGGACTCACCCAGCTGGATGTTCCTGATCCACACCGACTGCTTGGTCTCCTTCAGGATCTTCTCGAAGTACACGCCGGCGAAGCCACTGGAGAAGCAGGCCGTGAGCACGGCCATGAGGCCCACGAACTGCGAGCCGGCCGACAGCGCCTTCGCGTCCGGCTCCTGGGCGTCCGAGGGCCACTGGGCGAAGGAACAACGCAGTTCAGACAGAGCATCCTTCCAGAGCATCCCCCGCCCCCATGCCCAGGGCCAGCTCAGTGCCACCCGGCCACCCTGGGGCTGCGGAGAGCTTCTGAAACAGCCGTAGAGCCGTTACTTCACTACAGCACCACCCCTGCCGCCTTCTAATGGCAAAGCTGGGCCGAGAAAGAGGAGGGACACTGCAGTGGCCGCCGAGACTCCGGGGTGCGTGTGTAGCTAAGGGAGCCTGGGGCTGCACTGCCCCCAGCCCTCCCCTGAACCCCACTCTGCCCGCCTCCCCCCTCACCCCCCGCCCCAGCACCTGGCTCTGCCCTGCATCCCGGCCTTCCCCTGCACCTCGCCTTGCACCTCGCCCTTCCCCCACCCTGCACCCCAGCCCTGCCCTGCACCCTGTCCCTGCCTGCACCCTGCCCTGCTCACCATCCACCCCGGGGCTGCCCCTGCCCTCAGCGCTCTGGGTCTGGCCCATTAAAATAAACGTGGAAAAGCTTTATTCAAGGCGCACACACACTTCACTCGGGAAAGCGCTGGGGGCGCTGAGTGGCAGGAACGTGACAGGCTGGGTTTGCTTTTGGACAGACCACAGCGGGGACTGCGTGGAGCTGACTCTGGGGCAGGGCCCTGAAGGAAAGCACCCTGTTAGCCCGCAGCAATAGTCCTGTGGAGCCCAGGGCACAGGAGAGGCCGGGCGGGCAGCGCGGAGCGGGAGGACGGGCCGGGAGCGCGGAGCGGGAGAGCTGCTGGACGTCGGGCAGAAGATGAGGGAGAGTGATGTCGGGGACGGACAGGGATGGGCAGGGAGGTCACGTCCACTTAGCAGGCGATTGAAGAGCCCAGCCAGCTGCCCAGCAGGGGTTCCACTCAAACCCGACGCGGCCTGTGACGGCCAGGGCGGCCGGCAGCACAGGAGCCCCGCACGCCGTGCTGACGGAAGCTCCAGAGGACGGCAGCTCCTCACGTAAGGAAGTAACCACAGAGACAAGCCTCCCCGGACCAGGCCCCAAGGCAGTGCCCAGCGAGGGGACCGGGGAGAGCAGTGAGGACCGTGAGAGCGGTGGGCGACGGGCGGAAGGCACGGTCTCGGCATGTCCGTCACCTCCGATGCTCCTGGGACCGCTGGACAGGAGCTTCCTCCCACCCGCAGGGTCCTGCTCCCTCACTGGCGGTCAGACCAGTTGGCTTCTCCATGTTTCTCAGCACCGGTTACAGCCCCGGGGCATGGCGCACAGGAAGCTCTCAGAAGAGCCGCCCTGTCCTGGCGCAGCAGAGGCGGCTGTGGGGCGTGACAGGGCGCGTGTCGGGAACGGCTACCTGCACAAAAGCCACTCCGGTCATCAGGATCACCAGCGAGAGCCACTGGTACACACCCAGCTTTTTGCTCAGCATGGACACGGAGAACAGCGCCGTGGTGAGAATTTTCAGCTGATAGGTGACCTGGAGGGAGACAGCGGGTGAGCGCCGGCCGAGGGTCTGCTGGGCAGAAGGGCCAGGAGGGAGGCGCCCTCGGCACCTGGTAGGTAGCCGCGTCGAGGTTGGACAGCGCCACGTAGAGCAGGTTGTTCTGCAGCGTGTAGATCCCGGAGGGGACAGCCAGCTTCATGGTCTCCATGGGCTTGTTCAGGATCTCGTCACGCAGGACTCGGTTCAGCGCCCGCAGGCTGCACTCTGGGGAGGCGCGGAGCGGGAGGTCAGGCCGGGAGGGACCCAACACTCCGTGCCCTCTCTCTAGGCCTGTTTGCTCTCCTGAGGAAAGGATACTGGGCCTCATGTTAAGACACTTTAGGTCTAAACCAGTGATTGGTCATTAGTCAACAGAGCCAAATATCAACGATTGAAATTCCTTTTGAAAGACAAATTTTTTAACTTAAACTTCTCCTAACGCCACTTCTTCAACATAGATTCGGCCAGGCCGTGATATTTTATGGAAGAGCCACACTCCAGGGGCCAAAGAGCCTCAGTTTGCCGACCACTGGACTCTAAACTATACCTTTAATGAGGCTAAGTTTCAAATGTTAAATATTCTCAGGAAGCATTTGCAGAATAGCACTATCCCTCTGTCTCCTGGTCCTTGGAACCCTGGCCAGTGTGGCGCAGTGGGGTGTCCCCTGCACAGAAGGTCGCCTGTTCCATTCACGATCAGGGCACCTGCCTGGGTTTCGGGTTCCATCCCTGGTAGGGGGCGTGCAGGAGGCAGCCAATATATGTTTTGCTCTCACATCAATGTTTCTTTCTGTCACTCCCTCTCCCATCCCCTCTCTCTAAAATCAGTTTAAAAAAAAAAGCCATCTTAATAAAATGACAAATACTGAAATGTTCTTAATACTAGGGTATTAGATAATGCAATAGTGTTCAAATGTGTAGTTAACAACATATATTTACATATATGTCATCCTATATAATAAAAGGGTAATATGCAAATAGACCAAATGGCAAAATAACCAAACAACCAAAGAGTAATATGTTAATGATAATAAGGACGCTCAACCACTTGCTATGACTTGCACTGAGCACCAGGGAGCAGTCAACTGGTCGACCAGTCACTCTGATGTGCACTGACCACCAAGGTAGGTTAGCTTGCTGCTGGGTCTAGCAGATTGGGACTGAGCGAGATGGGCCCTGGAGCCCTCCTGTGGTCCCTTCCCGGCTTGATCATGCACCAGTGGGGTCCCTCAGCCTGGCCTGCTTCCTCTCGCAATCCGGGACTCCTCAGAGGATGTCGGAGAGCTGGTTTCAGCCCCATCCCGCAGGCCGCTCCCCTTGGGAGGGTGCCAGATGCAGGGCTCACGGCTGGTGAGCACGGCAGCAGCAGCACAGCCTCTCCTGATCGGGACTGATGGGCGTGAGCCTGCGGGAGGCACGTGGGGCCGGGATGAGCGGGAGCAGCAGGTAGGAGCTGCTGCGGGTGGCGTTGGACTGAGGGTTTCGGCCGATCCCTGCAGGCCACCCAGAGGACACTCGTATATCAACAATACCAAACAATTAAGTGCATTTCAACGACTTACACACAAAGCCTGGATACCTACGGCTGTCTTTGTAGACCAGTAAGACGCAGGCCATGATCTTCAGGATCTCAGCCACGACCACGGCCGTGGAGGACAGGTAGCGGGGCCCCTCCTCCTTGAGCGTCCTGGAGTAGCGCATGGTGAGGACCAGGCTGGTGGTCTGGAAGACCAGGATCCCCAGGGAGAGGTACTTGAGGTTGGCAGACATCGCTTTATCCGCATTTGCCTGAAAAACAGAACAAACAGGGCAAGTAAACAAAGTGGAAATACACAAACTGATGTATTAAAAAAGCCGTGAGAGCATCAGGCCTCCGAGATGGAGTATGTACGTTCCGCCCCGTTCTTTCTGCTCTGGACCGAACACTAAAGCAGCCGCAGAGACTCTGAAAGGCGAAGGAAAGACAACTGGCCAGAGGCCTCGGAGACCAGCTCCTCCAACAGGGGCAAGCCTACCTTGTCGCCGGAGTCCATGACCGTCCCTCACTTTTTATAAAAGTGCGTCAGCTAATTTACCCGATTGGCGTATTCTACTTTCTCTCTAGGATGGAAATAAAAACTTCCAGGAGCTTGGTTCCCTCTTAAGTGCTCAGAGAAAAGCTAACCCTGCCCATTGCCACGCCTGACTCTAATCTTTACAGTTTCCGGGCCCTGGATCCGTCAGAATTAGACAACTTTTCCTTGTTTCTCCCTCCGGTGTCAGGTGGCTGTTTATATACCATAATGTCAACGTCCTGGGAGTTAATTTTTACCTTGCTCTTTCGCAGTCTGTGGCATCTGTATCACACATTCAGTTAAAATCAATATTCCTTCGGCTATACAAACATACCATATTTACATTCTCATCCTAGATTACAAAGTGCTCGGCTTGTGCCCTTTCCTGGTCGGACTGGGAAGACCGCCTGTCGCAGGGACGCCTCGCCCTTCCGTCTCTCCTGCCCACCGCGTCCCGCTGGTTTCCTGCCACGCAGCCCACGGCGGCAGGCCGTGTCCGGAGAGAAGGCGGGCGGCCCGGAGCCCCCGCCCTCAGCCACGGCTCGGACGGAGGAGCCGGGGCCGCGGTCAGCAGGAGAGACCTCACACCTGCCCTCCCTATTTCACAGGAACTTCCTGCGGACACACAGCCACGAACGGACAAACAGGATCTGCTTCTTCCCGGCGCATCCTCAGCACAGAAGACGTCACTCCAAAACTCCCAGAGTCTGGCCAGGCCCGCAGGGCACTGTCACAGGCACTTGGCACCTCGTTCAGTTATGCCCACGTGGCTCAGCTCAAACACCAAGCCCGCCGGGCGGTGCCAGGTGAGGGGCGTGAGATTGGCGGCAGGCGGGCCCGGCGGGACCCCGGAGGCTCTCCGGCCTCTGTCCGGTGTCAGCCCAGCGGAGCTGTCGGGGGTTCTGGGCCCCAGGACCCAGCGCAGACTTAGGGCGCCCTGGCTCGTTAGCGGCTGAAACCTAGGTTAGGCCGCGGTCCGTACTGACCTTCCGCGCGTGTGTGTGTCAACTGCTTTCCCCTCCTTATCTGTCTGTTATCACAGCCTCTCAGCTGAGAGCTCAGGGCAGAGAGCATGTTATTGTCCTCAAAAACGCTCTCCTAGGATCAAATGGAGGACTAAGACACGGAGAAGCCCAGGAGGACCAGGCTGGGCGCTGGCCAGGACTCCCCGCACCTCACCTGGCCGCCCCCCCCAGGGCCTCACCTGGCTCCCCCCGCCCCCCTCACCTGGCTCCCCCTCCCCCCTCCCCTGGCTCCTCCCTCCCCCCTCACCTGGCTCCTCCCTCCCCCCTCACCTGGCTCCCCCTCCCTCCCCCCTCACCTGGCTCCCCCTCCCCCCTCCCCTGGCTCCTCCCTCCCCCCTCCCCTGGCTCCTCCCTCCCCCCTCACCTGGCTCCTCCCTCCCCCCTCACCTGGCTCCCCCCTCCCCCCTCACCTGGCCGCCTCCCCCCAGGGCCTCACCTGGCTCCCCCTCCCCCCTCACCTGGCCGCCCCCCCCCCCCCCCCCCCCCCCCCCCCCCCCGGGCATCACCGCCCGGACCCCAGGCCGCGCACCGGCCTCACCATGTCCGGTGGCCCCTGCGGCTCCTCAGCGCGGCGCCCGGGGCAGTGGGCGGAGCCAGCGGGCGGGGGTCACCGGGGTCACGCCCCCCGCCCGCCCCTCCCCATCCCCGCCCCGGACCCCACGTCCCGATCCCCCCTCGCCCGCTCCCCCCGCCCCGGCTCCCCGCCCCCAGGCGGCGCCCTCCGGGCCTTCCCCCGCCGCCCGCACATCCCGCACGTCGCCCGCGGCCGCAACGTGTCTGACGCCCCGCCCGGCCCCCGGTCCCCCCACCCGGTCCCCGGTCCCCCGGCCTCCCGGTCCCCCCCGGTCCCCGGCCCCCCTCCCGGTCCCGCCGCCCAGCCCCCGGTCCCCCCCGGTCCCCGGTCCCCCCATTCCCCGGTCCCCCCCGGTCCCCGGTCCCCCCATTCCCCGGTCCCCCCGGTCCCCGGTCCGCCCGGTCTCCCGGTCCCCGGCCTCCCGGTCCCCGGTCCCCCCATTCCCCGGTCCCCCCGGTCCCCGGTCCGCCCGGTCTCCCGGTCCCCCCCGGTCCGCCCGGCCCCCGGTCCCCCCCGGTTTCCGGTCCCCCGGCCCCCGCCCGGCCCGCTCACCTGCCCCGCTCGGCCGGCCGCGCGCTCGGGGGCCGGCGGCTGAGCTGGGCCGGGCGCCCGGGGCCGCCGTGCCCGCCGGCTCCCCCGCCCCCGCCGCGCGCCGCCCGCCGCCAGCGCTTCCGGTGCCGGTCCCTCCGCCGCCGCTCCGGCCGCCGCCGCGCCCGCGCCCCGCCGTTCCCCGTCCGTCCGTTCCCCGTCCGCCGTCCCCGGTCCGTCCGCCCGTCCGTCCGCCGTCCCCCGTCCGTCCGTCAGCCGTTCCCCCGCCCGCCCGCCGCCCCGGGGAGGGAGGGCCCGGCCGGCGGGCAAAGTCCGGAGGAAGCCGCCCGGCCACCCGCCTGCGGGCCCCCGCCCCGCCGTCTCCTGCGGCCCCGACCCGCGCCCCGTCCCCCTCCTCCCTCCCCTCGGACCCGGGACCCTCCCCCCTCCCTCCCCCCGGACCCGGCGCCCCGTCCCCCTCCTCCCTCCCCTCGGACCCGGGACCCTCCCCCCTCCCTCCCCCCGGACCCGGCGCCCCGTCCCCCTCCTCCCTCCCCTCGGACCCAGGACCCTCCCCCCCCCCTCCCCTCGGACCCGGGACCCTCCCTCCCTCCCCGGACCCGGGACCCTCCCTCCCTCCCCGGACCCGGGACCCTCCCTCCCCCCTTTCCCCCGGACCCGGCGCCCCGTCCCCCTCCTCCCTCCCCTCGGACCCGGGACCCTCCCTCCCCCCCCTCCGGACCCAGCGCCCCGTCCCCTCCTCCCTCCCCCTCGGACCCGGGACCCTCCCTCCCCCCGGACCCGGCGCCCCGTCCCCCCTCCTCCCTCCCTCCGGGACCCGGAACCCTCCCCCGGTCCCGGGCACCTGCGGGGGACGCGCTCGCGGCTCCGGGCTGGCTCCGGTCCACGCCCATCCCGCCCGGCTGTCCCACCTGCCGCCCGCCCCGCGGGTGGAGGCCACGCGCCCTCCTGGGCCGGCTCCCGGGCCGCGTCCGGAGCCGCCCTCACCAGCAGGCTCAGTCCTGCACTTGAGGGAAGGACCTGAGGCCTCAGACCGTAAACCCTGTTTAACCCCCACCTACGGAGACAGGAGCTGGGGTTCAGCCCCTAATGTGTCTGCCTTTAAACTGCAGAACCACCGCTTGGCTGTCCTAGGAAGAAAAATGAGGCGAAATCAGGCAGCAGCAGCAAACGGAGCCACAGGCATAGGAAGTACCACTAAGGCCAGCCCCAGTGGCTCAGTGGTTGAGCGTGGACCTATGAACCAGGAGGTATCAGGCTCGATTCCCCGTCAGGGCACAGGCCCTGGTTGTGGGCTCCATCCCCAGTGGGGGCCATGCAGGAGGCAGCCCATCCATGATTCTCATCATTAATGTTTCTATCCTTCTCTCCCTCTCCCTTCCTCTCTGAAATCAATGTAATCAACACTAATAAAAGAGAAATATGCAAATTGACTGAACCTGCACGAAAGCCATCAGCCAATCAGGAGTATGCAAATTAACCCACCAAAGATGGTGGGTTGATTTGCATAAGAAGGTACGGAGCAAAGACTGAAGACAACTGAAGCAGAAGAGGCTTGGCCATAGCGGAGGCCTGGGTGCCAGCAGCCAGGGAGGGAGCCGACTGCGTGAATCTTCGTGCAACGGGGCCTCTAGTACATTTGTAAAATAAGTACCAGTGACAACAGAGATGGCCACGAAAGAAGAGAGAAAACTGGCAGCCTGGGGACTCGGGGCCAAGGGTGGGCTTCGGCCTCCAGTGGGAACAGGCCGCAGAGGCACAACCTTGGCAGCGGAAGGTCAGACAAAGGAGAACCACCTGTCAGCGCCAGGACAGCCAGAGCCAGCGGGTTAGGGCTGCCAGGTAACACGTAGGACACCTCGCTGCACTGAAATGTCACATACACGAGGGATCAGCGCGCAGTCTGTACAACTATACTAAAAAAATAATAATAAAAATCCACTGTTTATCAGAAACTCAGATTGAACTGGGTAGCCTGTATTTTTAAAAATATATATTTTATTGATTTTTTTACAGAGAGGAAGGAAGAGGGAGAGAGTTAAAAACATCCATCAGCTGCCTCCTGCACACCTCCTACTGGGGATGTGCCCACAACCAAGGTACATGCCCTTGTCCAGAATCGAACCTGGGACCTTTCAGTCCGCAGACCGACTCTCTACCACTGAGCCAAACTGGTTTTAGCGGTAGCCTGTATTTTTTTTTTTAATATATATTTTATTGATTTTTCTACAGAGAGGAAGGAAGAGGGATAGTGAGCTAGAAATGTCAAGGAGAGAGAAACATCGACCAGCTGGGGATGTGCCCGCAACCAAGGTACATGCCCCTGACCGGAATCGAACCCGGGACCTTTCAGTCTGCAGACCGATGACGCTCCACCACTGAGCCAAACCGGTTTCAGTATGTATTTTTATCTGGAAAATCTGGCAACGCTGGTGGAAGGGTGGCCGCATTCAAACATTGCACAATGCCGGGTGTCCAGCGGCGCCCGAGAAGTGGGACCAGATGGAAAGGCACTGGCGCAGCGGACACTGAGCATTGCTCAGTCCCCACCCCCACTCCATGGCTGGTTCGGGGACCTGAATGGGTTAACAGTTAGAAACAAAAGAAGGAGAAAAGACAACAAGTAAGCTCTAGCCTGTCGGTCTCAATGGTTAGAGCGTTGGCCTGCAGACCCAACGGCCCCGGGTTCGATTCTGGTCAAATGCACGCACAGTGGTCCGTGGCTGCAGGCTCCTCCCCGGCCTGCGGCCCTGGTTGGGGTGCTTGCAGGAGGCACCAATAGATGTGTCTCTCTCTCTGTCTCTCCCTCCCACTCCACTCTCCCTAAGAATCAATGGGAAAATGTCCTCGGTGAGGATTAACAACAACAAAAGGGAAAGACAACAAATGAGAGAGTGGGGACTATGGTGATATTTAAGATGTTTGTTCAAAACAGTGAAAAGACACAAAAGAATCAGTGTTTAGAGAATTACCCTCGAGTCCCTTCTGCCAGTTATGTGCTCAGACTGTTGGCGTGAAACCCCAGCTCCCGAAGGAGAAAAACCAGTCGGTTCCTTCCAGCTGCCAAGCGGGTTCCGCAGGCGCCGTGCCAGCTATTCAGGGCGGACCCGGACTCATGACCGCCCTGTCCATCACACGGCTCCTGCAGAGCTTAGCCAGGCCCTTCCAAGCCGGCCGCAGCCGTGGGTCCTTCCAGGTGGAACCGGCCTGACCGGCGGGAAGTGACCTTGCTCTTCATTTCGCCCAGGAGCCAGGAGGGCTTCTGTGGCTCTCCGGGAGCCTGGTGTTTCCCGGGAGAGCGGCGTCTGCTCTCGCTACACCTTCAGGGCCTGGCGTCACCCTGCAGGCTCGCCCCCTGGAGGGTGGGGCTTGCGGATTCTGCCCAAAGCTACCGCGATGACCTGACGCTCTGTGTCCCTGTTTGGGGGGCCAGCTTGGTGGGGACCAGCCTGGTGGGGACCAGCCTGGTGCTCTGGGGCAAGGAACTGGCTTCATCTCGGAGTCCAGGTGAACTGCCAATGGAAGTGTTGGGGTTCCCCTCTCTCTGGTCTACTGCCTGGCAGAGGCTCCGCGGAGCCTCCAGGCGCCCCAGGGCGCGGGAGCGGGCCGTGCTGGGAAGGCCAGGCCTCGGAGCTGGGAATGGGCCGCGATTCTGGGGACGTGGGTCTCCATTCCCCCATCGAGAGAACATTTAAAAAAAAAAAAAGCATTGTTACTGATTTCAGAGAGGGAGAGGGAGGGAGAGAGACATCAATGGTGACAGGGAGTCGTTGATTGGATGCCTCCCGCACTCCTCCTGGTTCATAGGCTGACACAACCACCGAGCCTCGCCGGCCTGAAGTGCATTTGATCAGACGCCCCAGGCGCAGGGGGTTATGCTGCACACAAGTCCTTCCTGCCAGCCGCCTTCAGGGCCTGTGGTCGGTTGCGGTTCCTGGCTCTCTGGGTTGAGAGGGACCACATGACTAGTTCTGGCCAATCAGCTGTAAGAGGAGTATGTGCCATTCAGGGGCGGGGCGTCACATTGTCCACCTGTGACCTTCTGCGGCTCTGCGGGAGCCTGGCGAGCTCACCGCCCGCCTGCTCTCGGCCGTACCCTGGAGGGCGGAGGTGAGAGCGAGGCCCCGCAATGGGCACGCAGCCTGAACAAGACGCAAGGCTTGGGACTGCCGGGCAGAGAGGTGTGGTGTGGTGGCTCTGGCCTGGAGTAAGGGCAGCTGGATGATGGTGATCTCTGTTATGCGCTGGGGTTTGGATAAAGCTGCCGCCTGGGTGACTTGGAAGCTAAATGATGAGCTCAATGGGAGACACAGCCACGCAGGCCCTCTGCGGGCCGCACCCTGATTTCTTTTTTATTTTTTTATTTTTTATTTTTTAAAACTATATATTTTATTGATTTTTCACAGAGAGGAAGAGAGAGGGATAGAGAGTTAGAAACATCGAGAGAGAATCATCAACCAGCTGCCTCTTGCACACCCCCTACTGGGGATGTGCCCGCAACCAAGGTACATGCCCTTGACCGGAATCGAACCCGGGACCTTTCAGTCCGCAGGCCGACGCTCTATCCACTGAGCCAAACCAGTGCTGGCCGCACCCTGATTTCTGAAGGAGCAGGGGGGCGCCAGCAGGCTGGGTGAGCCTGCGTTTCACTTGCCGGAAGCCTGAGTTCTTGTTCCGGCCTTAGGAAGGGCTCAGCAATCTGGAGAAAGGCTGTGTGTAACTTAGGAGTCCAGAGACGATTGTAATTTTGAAAGGCATTGGGGGTCAGAGGAGCTTGGCTGAAGAAACCAAGCTCTTCTGGTCTCAGGACCCCTTGCTTTTTATTAAAACAAATTGTCCTAAAACAAGGTGGAGAGATGCCTTCAAAGGGTAGGCTTTTGTCTAGTAGGGGTGTTGAACTCAGAGAAGGGGCCAAAATCTAAAATCCAGCCTAAATCGCGGGCCGAATGGTTTACTGAACAGTCCTAAACTGTCATTGTGATGGAAACGCAGCGGAGTGCAGTGATGACAGCGCGGTGCGGGCCACATTGCAAGGCCTGGCGGGACGGATTTGGCCCGAGGGCCTTGTGTTTGACACATGTGGTCTACAGAGCCCATTGTCAGCAGGGGGAATAGCCTACAGCTGTTCAGGTGTTGGGCCAGCAGGAGGCAATAAAGTAGAATAAGATGCCCTGAGCTGCCTGGCAGTAAAAATCATCCTTTTCAGGTCTGGGGAAATGCCTTTAGCCATTCCAACAGCGATAACATATGTGACTCAGCCCTCGTTGAGTCCCCACGTTCTATCCACCTTTCCATGAAACTCTTGCAATGACGCTGTGCTGGAGCTGGCTTCCGGCAGACAGACAGTTCCTCCAGCCATAGAGTTAGTGCTTTGATAAAGTTGCTTTAAAAAAGGAAAGCCCGGCTGGCCGGTGCGGCTCAGTGGTTGAGCGTCCACCCAGGAACCAAGAGGTAGCCCGTTTGATTTGGTCAAAGGCACAGGCCCGGGTTGTGGGCTCGATCCCCAGTGTGGGGCGTGCAGGAGGCAGCCGATTCTCTCTCATCGTGGATGTCTCTCTCTTCCTCTCTGAATAAAATATATACACCAGTATAGTAAAAAAAGAGGAACAAGATGTGGAGAAACCACCGATTAAAGTAAGGGAATAGGCTATGGCACATCGCTGCTCACCGGACGGAGGAGACAGTGAGCTGGCCTGACCTGGGACGAGGCAGAATATTCTTTGCCCCAAGGTGCTGGCCTGGCTCCTGACTGAGACCAGCATATCTGCCCTGAAGCGGGTTTTGCGAAATCCCAGGGGAGCGCGGAGTCGCCAGCAGGTCTGTTGACACATCCAGCGTTCATTTGGCTGCTCACGTCAACATTAAACAAATTCCCAAACAGCCAGAATCCCCCGCCTGTCTGTGCCCCACACCCCCTGCAGGGACCAGGCCCGAACGGCAGGGCAGGCGGCGCCCGCAGGCCGGCTCCCGGGTGAAGGCAGGAAGGAAGGCACACGGAGACCCGCAGGAAAGGCTTTTATTTGCGTGGCACACAGACACAGAGTGGCACCTGACCCCCAGAAAGGACAGCTGAAGACACGTCAGAAATGGTGGTCCTGAGTTAAAGAGAACCACGGGATTCCTCTCTATTTTCATTAAATGGACACTCCTCTCCGGGCTGCACTCTCCACGGCCGGCCCGGGTTCACGGGACCCGCGGCCGCTGTGCTGTCCGCACTCACACACACGGAGAACAGCTGCTCCGCCTTAGGAAGTCAGCACAGCGCTTCCCCTTAAGGCTCTCACCCGCAGGCCCGCCGTTTTTACGCTTTAAAAATGTAAACCATCTCATCGTAGGAAACCGGACCTTTATAAAACTGTTCTTTGGGAAATCCATTCCTCATGCTTAGTGGCTTTTCCCCTCTCTCCTAGGCATCATTAGCATCAGTGATATTAAATGTACTGTGGGTATTAATGATAAAGCACATACTAACACATCCGTGAAGAAACAGAAGCATGTAGGACCCTCGGTGCCCCGTCTCTGAGCACATTACAGGCGGGACCTTCCGGAACTCACCAGTCACCGAGTAGCTATTGAATGCAGTGGGAAGGCGTAGAAATACCGCGGCCAACGGCAAGGCCGTCGGTCAGACCACAGCCCAGGCGGTCCCCCGCGGTCCCCGCCTCCCACTGCATTTCCCGGTGAACAAACAGGAGCGCGCAGACTTCTCTTTTCTCAGACTCCAGGCCGCACCCGCGTTCTCTGTGAGCGTCCGAAGGGAACTGACTGAATTCGAGAGGAAAACACTCCCTTGGTAATGATGACTGTCTCTCTGGCTCAAACCAAAGCTACCTACGTACACTGAAACAGACAAACATGGCGTTCACAGGCTTGACCTCACCGTGCGCCCGTGGCGTATGCGTGCGACGCCCATGGAAAGCCTTCACGCACCCTGTCCCCGCACAAGGCCCTGCCCCTGCCCCGCCCCCCGCGGCCGCTATAAGTCGTAGAGCGTCTCGAGGACCGTGGCCATGGACCAGGCTTGCGTCTCGCAGCTGAAGGGGCAGTGCTGGCCGTGCTCGTTGGTCAGCTCCGGGAGCCCTTTCCACGGGGACCTCGGAGAGAAAAGCCGTTTGTGAGACGCGATCTGACCCGGACCCCGAGGGGTTAACGCGCAGCGAGCCTGGGGATTCTGGCCTCTGGCACCGAAAACACGCATGCGGGGCCTTTGGCCCTGAGGCAGGACCCTAAGAGTGTGTATGAAGCAAACAAACATGGCGTTTGTTTGAAAATCATGTCCGGAGGGACATGATTCTCCGCTATTCCAGCTTCGGGATTGAGGGCTCAGACACAAAGAAGTCTCGCTAGGTACGGACACACGGGGAAATGGCCGTTCCCAGCAACAGGCGGGAAGGGAGGCCAAGCCCTCTGGGGCCGGATTTCATGGCTTTCGGAGCCAGCGCCTGAGACTCAGATGAGATGGATTAAGTCTGATCCCGAGGAAACTGTAAAACTAACGTGAACAATGAAGAACCATACAATTACGTGGAAGGTGGCGATTAAAAACAACGTGCAGCTCAGTGGATAGAGCATCGGTCTGCAGACTGAGGTGTCCTGGGTTCGAATGCCTGAGTTGGAGGCAGCCAATCAATGATTCTCCTCATTGATGTTTCTCTCTCTCTCTCTTTCTTGGAAATTAATAAAAAAAATATTTTAAAAAACCAATTAGCATTTCCATACTAATTCCTCGTTCTGCTGAGTAATACAGCTGGTATTTATTGTGTTTCTCTACTAAGAGCTTTATATATGGGATCTCGTTTCAATGCTTCTGCAGCCGGTGAGGAAGGTGCCGCATAGTGATCCCCGTCTCCCGAGGCTCATGGAGGCTGACTCGCAGAGCTGGCTACTAGCCTGTGGAGTGTATTCCTCACCTCAGTGGACGCTCTCACACACAGAACGTAAATTTAAAAAGACAGAAATCTGTGGCGCTTCCTGTCTTCCGCTGGGTTTTCTGGGAGCATGTTTGCTTCGTTGCCATTCTCTGTAGCGTGTGGCTATGTTACATATGCGTGTCTGTAGCTACCCAATAGTTGACAATGAGACTAGAGAAATAACTCCAGGAGGCGGATGTGGAGATCCTCTGAGTGGTAACTAACAAGGGCAGCGAGTGCCACGCCTTGAAAAGCTGCCACAGGGAAACGGGAGCTGCAGTCAATGTTTGTTTCCAACTGTTAAGCAGAGGGAAGCCGGAGCGGTGGGGCCCGGGTGTCTGAGGGTGCGGGAGCCTCGCCCCAGGACCTCAGAAGCGGACAGCGTGCCGGGCAGGGCTGCTGCAGGGGACATCAGTGAAGGTGCAGCCGGGCGGCCCTGAGCCAATCGGACTGGGGGTCCTTATAAAACGGGGACACGCAGACACTGTGTGGTGCTCTGGAAGCTGGAGGAAGGGCTGGAGGAGACCCTCCCGGGCACCTCTGAGGGGGCATGTGCGACCCACGCCTGCATGTCAGGCTCCTGAGCACAGCACCTGAGCAATGAGTTCTGCCATTCTGCAAAGAAAACCAAATGGGTAGGCCTAGACTAGAGCACGCTGGCCCCTGCCGGCATTGCAATAGCGCCTCCTTGTGGACACCCTGAGAACAGCACCTTAGAGATGCTCCGAAGACAATCCATTTCTGCCCCTGGAACCACTCAGCCGAGGTGCTTTGCCACTGCAGCCCCAGCACACTGGCGGCTCTGCCAGCCAGCAGGTGCGAGCACCAAGTGGAGGGTAACCCTCGGAGCAAAGTCACGGGGCAGGTGGGAGGGACCACAGGTGGACGGGGAAAAATGACAGGGCTTCGTGAGAGCGCTGACGGCCCCTGGGCAGAGGGAAGGGAGCGGGACTCGGGCAGGTCGTGAGCAGTGCTGGGGGCGGTGCCGGCTGGGGTGTAGGGTGCTCCCCTCACATACACTTGCACTCGGATGAGAGAGGAGCGTGCATGGGGTCCCCGTGACTGTACTGAAGCAAACACACCCCTTCCTGGTGACACGGAGGTCCCTCAGGCTCTCATGACAAAGGAGACACAATCAGGCTGCTTGTGCACAATTATTCTGAGCGACCAGCTGTGCATACATATTCAGGTTTGATCTAGAATTTGGGACGTAAAAGCTTTTGACTGAACCGTCTCACTGTATAAGGACCCATAACTCTGAAAGTTATTTCTCTGCTAACAGGACAAAGGGTGTGACAAAGGGGTTCGAAACAAGAGCCAAAAGACCAGCTCTGATGTCTTCAGGGCAAGGAGAGCATTTCGGGAAGTTATTTATTGGTCTATCTGTAAATCTGTTCACTCAAAAGGCCCATGCTTGTATTTATTCTGCGTTAACCCTATCAGAAAATACAGAAGCATGCAGTGAAGTTTTAGAGTTAAAATAAATAACCCAGCATAGTGAAAGGAAGGTGGGCCCTGGCTGGTGTGGCTCAGTGGATAGAGCGTTGGCCTGCAGCCTGAAGGGTCCCAGGTTCGATTCCCGTCAAGGGCATGTACCTTGGTTTCGGGCACATCCCCAGTAGGGGGCGTGCAGGAGGCAGCTGATAGATGTTCCTCTCATTTCTCTCTATCCCTCTCCCTTCCTCTCTGTAAAAAATCAATAAAATATATATTTTTTTAAAGGGGGAGGTGAGACTCCCTCGCAGACCCCGTACCATAGGGACGCCCGGAGGGAGCAGCCATGGGTTCGAAGGAAATGCCGCTTCCCGACCTGGTGGGGTAATGCTGGGCATGCACGCCTCTCGGACTTACCTCTCGAGGTGAACATAGTGCCGGGAGAGGACGTTTTTAACCAGGAATATCGTCTTGGCGTGGGTCTCCGGCCCCATCAGTTTGGAAAAGTACAGTTTTGCACGAAGAAAATACCCCACGGGCCACAGCCACTCCTGGGAGAGAAGATTCGGCGGGTGAGGCGCGCGCGCGGGCGCAGCTAGCGCCACCGGAGAAACCGGAAACCCCGAGGAGGGGACGGGGTTCTCACCGGCCCCTGGTGGTAGTTGAAGCCTTTCGCCAGGTTGTAGTTGTCGTTGTCCAAGGCGTTGTCATACACCCCGCAGTACACCATGTCGCTGGGACAGAGGGACATGAGGTGAGGAGACCGGACCGGTGCCGGGAGAAGGCTCGGGGCAGGGCTCAGACACCTTCCTCCGCCCCCTCACCGCCAGCAGCCTTGGAGCAGCACACCGGCGCCCCGGGGAGTGCTGACCCACCCGGGCCGACGAGTCACCTGGAAACCGTGCAGCTCGCCCGTCTTCCAGGAGTCACCCTGACACCAACATTGGCGACAGTAAACTATTTCCCAGGCCTCGCCTATGCCTCTGACAACGGAGGTACACACAGACTAATCCGACTCGGTGGCCACTAAAGATACAGTCTTATTAACGATGACGTATTGGCAGGGTTGTGTGTGTGTGTGTATATATGTATATATTTCTTTATTGATTTCCGAGGGGAATGGAGGAGAGAGAGATAGAAACGTCGCTCTCATCACTGATGTTTCTCTCTCTCCTCTCTCTCTCCCTCTCCTTTCCTCCCAGAAAGCAAGAAAAATAAAAACGAAGTGTGAGTGCAATGTCAGAGATTTCTGCTGACAGCACAGTCACGGCGAATGCCAGACGGAATCTATCGACGGCATTCGGATTACGCGCCCGCGGCCTGGCTCCGGCTCCAGGAGTTCCTGCGGGATGGCGGAGTACCCCGCGCCCACCCGCACTCACTCTGGGTCCAGGGTCCGCATGCCCAGGGGCCCGAGCAGCTTCTCCTCGGCCACAGCCAGGGCTCTCCACGCCTTCTCCGCCGTGAACAGCTCGGGGGCCTGCGGGAGGGCAGACACACACCCGTGAGGTCACGGAGAGTGGGCTTCCCTCCCCGGGAACGTGGCGGCTGCCCGCGGGGAGGGCCACGTTACCAGGCGTGGGCCGAGCTCAGTGCCGACGGCCGCGGAGCCGCCCGGCGGGCCGCTGGGAGCCGGACTCGCCCTGGAGACGGGGCCGCTGCGGGGTCCTCCCGGGGTCCCCACCGCGCACCGGCCCCAGGGGAGCTGTCCCTCCGCCCTCCGGGGCTCCCTGGCCCCGAGGCACACCGGTCCCCACGGCCGCTCTGGGGCCGAATGAACAGGTGGCCCTGCCTCCGACGGCACGGACACGCAGGAGAGAGAGCAGCGGTGACTAAGAGTCGGTGTTCATTTAAAAAAATCTTTGTTGATTTCAGAGAGGAAGGGAGAGAGAGAGAGGGGTAGAAACATCCATGATGAGAGAGAGTCATAGATCGGTGGCCTCCTGCACGGCCCTGCTCAGGATTGAGCCCCCAGCCTGGGCCTGCGCCCTGACCCGGTGAGGGAGGTGCAGGTGAGGGAGATGGGGGTGATATGGGTGAGGGAGATGGGGGTGAGGGAGGTGCAGGTGAGGGAGATGGGGGTGAGGGAGGTGTGGGTGATGAGGGAGATGGGGGTGAGGGAGGAGCAGGTGAGGGAGATGGGGGTGAGGGAGGTGCAGGTGAGGGAGATGGGGGTGAGGGAGGTGTGGGTGATGAGGGAGATGGGGGTGAGGGAGGAGCAGGTGAGGGAGATGGGGGTGAGGGAGGTGCAGGTGAGGGAGATGGGGGTGAGGGAGGTGCAGGTGAGGGAGATGGGGGTGAGGGAGGTGTGGGTGAGGGAGATGGGGGTAATATGGGTGAGGGAGATGGGGGTGAGGGAGGTGTGGGTGATGAGGGAGATGGGGGTGAGGGAGGAGCAGGTGTCCTCAGCTGTCCAGGCAGCTGGGCGGCCCAGTGGCCAAGCCGGATCCGGCCCCGCCACCTGATCGGCTGCCCACCGTGCCCAACGCCTAGCCTCCTCCTCATGAGCCACGAGGTGACCTCGCTGCCATCGCCCGCCGTTCTGTGTCCACAGAGTGTGGCTGGCTGGGGTGACGGCTTCAGTAAGAGAACAGAGTGCCAGCACCAGCTGGGAGCAGGGTGCTTCCCCCAGCGCGGCGGGCACCGCGGGAACAGCAGCTGACCCCCGGGCGTGCTCTGCGCCGTGGGGCCGGCCGCGCACTCACCACCACCATGGCCACGGCGAAGTTGGGCCGCAGCTGGTAGTCGCACCAGGGGCTGGACGCGCCGTAGCTGTCCTTGTAGATGCCCCGCTTGTGCACCAGCTCCGGGTGCTTCTCGTTGGGGTCGGCCGGGTCCTCGGACACGTAGAACAGCTTCTCGAAGTGCTCCTGGATCCTCCGGTCCCACTCCTCGTAGGAGACCTTCTCGGCCTTTCCTGAAACGGTGAACGCGCTCAGCGGGCCGTCTGAAGCCGTGCGTGTGGCTCCCGGGGGGTCTGCCGGACAGAACGGGCCTGGGAGCAGGGGTGCAGTGGCTCCCGGTGTTCGGAAAGCCACAGCTCGCTCACAGTCCCGCGGGGGAAGCGGAGAAGCAGCAGGGGCAGTAACAATGCCTCACCCCGCAGGCAGCCCAGAGCTGCTGGAGGCGTGGGCACCGGCCTGCCAGGTCGTGAGTAGCTTCCTCGCCCCTGACCTGAGGCTGCCAGTGACTGGCTCACCGGGCCGGAGCACGCCGGGGGTCAGGGCCGGGGACGCGCCCTTGGAGTCTCCCTCGGCACGAGGGTGCTCACTATGTCTGTGCACCGGGACCTCGCGGTGTGGGGCCTCACCGTGTCTGTGCACCGGGACCTCGCGGTGTGGGGCCTCACCGTGTCTGTGCACCGGGACCTCGCGGTGCCTGGGCCTCACCGTGTCTGTGCACCGGGACCTCGCAGTGCTGGGGCCTCACCGTGTCTGTGCACCGGGACCTCACGGTGCTGGGGCCTCACTGTGTCTGTGCACCGGGACCTCGCGGTGCGGGGCCTCACCGTGTCTGTGCACCGTGATGTCGCGGTGCGGGGCCTCACTGTGTCTGTGCACCGGGACCTCGCGGTGCGGGGGCCTCACCGTGTCTGTGCACCGGGACCTCGCGGTGCGGGGGCCTCACCGTGTCTGTGCACCGGGACCTCGCGGTGCGGGGGCCTCACCGTGTCTGTGCACCGTGACCTCGCGGTGCTGGGGCCTCACCGTGTCTGTGCACCGTGACCTCGCGGTACGGGAAGATGTTCTTCCGGGAAAGGTCCCGCAGCCACCGCACGGCCGACTTGCTCAGGCCCACAATCTCCACGGCGGAGCCGTCCCTGCGGGAGGAGACACCGTCGTTGTCTGGCGGGAGCCGTGCGGGCATTGTCCACGGGGCGGGCGCTGGGCGCCGGGCTGTCCGGCCGCCGCGGTACGAAGACCGCGCTCTGCGGATGCTCCCGCCAGGGGCCGTGCTCCGGGACCTCGATCCTGACTGCTGGCCATCGCCTACTTCGTGTCGTGTGTTTAAAACGCTTTGGAGCAGAAGGGAGATGACGGGTGGAAGGAGAGGCGGCGGGCCAGGGGGGGCGGGAGGACGCAGGGTCACTGAGTCCCGGGGAAGGGACAGCAGACAGGGGCCCGGGGCCGGAGGAGGGAGCCGGGAGCCGCACTCATCGTCTGAGAGCCCGCCCTGAAGGGAAAGGAAAGGGAAGCCCAGGAGCTCACAGCGGCTTGTAAGAGAATCAATGGCCCTGGCTGGTGTGCTCAGTGGGCAGGGCCTTGGCTTTCGGACTGAAGGGTCCCAGGCTTGATTCCCATCGGGACACAGGCCTGGGTTGCTGGCTCGATCCCCAGCAGGGGGCGCGCAGGAGGCAGCTGATCCGTGATGCTCGTCATTGATGCTCCTCTCTCTCCCTCTCTCTTTCCCTCTCTCCCTCTCTCCCTCTCCCCCTCTCCCTCTCCCCCTCTCCCTCTCCCCCTCCCCCCCTCTCCCTCTCCTCTCTCTCCCTCTCCTCTCTCCCCCTCTCTCTCTCTCCCTCTCTCCCTCTCCCTCTCTCTCCCTCTCTCTCCCTCTCTCTCTCTCCCTCTCTCTCTCCCTCTCTCCCTCTCCTCCCCCCCCCCCCCAAACCAATAAGAATACATTTGGAAAGGAAAGGAGGGCAGAGCCGTGCCTGGGTGTGGCGGGGACCCCGCGGTTGCGGGCCCGGTCGCTCTCCCCCATCTTGTCCATCCAGGTGCCGCAGTTGAAGCGGTTTCCTCCGAACACAAACCCGGTCTCCGCGTCCACGCCGGCCGTGATGCTGAACCCTGGGGAGCGGAGGGAAAGGGGTGGACGGGCAGGACGGGGACTGGCCAGCGGGGAGACGGTGGCGTGGACACGGGCGCCTTCCGGGCGGGGTGCTGCTCCGACACGCTCTCCGGAGAGGCGGCCCGCGGGGCCGGGACAGAGCCCGGGGGCAGGGGGGGGGCGTACCTTCGTCCTTCATGTTGCGGTCGATCTGGGGCCCAGCGTTCCGCTCCCGGAACTGGATGCCCTGCAGGTGCCTCTGCAGAGCCTCCTGGATCACCTCGAACAGCGGCTGCTCCTGCAGGACACGGCCACGCCCAGGTTAAACATGTCTTTTTATCATCTCCCTCTCCCCTGTGCACCCTCCTCACCTCCCCACTGTGCTCCCTCCCCTCCCCCCCCCGTGCACCCTCCTCACCTCCCCCCTGTGCACCCTCCCCTCTCCCCTGTGCACCCTCCTCACCTCCCCCCTGTGCACCCTCCTCACCTCCCCCTGTGCACCCTCCTCACCTCCCCCCTGTGCTCCCTCCTCACCTCCCCCCTGTGCACCCTCCTCACCTCCCCCCTGTGCTCCCTCACACCTCCCCCCTGTGCTCCCTCCTCACCTCCCCCCTGTGCTCCCTCACACCTCCCCCCTGTGCTCCCTCCTCACCTCCCCCCTGTGCTCCCTCACACCTCCCCCCTGTGCACCCTCACACCTCCTCCCCCCTGTGCACCCTCACACCTCCCCCTTGTGCTCCCTCCTCACCTCCCCCCTGTGCTCCCTCACACCTCCCCCCTGTGCACCCTCACACCTCCCCCACACCCAGGCTCCGTGGGAGGAGCAGGCTCAGGGCTGCCCGCGGGCGCCAGGTGGCCAGCGTGTCTGAAGGACCCCGGCTGCGCCTGATTTTGAACGAGAAGCCGAGTCCTTTCCGGGGGAAGAGGCGGCGGCGGGGGCCTCACCACGGTGCCGGCGGGCAGCGGCGCGGAGGCGTCGGTGGGGTAGAGCCGGGCCACGGGGCAGCGGAGCAGGCCCAGGCCGCCGGGCGCCAGGCTGCAGTAGTCCTGGACGCACTGCAGCCACCACCAGACGGCGTCGCGGCAGTTGTAGCGGGCGGCCGTGCCCTCGCCCAGCAGGTTGGGGATGAGCCCGTGCCGCAGCGTGCCGGCGAAGGCCAGGATGATGTTCCTGGAAGGCAGAGCGCGTGTCGGCACACGGAACCAACAGCCCGGGGAGACCGGGGACAAGACGCCCTCTGGGCGGCTGTGGGGCGCGCCTTCTCTCCGCCCTGTTCCTTGGCATTTCCCGGGGGAAGTGGCCCGGCAGACAGGGGCACCGAGCCGGCGGGCGGCCAGGAGCCTGGCGTGCGGCCCTGCCCGGCCGCTGGCCGTCTGTGCGGCTGCCCCCCGTGGACAGGGCTTCACCTGCCGACTCGGGATGCGGCTGCGAGGTTTTCGAGCTCAGAGTCTCCTTTGGAAATCCCCGGGAGTTCACACGGAACATGCACTCCGTTATTTAAAAACTGCAGGCCCGGAGCACAAAATCCGTGCGAGAGGAGGCCTGGGGGTGCTCAGTGCAGGGACGGAGACGAAGGAGCAGACCTGCAAACAGCCTGGCCTGCGAGGCAGCGACCAGAACTGACTGACCGTGAAAACCCTGTGAACGCGTGAACCCGAACCTGTGAGAAGTGCAACTGAGACGCCCGAGGGCTGAGGCAGGCGGAGGAGAAGGCAGTTCCGGAGAGCGGGACCCATACCCACACCTTTTCGGGGCGGCCTACCTGGCCTCCACATAGCGCCCTGTGAGCAGCAGGAGGCCGCGCAGCGCGATGAAAGTGTCCCGGCCCCAGCAGCGGAAGATTCCAGAAGAAAAGTGAGGCAAGCCTGACCGAAAACACAGCAAAGTCATATGTTAACCCACGTTATTGTCTGTCAGTCTGTCTTCCGGCTTGTTGAAGCCAGAATGTCTCTCCTCAATCTATCTATATATAAAAGCCTAATATGCAAATTGTCCCTTTGGGAGTTCAACCCAGAGACTGGGAGTTCGCTCGCTCCTATGACATGTGCTGACCACCAGGAGGCGGCATGAAATGAAGGAAGGCCCCAGCCGGCAGCTGGAAGGCCCCAATCAGCCCTGATGGCTGGCCAGGCTTGGGGCCCCTACCTGTGCAAGAATTTTGTGCACCAGGCCTCTAGCAGAAAAAAGACCCACGCTAACAGAACCCACTGTCTTGTGTACCAAAGTCCGTCGGGAGCGCAGGCCACTGTCACTGGCTCAGGTCTCAGTGCCACGTGCAGGAGAGAACGCCGACAATAACATGGCTAAAGCCCTTGGTGGCAGTCAGACACATAACACAAACTTACTTAACGTGCGTTCTGTGCTGTGCAGCCTGTAGAGAACCCTCTCCTGATTTCCCGGTCATTACAAGGTTGGGTTACTTTTTAAAAATTGGGAAAGGAGTAGAATATGATGGAATAAAGGAGGTAAAACATATCTCATAAAAAAAAAAAAAAAAAAAAAAAAAAAAAAAAAAAAAAAAAAAAAAAAAAAAAAACAAGCTGAAACCGGTTTGGCTCAGCGGTAGAGCGTCCGTCTGCGGACTGAAAGGTCCCAGGTTTGATTCGAGTCAAGGGCATGTACATTGGTTGTGGGCACATCCCTGGTAGGGGGTGTGTAAGAGGCGGCTAAACGATGTTTCTCTCTCATCGACTAGCTCTTTATCTCTCTCCCTTCCTCTCTGTAAGAAAAATCAATGAAATATATTTTTAAAAAAATACAAAATGGCAAGGGCTGAAAATTACAGAGACGTGTCGAAGAAAAGGGCTAACCAGCCACAATAAAAAACACACCCGACGCTGAATGCCACGCGAGGTCACAGCCAGGTGGGCGGCGCGGTTATAATGCTCACAGCGGCCCTCAGGGAGGTCCTGCTAAGCAGTCACACAAGATCCTGGATCACGTCATGAGTGTTTTTTTTAAAAACACTTTCAGCCATAAAGGTAATTTTTAAAAATACAATAAACAATCACCCCCATAGCTTTTCCTCTCTGAAGGATCCTGACGCACACACTCCCGCCTCGCGCATACATACACACGCACACACGCACACACACGCACGCACACATGCCCGCCCGCCTGCCTCACCTGCTGCCAGGGACACGCAGCACTGCTCCCGCTCCCGCGTGGCCTCGTTCAGCCGGTAGGGCACGTCGGGCAGGGCGGCCGAGAGCTGGGGCAGGCAGGGGAACCGTCCCACCCCGCACATCTGCACCGAGCCCAGCGCCAGGTGCTTCACGAAGGTGGAGCCGTTCTGGACGAAGCTGCAGGAGGTGGTAGCGTTGAAAATGTTATTTATACGAACACAGACATTTTATTATTTACTTATTTTTAAAACATATATTTTATTGATTTTTTTACAGAGAGGAAGAGAGAGAGGTAGAAACATTGATGAGAGAGAAACATTGATCAGCTGCCTCCTGCACACTCCCTACTGGAGATATGCCCACAGCCAAGATACATGCCCTTGACCAGAATCGAACCTGGGACCCTTGAGTCTGCAGGCGGCTGCTCTATCTACTGAGCCAAACCAGTTAGGGCTAAAATATATATATATATTTTTTATTGATTTCAGAAAGGAAGGGAGAGGGAGAGAGAGAGAGAAGCTTCCATGATGAGAGAGAATCATGGATCGGATGCCTCCTGCACGCCCCCTACATGGAATTGAGCCTGCAACCTGGGCATGTGCCCTGACCAGGAATCGAACCAGTGACCTCTTGGTTCCTGGGTTGATGTTCAACCACTGAGCCACCCAGCTGGGCCGAACAGAGTTTAATACCTCAGCTTCTGTATGCCCCCTGTGACAGGAGGCTGAAGCAGTTACTGCCCACTCACAGAAGCTCTCGGCTCTGCGCTATGCTCTCTACCCGGTCTTCTCAGAGCACGCGTACACAGGCCGCACACGGCTCTGCACAGGCGTGCCTCCGTCCCAGGCTCTGCGGTACCTGGACATCTGCTTCCACGCGGCGTCCAGGAGCGTGGTGTAGGCGCCGATCAGCACGGCGTCGAAATAGCAGGGGATCAGGTAGCGCGGGATCTGCTTCAGGTAGAAGAACATGGCCTGCAGCCACTGGCCCACCTGGAGGACAGAACGCAGAGAGCACAGGGGTCATGTCTGCAGGCCGCTGCCTACTGAGAGGCAAACCCGAACCAGCAGCACTACTAACCAGTTACCTACCCACCAGGCGCCCGTTCATTAGAACGGAAAGTGGATGGCAAACCATGTAAATATCATACATATAACAGGTAACACAGATCGTACTGTGCCCTTGTTCATTATGTAAATATCATACATATAACAGGTAACACAGATCATACTGTGCCCTTGTTCATTATGTAAATATCATACAAATAACAAGTAACACAGATCTTACTGTGCCCTTGTTCATTATGTAAATATTATACATACCAGAGGCCCGGTGCACAAAACTCGTGCATAGGAGGGCCTGCACCCTCTCCAATCTGGGATCCCTTAGGGGATCAAGCCTAACCTGGCAGTCGGACATCCCTCTCACAATCCAGGACCACTGGCTCCTAACCGCTCACCTGCCTGCCTGCCTGCCTGATCACCCCTAACCACCTCTGCCTCGGCCCCCGCCACCATGGCTTTGTCTGGAAGGAAACCGGACATCTGGAAAATGTCCGATCCACCCGGTGTAATGAGCACATCCCCCTTTCACTGGTCTAGATAACGGGAGCACGGGAACACTGTGCCTGTCTGTCTGGAAGGAAGTCCGATGTCCGGAAGATGTCCGATCCACCCGGTCTAATGAGCACATCCCCCTTTCACTGGTCTAGATAACGGTAACACGGGAACACTGTGCCTGTCTGTCTGGATGGCAGCCCGGCGGTGCTTACCTCGGCCACAGCTCCCGATCGGGAGAGGAGCCGGCCGCTGACGTAGTCGATCATCCAGTCGCCGGCTCTCAGGTTGTCACAGAAGGGGTGCCCCAGGTCGTTCTTGGGCCTGATCTCTGCCAACACGGACATCAACCCTGCAAGGTCACAGACGTGTCAGGCTGTGTCGCTGGCAGGGGCCGTGGCTGGCCGTCTGGGGCGGGGGGCGGTGTCCCCGCTGGCGAGCTTTCTCTGCCCTGGGCATCTCGGGAAGGAACGGGATGTCTGTGCACTCTCTGCCGACAGGTGGCAGATCCACTCCCGTCCAGGGGGGACCGAAGGAAACCACAGAACTGGCTTCAGAGAGCAAGAGCGTCCACGGGGATGGGCCAAGGACCAACGCTGCTTTGGAAGCAATGTTCACAGAACAGGAGGGACTTGGAAGTAAACCCGTGTCAGGTGAGGTAAACAGGCATGTCTGTAAGTAACCCCCAAAGAGCAACGGAGGTCTTATGCACACATAGCGCGTTTTTGTCATAGAGAGGCGACTTTTCTTTTTTAAAAAAAATATGTTTTTCTAATTAATTTTAGAGAGAGGAAAAGAGATATTAACATCGATGAGATGAATTAAAACACACACACACACACACACACACACACACACACACACACAGAAAGAAGCATCGATGAGAGGGACATCGATTGCTGCCTCCTGCACCTCCCATGCCAACAATCAGACCGGTGACCTCTCGTCATGGGTTGATGCGCAAACACTGCGCAGCCCGGGTGGGCACTCCATAGCATGTTCTGTGACTTCAATGAATCGCCTCGTTTCATCCTCAAAAAAGCCTTCGTGCCGGGCAGTACCACGAACTCTTTCTGGCGGTGGGTGGAGGGCGGAGGGCGGTGGGTGGAGGGTGGTGGGCGGAGGGCGGTGGGTGGAGGGCGGAGGGCGGGCAGTGGGTGGTGGGCGGAGGGCGGTGGGCGGTGGGTGGAGGGCGGAGGGCGGAGGGCGGAGGGCGGAGGGCGGTGGGCGGAGGGCGGTGGGCGGAGGGCGGTGGGTGGAGGGCGGAGGGCGGGCGGTGGGTGGTGGGCGGAGGGCGGTGGGCGGTGGGCGGAGGGCGGTGGGCGGTGGGTGGAGGGCGGTGGGTGGAGGGCAGAGGGCAGTGGGCGGAGGGCAGTGGGTGATGGGCGGAGGGCGGTGGGCGGTGGAGAGCAGCGTGCTGGCAGAGGCGAAGGGCAGGGCAGCAGAGCCACAGCCTGAGCCCGGGCAGCCCGGCTCTGAGCCCACACGCCGGTTTTTATAAAAAAGACGCCCCCGGGCGGCAGCCCCGCGCCGCTCACCTTGCAGGCCCGCGTACTTGAGCGGCGCCCAGCGGGGCACCTCGTAGCAGCCGCCGCCGTCCTCGCGCTCCTCGGCCTCGCAGCGGTACAGCACCTGGTTCAGCTCGGCCAGCGTCAGCCTGGAGGCGATGCTGAGGACACGGGGCTGGTCGGACGGGTGGGCGGACAGCCACCTGCCGCCGATCGCCGTGCAGGAGGAAACCCTGCGTCGTGCGAGGGGGACTCATCGTGACACGGGACAGCTGCCCTGCCTTCCGGCTCGGTCACTCGGGGACCAGGGCCCTCTGAGGTCCGATGCTTGCTGGTGTGGTCAGCAGGAAGGTTTCCCTCGCTCCCTCGCTCGGTCCGCAGGGAGGCCCTGTACCTGACCGCAGCTCAATACCCGCCCCCCTTCCCCACACTTCTAGCTGCTCAGGTGACTTCCTGGTCCCTGCCTGAGCACAGCCTCTTGGGTTTTATGGGCGCACACGCCCTGCTGGCTGGACTTCCTTCTTCTCCTTTCCTCCGGTCTCCGCAGAACTGCAGCCGAGACAACGCCCCTGCAGGCTGCGCCGACCCCCCGCAGTGTCCGCACGACTCCCTCTGGCCCGGAGCGCCCCCGGGAGGGCTGGGCAGAGCCGTTCCCTGCAGGTTCCTGGGGCCCCGGGTGAGCCGAGCGGGCGAGGAGGAACACTGTCCTGCAAGCAGTCCCTCGGGAGACGAGACTGCCGCACCACGTGGTTTTTTTTTGTTTTTTTAAAGAGTGCAACTATTTTGTCAAGAAGAGTTTGAATTAAGAGTTAATATTCCTGCCCAGACGATGTGGCTCAGTGGTTGAGCATCGACCTGTGAACCAGGAGGTCATGGTTGATTCTCAGTCAGGGCACGTGCCCGGGCTGCGGGCTCCATCCCTCGTGGGGGGCGTGCAGGAGGCAGCTGATTGATGATTCTCTCTCATCACTGATGTTTCTCTCTCCCTCTCTCTCCCTTCCTCTCTGAGATCAATAAAAGTATATTTAAGGGCCGAAACCGGTTTGGCCCAGCGGATAGAGCTTCGGCCTGCGGACTGAAAGGTCCCAGGTTCAATTCTGGTCAAGGACATGTGCCTTGGTTACAAGCACACCACGCTGGCAGTTTTTTTTTTAAAAAAGGATGTGGTAAGAAGTATGATGTGTGCAGTTTTGTCTCAAGTCTTTCCGAAAAAAAATTGTGTGTGTGTGTGTAGACAGAATCATATATGTTTGTGTGTGTGAGTGTAGACAGAATCGTGTGTGTGTGTATGTATGTGTATTTGTATCGATAGAGGGCGTACATGCCAACACACACAAATGAGCAGGCACTCGGGATAATGCTAACAGTTGGTGATGCGGGGCTGCTGGTCCTCGGGGCCCTCCTTTGAGTGGCCAGGATGCAGGAACCCGGAAACCTGCCCCCCTCTGGCCGGCAGCCGCTCCCCGGGAGTTAAAGGGCCAGGCCTCTGTGCGGGGGCGCACTTACGACGTGAAGGGGACTTTCAGTATGGGGTCCGAGTTGTCCACCAGGAGGCTGCCGGCCTTGAAGTGAGGGCTGAACTGCGTCAGGTGACTCCGCAGGATCCCGACGGCCACCTGTGCGTGGGGATCCAGGCTCACGCTGAAAGCACGGGGAAAGGCGTCAGTCTCCGGGAGGAGTTCCTAACGGTCGCTGCACACGACAGGCACCAGACGCGAGGCCCGCGGGGCGCGCTGCCCACCGGAACACGACGACGCTCCCCGGAGACAGGTTCTCGAACTCGATCTCCTGGATGAACTCGTGGGGCCCCTTGGTGGTGACGCCGGCGTGTTTCACAATCTCACTCTGGTGGAGCTGGGCAGAGGGGGACAGGCCGCTCCGTGAGTCACTCCCCCGCCCCCGGCGCCGAGCCCGGGAGCGGGGCGGGTGTGCCGGTACCTGGATGTGCTCTCTGATTTCCACGGTGACGGTGGGCATCCCGTTGATGTACTTCTCGTCCTTCTTGTACGGGTTTGTGTTCCTCTCGATGGTTCTAGCTTCAAGCACGACCTCCTCGATCTTACCTGGGAGCACATAAGCACGGTAACAGGGTTTCACGAGAAGCCTTCTGAAATGAGGAATTGCAAAAGGGGCTTTAAAAACCACTTAATTGAAAGTTAAAGATGAAAACTCAGTTAATTAAAAAAAACAAAAACACAACACAGCAACAAATAGCCGAAACTGGTTTGGCTCAGTGGATAGAGCGTCGGTCTGCGAACTGAAAGGTCCCAGGTTTGATTCCGGTCAAGGGCATGTGCCTTGGTTGCAGGCATATCCCCAATAGGGGGTGTGCAGGAGGCAGCTGATCGATGTTTCTCTCTCATCGATTTTTCTAACTCTCTATCCCTTTCCTTTCCTCTCTGTAAAAAAAAATCAATAAAATATATTAAAAAACACACACAAAAAACCATAAAATAAAACCCGCCCTGGCTGATTTGGCTCAGCTGGGTCGAGTGTCGTCCCGGGCACCAAAGGTTGCAGGTTTGATTCCCGGTCAGAGCCCGTGCCCAGATTGTGGGTGTGACCTCAGTGGGAGTGTATGAGAGGCAACCAATCGATGTTTCTCTCTCTCCCTCTCCTTTCCTCTCTCTCCCTCTCCTTTCCTCTCTCTCTCTCTCCTTTCCTCTCTCTCTCTCTCTCTCGAATCAATGAAAAGTATATCCTTGGGTGAGGATGAAAAAACAAAACAAAATTATCACCAAGATTTCGAATTCTTTTCTCCCCTGGGTTGTACATAATGAACAACGGCAGTGCAAGGCCGCACCGCGTGGGGTGTCGCAGCGATGTACCGGCGTGCTCCGGGCATTACCGGGGATGCACATCTGGGGCACCTCCTTGCTGTAGAAGGAGGTCTTGGGGTTCCGGAACGCGGTCCTGCACACGGCCACCACGGACTGGTGGCTGCTGGGGGAGTGCCTGGTCACCGCCACGATGTCCTCGTCCACCTGGTCCACGTACACCTGCGGGGCCGAGGGCGCGCGGTCAGCGCGCTGGCGGGGGGACACGCGGGCACAGAGCCTCGGGAGGGAGACGCGGACGCGGACCCCCCCCCCCCCCGACTTGCCTGGAGGAAGCCACCGGCCCCCAGCTCCTGGTGGAGGGCGTTGATGGCGCGCCTGGCCGCGAGGATCCCGCTCTGGAGGTTCACTTCGCCCGGGTTCGACGGCGAGGCCTCCGGGTTCCACTTGGTATAGAACCGCTCTTCGGCCACCACTGAGATCTGGGCAGAGAGAAGGCAGAACATGTGTGCCCTTCTGCCACAACGAGAACTCTGCAGGCAAATGCTCAAAGCTGCTGGCCAGGTGGATCTTATTTTTAAACTAGAGGCCCGGTGCACGAATTCGTGCACTGTCGGGGCTGGCCCTGGGAGGTTGGCTGTGGGAGCACAGGGACCACCAGGAGGCAGCTCCTTTCTTTGAGCGTCTGCCCCCTGGTGGTCTGTGCGCATCATAGTGACTGGTCATTCGGTTGGTTGGTCGCTTCGGCTTTTATATATATATGTCTTTATTGATGTCAGAGAGAGGGAAGGAGAGGGAGAGGAGGAGAGGGAGAGCAACATCAATAATGAGAGTCATTGATATGCTGCCTCCTGCACGCCCCCTACTGGGGATCGAGCCCGCCACCCAGGGCATGTACTCTGACTGGGAATCAAACCGAGACCTCCGGGTACACGGATCCACGCTCAGCCACGGCGCTACACCGGCTGGGCCACGGGTGTCTAAGGACGGCGCACAAACAAACCTGGTGCGGCACCAGCTCGTCATAGCCGCGGGTGCTCCCGCTCGCACAGCATGCCATGGAGACGATCGTGGCGCTCGGGAGGGCGTCGTAGGCGGACCTGTGCTGGAAGACACACAGACAGACAAAAAAACACCCGGAGTTCACGTTCCTTCCAGTGCAAAGAGCCTCGGGCGGCGTCGGGAAGGAGAAGGATCGCTGCAGGGACACATGATCTGCGGGCACCCCTCTGCTTTAGGACAAACCGCAGCCCTCTCAGCCGCCGTCCCGCGGACAGGAGGAAGCGAGCACGCCTCTGGAGCCCGCGGACATTCCCGCCTCTGAATGTCAGAGCCAGACGGGCCGGCTCGGGCCGCGGGCGGGCGGGCGGGCGGGCGCTCACCACGATGGGGCACTCGTTGTCATGGGTGATGTCCATGAACAGGGCGTGGGCGATGGCCGGCATCAGGGGCCGCAGGCAGGGCTGCACGAAGGAGCCCACGGGCTCGCCACCATAGCGGTAGACCAGCCGGCCCTCCTCGTGGCTGTTGTGCGCGCTCATGGCCTCTGCAAAGCGAGACGGGCCCTTTAACCTTCGCTGCGGGCGTCCGGGGTGAGCCGTCCCACGTGCCTGACCTTCCGAGGAAGGCCGCATAGGCATCCCCAACAGCAGGGCTGCGTTAGCCCCCGCTGGTGTGGCCTGTGGACTGAAGGGTCCCGGGTTCGATTCCGGTCATGGGCATGTATAATACCTTGGTTGCGGGCACATCCCCAGTAAGGGGTGTGCAGGAGGCAGCTGATGGGTGTTTCTCTCTCATCGATGTTTCTAGCTCCCGATCCCTCTCCCTACCTCTTTGTAAAAGGTCAATAAAAAAATACTTTTAAAAAGTCAATAAATACATAGTAAAAAATAAAGTATTTTTCCCCACAGTGGAAATTTTTGCTGAAAACAGACCCAGGCTGAGTTGTGTGGGGGATTTGCGTAGACATTTAAGCGGACGCGTGCTGGCTGGGAGCATTGGGCTGTGATGGGAGCGGTCGCCCGGCCCGCGCCCACCTCGGATCAGGGAGCTGATGCCCAGCCTGGTGACGAAGACGTTGTCCAGCTCCTCGCTGCCCGTGAACAGCTCCGCCACCACATACAGGTTGGGCTGCAGCCTCCGGGCGGCGTCCAGCATGTACTGCAGAGAGCGGAGAGAAAGTCACCGGAGAGAAGACGCGGAGGCGGAGGGCAGAGGGGCGAGCCTGCGCACGGACCGGACAGGAAAAGACCAGGCTGCAAGACAACCTGGGGCTCCAGGAGGCATTTCCAAATACACTTAATGTGTGTGTGAAAAAATAAAGTAAAACAGACTGATAGCCGAAACCGGTTTGGCTCAGCGGTAGAGCATCGGTCTGCGGACTGAAACGTCCCAGGTTCGATTCCGGTCAGGGGCATGTACGTTGGTTGTGGGCACATCCCCGGTGGGGGGTGTGCAAGGGGCAGCTGGTCAATGTTTCTCTCTCATTGACGTTTCTAGCTCTCTATCCCTCTCCCTTTTTCTCTGTAAGAAAAATCAATAAAATATATTTAAAACAAAAGAAAACAAAACAACAACAACAACAAAAACCAGACCGGTAAACCCAATAAGCAGAGAATATATATAGAGAAAGAGCCCTGACGGGTTTGGCTCAGTGGATAGAGCTGACCTGCTGAGCAGAGGGACCCGGGTTCGAGTCCAGTCAAGGACACAGTTGGATGCAGGCTCCACCCCAGCCCAGGTCTCGGTCAAGGCATGTGCAGGAGGCGACCACCTGATGTGTCTCTCTCACACACCGATGTTTCTCTCTGTCTCCCCCTCTCTCTCCCATTCGCCCGAAAAATCAATGAAAAAATACCCCTGGGTGAGGATGAACCAAAAGAAAAAGAATAAAGGATTATGCAAGTGGTGCAGAGGTTTTAACTACAACCAGCAGTTCCCGGCCGCTGTCTGGGGAGCCAGGAGAGGACGGGGGCCGCTCGCCGGTGGGGGCGCCGCCTGCGCACCTCGGCCACGTGGATGGGCGTGGAGTGGCAGTTGTCCAGCCGCACGCCCTGGAAGTGGGTGGCGGTGATCTCTGTGTACTTCCTCATGTGGGCCCAGAGGTACGGGCAGTCCTCCGGTGTCTGCCCGTAGCGCAGCTTCACGCTGTCCCCCCAGCAGATCAGCTCCCTCCGCAGGTACACGTTGGACCCTGGGGTGGGGGGGTTGGGAGAGCGTGCCGTCAGTGACCGAGGCGTCCGAAGGGGACCACGGCTGCAGGGAGACCCTGAGCTTTCACGCCTCGTGGGCTATTGCGACCACAGGCCACGCGCGTGCTGGTGAAGATGGCACCTCACGTGGCTTGGGACACATTTTACAAGACGAGCAGGAGCGGACATCCTATCTACTTTGCGGGCGTGCCAGCTCGCCGCCGCCGTCTCTTCTAAAAACATGGGCTTGAGGTCCAAACGCCAGGCCGCTCCTCCACGGAGAGCAGCGACGGCAGCGTCGCGGGGCCGTTAGCGCTCCAGCCCACCGCGCGCATCGCAGCTCGGCCCGCCGTGCCCCGAGTTCGGCCACAGGCGACGGTAAGCCCTGACAAGGAGGATGCTCTGTTCTCCGTGTGCGTGGCCAGGAAGGAGCTGGCAGAGACGCGTAAGCCCCACGTCACTCACAGCCTTTTTGCTTCTAAGTGCGACCTCTAAGTTACTTTGTCATTAAAACAGACTTGTAGCTCTGAAATGCGGGAAAATACATACGCGGATGGGTTCCCTGCCAGTCCCTCCGGCGACAGAAAGACAGCCGAAGAGAAATGAGCTGTCAGGGCTGGGTGACGGGGGGCCAGGGGTGGTCAGTATCTGGGGTAAAACGGCTCCCCGGATACTGCACTCCTCCGGCTAAGGGGCGAACAGACCGCCGAGGACAGCGGTCGGCAAACTCATCAGTCACCGGAGCCAAATGTCAACGATTGACATGTCTTTGGAGAGCCACGTTTTTTTAAAACGTAAACTTCTTCTAACGCCACTTCTTCAACACAGACTCGCCCGGGCTGTGGTGTTTTGTGGAGGAGCCACCCTCAGGGGCCAAAGAGCCGCGGGCGGCTTGCGGGCCGCGGTTTGCCGATCACGGTCCTGTGGCAACACGCTGTGACCGCTGTGGTCCCGAATGCCTCTTTAAAATGCTGTGGTGCACATGTTTTGCAAAAATACAGCCCTCTGCACAATCCCAGGGACCAGCAGGTCTACAGACGCCGTCTGGTGGAGGAGGGGAGGGGAGGGGGTGGCCGAATCCATCCTTCTTATCATCCTTCCCCCTCCAACCCTCTGCCCTCGGGCCCCTCTGATGGAACCGTCTATGAACCACAGCCCCGGGAGGAACCTGCTGGGGGAACGGTCCTGGCTGGCGCCCGCCCTGAGCGTCCTCTCCCGGCTCGGAGCGGTGGGAAGGGCCCGCACACCTGGCTCTGCGAAGTTCCGGAGCGGGTCGTCCCCCATGACCCAGCCGTTGTGCGCCATCAGGAAGCACGCCTTCTGGGGCAGGTGCGCCAGGGCCTCCTCCGCGGACAGGCTCGACTCCTCAAAAGGGAACGTGAAGTACCTGGGCGACAGGACGGACAGACGGACGGCCGTGAGCCCACGGGAGCTCCCCCGGGAGAGGCGGGGGCCGGCCCGGAGCACGGAGCCCTCCCCACCTGGTGACCAAGGGGTCTTTCCTGGTGATGGGCCCGAGCTTGGGGCCGTGGCCGGCCAGGCGTTCGTAGAGCACGTTGCCCAGGATGCAGTTCACGGCCTGGAAGACAGGACACGTTGTCAGCGCCGTGGCCACGGCGGCAGCAGCCGGCTCTGCGGTTCGGGGGAGACGGACGGCGGCGCCCGGACTGGACCTGCTCCTGGTGGGAGTGGACGAGCTGGCGCTTCTCGGCGTTTAACTCCTCCAGTCTCTTCCGGAACCAGCCGCAGCACTCGTCCATGGCGGCCGGCCCGTCGCTGGGGAGAGAGGACACGAGCTGTTCGTTCACGGTTACACGGCCCACGGTGAAGGATGTTCGCGGGGTGGTGACAGGTGAGGGGACGGAGAAGTGCAGGCTGGCGTGACAGGTCGTCTCGGGGATGGAGAATGCCGTCAGCAGTCCTGCAGGACCGTGTGTGGGCCCCGCGGTGCTGGAGCTATCAGGGTGACCGCGCAGTGAGCTGTATCAATATCGAATCGTGGGGGCCATGGCCGGTGTGGCTCAGTGGATAGAGCGTCGACCTGCAGACTGAAGGGTCCGAGGTTCGATTCCAGTCAAGGACATATACTCTGGTTGCAGGCACATCCCCAGTAGGAGGTGTGCAGGAGGCAGTGATTGATTTTTCTCTCTCATCGATGTTTCTAGCTCTCTATTCCTCTCCCTTCCTCTCTGTAAAAAATCAATAAGATATATTAAAAAAAAAAAAAAAGAGTTGGTGAATACTTATAAAAATAAATACCGAATATCGAATCATGGAGTTGCACACCTGAGGTTAATGTAAGGCTGTATGTGTACTGTAATTGGAAAATACAGTATTATTTAAAGTAAAAATAATTATTTTAATGAAATGAAAAGGCAATTTCTACCAAGGGTCATAGATTCTTTCTTTTTTTTTTAAAAAAATATATCTTATTGATTTTTTACAGAGAGGAAGGGAAAAGGATAGAGAGTTAGAAACATTGATCAGCTGCCTCCTCAACTAAGGTGCATGTCCTTGAGTGGAGTTGAACCTGGGACCTTTCAGTCCACAGGCTGACGCTCTATCCACTGAGCCACACCAGTTAGGGTGGTCATAGATTCTTTATACACATTCATCAGGGTCTTCACTACGGCCGAAGGAGTGTTCCAGTTGTACCAGTGTTCGCACTCCCCACGGGAGCAGGGACCAGCAGGTGGGAAAGGGGGAAGAATGTCCTGAATTTCTTCATTTCATTTCTTTTCAAACTCAGAATAAATAGTATGGAAACAATACTAGAACTAAAGGTTTGGAAGTGATCTTATTATTCTTATTATTTTTTAATATTCACCCAAGGATATTTTTCCATTCATTCTTAGAGAGAATGGAAGAGACAGGGAAAGACAGAGAAATACTGATGTGAGAGAAACACATCCATCGGTTGTCTCCTTCACACACCCTGACCAGAGCCCAGGCTGGGGAGGAGCCTGCAACCCAGGGACATGCCCTTGACCGGCACTGAACCCTGGACCCTTCGGTCTGCAGGCCGACGCTCTATCCACTGGGCCACGCCGGCCAGGGCTGGGGCTTCTTCTCTGTTGCACAGAACGAACACACGACGTACTTGTGGGGGATGAAGGTGGCCAGGGCAAGGTCTATGTCCACGGCACAGCCCAGCCGCCGGTACTCGGGGTCCTGGAGGATCTCCAGGTGCCGCTGGGCGTCCGGGGGGCTCGCCGCCTCCCTCTTTCCTGAGAGAGAAAAGGCGACGTCATCCTGAATGCAAACACCCACGCGGAGACGAACTCTTACCGACGCCAAAGTTTTAGTTTGTGATGCTTTTTACAGACAATAAAGCCAACGTTTGTTTCACAAACATCCTTCGTGTCCTCCTTCGAACCTCCTGCACACCACCCCACACACATGCACACACATGCACACACATGCACATGCAGAGGGAAGGAGACAGAGAGAGAAGAGAGGTTGGAAGAAAAGAACATCCTGGAAGAAGAAACACAGGGATTCCTGTCAGCCCAAACCCGGACCCCCGTCCCGCCTCCGTCAGCACCCACTCATTCTGTACATTTTTCCCAGAGCAAACACACCGACCCCAGGCGCTCTCTCCCCGAAGACTGCTCTGTGCTACAGGCCGTCTCACTGGCCACCTGACTTTCTTCGGCCCAGGTTTATTTTTAGACTCTTCTCCCAACAAGCACATCCCTTATAGAAGGAGAAAAACCTACAAAGTAAACAAGTGTCTGGGGGCGGCTTTTCATTCCTTTTCCGGAACGTGTTCCTGATCCATCAGGTGTTGGTGTGAGATTGCTCCCCGCTTGATTTTACATTAACTAACTAATACCTGGCTTATTCTAAAGGGACGTAGAAATGGCTTTATATAGCCTGGCCGGCGAGGCTCAGGGGCTGAGCATCGACGTAGGAGCCAGGAGGTCAGGGTTCGATTCCTGGGCGGGGTTCGATCCCCTGTGGAGAGCCACATTTTTTAAACATAAACTTCTTCTAACGCCACTTCTTCAACACAGACTCGCCCGGGCCGTGGCGTTTTGTGGAAGAGCCACCCGCAAGCGGCCAAGGAACCAAGAGGCAGGAACAGTCCCCAGAGGCAAGCGTGAGGTGACATGGCTGCGACCCACTAACAGAGCTTCCGAAAGCAGAGCCTCACAGTCCATCAAAACAACACAGACGCCGCCTACCACACGTCTGGGACAGGGTTAACGCGGGGAGGGAAGAGTAATAACACGGCCCACCCTCCGGGGTGCGCTCCGTACCGTGGGCCAGGCGGTCCCGGAACTGCCGGACGGCGCCGTCCACGTCCACCTGGAAGAACTCCCAGAGCCGCGTCCTGGGGAACACGTCCTCCCAGATGACCGTCCGGAGGCCCTGCAGGGCGGACACGGGGAGACACGGGTGCACGCGTGTGACGCCCCTCCACGACACGCCCAGCCACGCGTGTGGTTTGCGGGGCCCCGTACATACTGACATGCATGTGGTGGTCGTTTTCGATGAGCGCGGGCACGCCGCGGTCCCGGTACCGGCCGGCGGCCACGTCGCAGGACAGGTGCCACAGGGCGCGGTCCAGCACCCAGGCGGGCTTCAGGTGCGGCGAGTTGGCCAGGTTGTAGGCGCTCTCCGGGTGCTGCTGGAGCCACTGGCTGTTGGCGGCTTCGGGAGGGGGAAACGCAAGGGGAGAGCTGGTCACAGGCCGGGGTTCCCGGCCGCGCCGCCGAGTGAAAAGTGAAATGCGGCGTCGCCCTCGGCCACTCGCTGCCTGACCTGGGGCGTCAGTGCTTGATGCTGTCGCTGAGCTGGGAACACACGTGTGTCTGTGATATATACCCATCCCCCCCTTCACCGTCCACCATGCTTTTCTGTGGTAGGATTTAAATATATATATATATATTCTATTGATTTTTCACAGAGAGGAAGGGAACGGGATAGAGTTAGAAACATCGATGAGAGAGAAACATCCATCAACTGCCTCCTGCACACCCCCCACTGGGGATGTGCCCTTGGTACGTGCCCTTGACCAGAATCGAACCTGGGACCCTTCAGTCCGAAGGCCGACGCTCTATCCACTGAGCCAAACCGGTTAGGGCTGTTGCAGGATTTTTAAGGAGAGCAGACGGGACGCCACGGGCTGCCCCGGGTCTGGCTGTGAGGTCCAGGGCGGGAGAAGAGACCTTTCCCATGTATTTCCCCCTCCTCGGCTCCTGATGGCTGGGCCCTTCTCCGTCCCATCTAAGCTCCGGGCTCTCTCTCTTACCTTAACTGTAGGAGTCTCCTACAGACTCATGTCTCTCTGGGTTTTTTGGGGGGAATGGGGGTTTTAGGTTCCTTCCTCTGCATCTTCAAATACGCTTGTATCCCCCAAAAGCTGAGACTACAGACAAGCACACATCCTGTCTAAGCAGCTCCTTCTTGAACGGCTGCGCAGTCTGAAAGTCCATCCCGTATCTGCTGCCTCCCCTTTCTTCCCACACTCTGCATCCCGCTGCTCCAGGCCCCCGGCCCAGGGTACACCACCTCTGAACCTTCCTGTTGCCTCTTGTCTTCATCCCTTCCAGCCCCTGCGCCTGCCTTTCCTGATCAGTCCCTGCTTGATTTACACAATATGCTTCCTTGGTTTACACCCAAATACTTACATACTGATTATACACGGAGTGGCCAGATGATGATGATCTCTGAACGTATAATCATCTGGCCGATCCGTGTCTATCCTATAGAATAAAAGGCTAATATGCAAATTGTCCCCTCCACCAGGAGTTTGACCAGCAGGCCGGCTGGACAACCACCCATGTCCCCTCCCCCTGGGGACCCCACCCATGCATGAATTCATGCATCAGGCCTCTAATATATTACACACAAACACACACACACACACACACACACACACACTGAGTGGCCAGATTATTATGCGTTCAGAGGTCATCATCATCTGGCCACTCAATGTACATTCAACCAACACTTTAGTTTTCTTTGAAAGAAAAAGTGGTATTATATAAGGGGGTTTTTAAAGGGAAGGATATCCAAGCGGCACTGTGCTTCCTATGTTATACAAAACGGCCAGGAATGAGATAATTAGAACATATTTTTGTCAAAACAGCACAGCGGTTAACGAAGCTCCTACCGGTGTGATTGTAGACAACGTCGGTAATGCAAAGCAGGCCCCACTCCCTTTTCAGCTTTTGCACCAGCTGCCCGACGTCCTCCCAGGTGTACTTTTTATTGGGTCTTGAGAAGTCAGGGTTCAGTTGCAGCTGATGAGCGAGGGAGTAGCATGAGCGCGACTCTCCAAGGGCCTGCAACGGCGTGAGATGAATCATGTTGTAGCCTGCAGCGCAAGAAAACGAACCGGGATCACCGGAAAGGAAAACAACACCGAAGACTGAGCAACACACAGCGTCCTCACGGAATTCTAAACCGGGAGGCGACCGTGGTACCAGGAAGGAGGCAAACGCTTGGGTTCAAATCTAAGCTCCACCACAGGTCAGTTCAAGCAAGTCCACTTAAGTCTTCCAGTGGCTTCATGCCCAAGACGGAGATAAGAAGATGATGTATGTGAAAAAAAATTTAGTTACAATTAAAGGCTAGTTACTAGTAAGGGCTTGATTTATAGTTGTTGAATGGATAGGTTTACATGTAGAAAACACATCCTAGGCAAGTTTATCAGCCTATCTTTCTCCTACTTTTAACGCTCCACCATACTTATATTTTGTGTTAGTTATGACAGTGAACTTCTCATTTATTTCTTCACACCACATTCAGCCTGGAAGCAGAACATTAATATGGCCTCTTATTGAAGAGTAAGACACAACTTAAATTTCATTTTACTCTTGCATGTATGACAGCCTTCCTTCCATACAGGTCTTCCACATGGAAGGCAGTTAATACGGTATCTGTCGGATTAAAGTTCTATCAGGCGTCTTCAAACTACGGCCCTCGGGCCACATGCGGCCCGCAGAGGAGTCTGATCCGGCCCGCCAGGTTTTTTGGGCAGTGAGCGCAGCCAAGGTGTTACAGTAGGAATTAGTAGTTCATATAGTCCGGCCCTCCAGCTCTCTGAGGGACCGTGATCTGGCCCCCACTTTAAAAAGTTTGAGGACCCCTGTCTAGGTAATGATAATACATTTCCCAACACATCTTAATAGTGTACCTCTCATCTTTATATGTCTAAGGAAAGTCTTAGACTTCCTCACAGACTTCCTCCATTTAGGTTGAACCATACGATTTGTCAGTTTTATGCATTAAAAAACGGTCACGCATCAACAATCGCCTTAGTCCCACCTCTTTGTCTTACTAAATAGTCTAAGAAACACCGTGAAAAGGGGAGCCAGAGCCCGGGAGGTCTGTGTCACAGACAATGACTACACTTACCGTCAAACAGCAGGAGAGAAAGAACGCGGACCGTACCTGCTTCCTTCGCTACCCGCAGCCGGCTCTCCCACTCGTCCAGGGGCCCCAGACACTTGGCAAGGAAGGTCTGCAGGGTGACGCAGTCCAGGGGTAGCAGCCGGTCATCGGCACCGACCCGTAAAATGGGGTCCACGACGATGTACCCCCCACCGCTCTTCTCATTCCTGCAGGAAGGAGACACGTGGACGCTCAGCCAGCGAGAGGGGAGCTTCACCTCCCGGTCTCTAGGCACACAGAATCACTGGGAAAGTTGTGATAAAACTCAACGAGAAGCCAGTTCTATCCTTTTCCAATCTTTACACAATATAATGTGTCCAATAATGTTGCTCTAAGAAAAAAAACAAGTGTCTTAAAACCTGTCCGTAACAACAAGGGCCCTGGGGCAAGTAGCATCCTATCATCAGGTTGCACGGAAAGTGTAGCCCAGTGGTCGGCAAACTCATTAGCCAGCAGAGCCAAATGGCAACAGCACAACGACGGAAATTTCTATGGAGAGCCAATTTTTTTAAACAACTTCTTCTAACGCCACTTCTTCAACATAGACTCGCTCAGGCCGTGGTGTTTTGTGGGAGAGCTGCATGTGGCTTGTAAGCCACAGTTTGCAGACCACGGGCCTAGAGTATTTAAGCTGTTATTTTAAAAAAATAATAATAATGCATGGCTGGGGTGGCTCAGTTGGTTGAGCATCATCCCATGCACTGAGATGTTGGTGGTTCGATTCCCAATCAGGGCTCAGGCCCGGGTTGTGGGCTCGATCCCCAGTTGGGGGTGTGCAGGAGGCAGGCGATCCACGTTTCTCTCACATTGATGTTTCTCTCTCTCCCTCTCCCTTCTTCTCTCTCTCCAATCAGTAAAAACAACAACAACACACAGTTTAAAACAAAATAATAACACTTTGACTCTGCAAGGAGCCTTCCAATCGCTTTCTAGAAGAGCCATTTTCTATTTGCGTCTCAGGACATCTCTGTGGAAGCTGCGGTTAAGAAGGCGGCTGCTCACACATTTAAAGGGAGAGCACATGGGTTCCCTTTCTCCCCTGGGCCCCGGCTCACCCTTCCAGGAAGTAGTAGTGGAAGGAGCCCGCCTGCTGGAGGTGAAGGGCACAGTGCTTGTCCGAGTCGTCCTCTCTGCCCGACGGATGCTGCCACTCCAGGGGGCGGAACTGGTCCCGGTGGAAGGCTTGTCCGGGGAGCGGGTAGTTGGTGTGCACGTTCACGGCCTTTCCCTGCAGCGTGGGGCCTAACCGGAACTGCAGCTCGAACCCTGAACGAAAAGCACATCATGGAGGACCTGAAGGGCAGCATCGACGCGAGAGAGCTTTCGGTGCAAGTGTCACAAAGCGGCGCTCCCTGCTCTGCTCCACGGAACACGCGAGGCCGCCTCCGATGCAGCGGATTCCCGGTCAGCATCGGCGCCGGGGAGAACTGTCCGCACCGCCCTGCCCCGCCTGGACACGGATCCTGTGCGCACGGCTACACTGGGGCATGCGAGTTCTTATGTGACCCCACCTCACACCATCCCCCAACCCCTTCCAGCCCGCTGGCTAGTCCGCCCCAGCCTGGACCTGACTGCCCAGCAGGGGGGCAACCTGAGACCCTGGCGGGTCTTCTTCACACGGCAGTGGAGGAGTGCGTGTCTGGGGGTCAGAGGTTATGGCACATGTAAACGGTGGGGGGTTGGGGGTGGCCTGGCACAGCTGTCTCACCATCCGGAGAAAGCCGGCCTTCCCGGAGAGGAGCCCCCCTGGAGAGGCAGAAGTGGGGCTCAAACAGGGCTGTAGAGGCATCGGAGCCCCCGATACCTGTTGATGTCACTCCAATCCAGGGGGGAGCGGGGACAGAGGGTTGGAGGTGAGGAAGCGGCTGGGGTGGGGGCAGGGGGCGGCAGTGGGGTGACGAGGGGCTCTGGTTTGCAGTGTGTGCTGACCTCCTGGTGTCACCCGTTCAACACAGCCCTCTCAAGCCACCAGCCCGCCATCCCTGGCTGGGGACGAGGTGCCATCAGCCCTCTGAGCCACGAGAACGGCTCCAGCTAATCCCTGCTGCATCCCGCTCCTCCGGGTGCTCCCCTACGCCTTCCTACTCGACGCTTATGAGGACGCAGACTGAGAAGTAACTGTCTGAAGAACTCAATCTGGCCCTACACGGTGTGGCTCAGTGGATAGAGCCTTGGCCTGCGGACTCAAGGGTCCCAGGTTCGATTCCGGTCAAGGGCATGTACCTTGCTTGCGGGCACATCCCCAGTAGGGAGTGTGCAAAAGGCAGCTGATCGATATTTCTCTCTCATCGATGTTTTTAACTCTATTTATTTCTTTCCCTTTCTCCCTGTGAAAAATTAATAAAATATATTTTTTAAAAAGAACTGAAACCTGAAGTTTCAATACTCGGTGGCTGCGACTCCGACATAGCTGCGGCCTGCGGGAGGGACCCACTCCTCCGGAGGAAACGGTGGCCTCGGAGCGCGTGCCCGGCGCGGACCAGGCGGTCTGGGCCGGTTTAAACAGCCTGTCCCTGCAGCCTGTGCAAACAGCGCTCCGATGATGACACAGGGACTCGGGTACAAAGGTTAAGGCACCCGGACACGCTAACGCCGTGTCTGGATCCACGGTCTGTCTCCAGAAAAGCACGCTCCAAACACGAATACTTAGTTTTCCATGTAACATACATGGAAAATCTATGTCTAATGAGTTCATAGATTATGTAAATGATGAGACAGCAAGATAAGGGTGAGATGCAAATGAACGATATTTTAAAGAATTCACTTTATGGATGTTGACTGTCCCTGCATCAGAGTGACAGCCTCCACCCGGCACCCAGCTTATGAATCTAAACAAACAAACAAACAAACAAACAACCCTCATTTTATTTATGAGCGGATGGGAAAGTCTGAGCTGTCACTGAAAGTTAATATGGGTCCTATCTGTCTCTGGAAGAAAGGTGGTTAAGTAAATTTCATTCATTTTAAACTTCTTTTGACAAAGCACTTTACAGATTCCCAGTTCCGTCCATTTGGACACTTGGCTGATTGGCCTCAGATTCGGAAAAATGCCCCAAAGGCACCCACGTCCACAGGCAGACAGCCCTGGCGGCTCTGCGTCCTCTCCCAGACAGTCCCTCTCGGTCCCGTCCACAGTCGGGGACAGGCTTTTGTTGGAAGGAGCTGGTAAATCTGTGTATTTCCCTGACACGCACCCACTGCTTCTACAAGCTCACCAGAAGGCGGGCCGCAGTTATATCTGAAACAGATGGTGTGAAAAGCATCTGAAGTTCTTTATTGGGAAGGTTGTAAGCAGACTAGAACATTTTACCAACTTTTTAAAGTGGGAAGATGCTCCTTTCTATGGGCCAAACCTTTTGACAGAGGTGTTACTAACCTCCACATTCAAATGCTCTCACCACACGGCCCGGGCCGGCACGTGTCAGCCTACCCGCCACCCGTGTCTGTGAGTCTGTCCGGACCCCAGCCGCGCCGTCCACCGTGGACGTGGCTGTGGCTGTGTTCCGGGCTCAGGGGCGGAGCGGAGTAGCTGCAACAGAAAGCGTGTGGCCTGCGCCCTGGCCGGTGTGGGCCTTGTCCCAGCTACCGGAGGCCGCTGGTTTGACTCCGGGTCAGGGCTCAGGCCCGGGTTGGGGGGCTCGATCCCCAGTGGGGGGCGTGCAGGAGGCACCTGGTCAGTGATTCTCTCTCATCATTGATGTTTCTCTCTTTCCCCCTCTTTCTTCCTCTCTGAAACCAATAAAAAATATTAAAAAACCACATAGTTAGGTAGGTATGAAGAGAGAGAGAGGAAAAAAACAAAGAAAAAGAAAGATAAATGTATAGTTTCTTTTTATATCCCTACGGACAGATCGGCGCACCCCCACAAGGTGCACAGGCCGTGGCGCCCGGGACTGACTCCTCACAGACAGCACATGAAGCGCCTGAGGCCGGGGCGGTCAGACTCCAGAACCGCCGGCTAAAATTAGCCGGGTCACAGCCGCACATGAGAGGCCGTCTCAGTCCGCACTCCGGCCGCCCTCCTGCAGGCCGCCAGCGAGAGACCGGTGACCCTGCGATTGCCACTAAGTTTCCTCTCTCGGTCACACTCGGTCCACACAGCCAGCGCCGAGCCTCAGAGGGACGGGGACGGCAGGCGTGGGAGCCTGGTTTTGCTCACTGTTCTGTGCCGCCGCTCGGTGAGATAGGAAAGACGGGGAAGGCCGGGACCTGGCTAGAGAGGGCAATTATTTGGCCTTGGACTTGGACTCCTTTGTTAGGGAAGCGTGAAAGGGAGAGAAGAAGGAGGAAGGCGTGGGGACCCATTACATAGGAAAGGACCAAAAAGTGCCGTGTTTTTCTTCTCCACAGCGGACTGGTTGCCAAGGCCTAAGCCTCTTAACGTGTCTCCTGCTGCATCCCTTCTTTTTCCGCTCGGATGCAGGAAGATCCTCCTCTCTAACTGGGCGTGCTTTTAAAACAGCTTCCGGATGATTTCCTCTGTCCCCTGCCCCTGCTTCTCCATTTTCCACATCACAACGACCTTCTAAAATAATAGGATCCCATCGTGACTGGATCCCCATTTAGTTTTATTTATTTTATTTCAGAGAGGAAACGATAGGGAAAGATAGAAACATCAACGATGAGAGCTCGGCTGCCTCCTGCACGCCCCCTACTGGGGATGGAGCCCGAAACCCGGGCCTGTGCCCTGACGGGAATCGAACCTGGGACCCTTCACAGTCCAGAGGCCGATGCTCTATCTACGGAGCCACCCGGCCAGGGCAGATACATCCCCCTTTAGATCATCTGGGTGAATTCACCTGCTTTCACTAGCGTTAGAGTCAACCACATCGGTCCTGGTTCTCAGTTCACAGGCCCGTCAGAAGCCTGGCTGGGATTCCAGCGTTGGCTGCTCGGCCTGGGGGTGAGCCATCAAGCAGCCGGGGCGTGCTGACCGCCGTCCAGGGGGCTTGTCACCCTGTCCCTAGCCTCAGACCTTCTCTCCGCTGAATACTCTGAGACCAACAAGCTTTCAGACGCGGCTTCAGGGCTCAGCTCGCCATTGCTCCGCGCCTGCCGTGTCATCGGAAACCACAGCCGTGACTGCCCGGAGGGGCGGGCTCCAGCGGGCAGCGGGGAGGTGGGCACCCCGGGGGAGGGTCAGAAAGGGGAACCCGAGGCGGGGCCGTGTCAGGACGGGCATGGGGGAAGCCCCGGGGAGGGGGTTCACGGGGAGTGAGGGCACGGGCCTGGCCCCGGCCGGTGCATGCCGCGACAGACCGTCTGGGGCCAGGCGGAGGCGTGCAATGGGACGTCACAGAGGCCCGTGAGTAAGGAGGGAAGAGCGGATTAGAAGAAGACGATTCCAGCGTGCATGTCCAGGATGTGGAGGGGACACAGATGGGCGAGCAGAGAAATAGGGAAGGAACTCTGGTTTAAAAGAAGATCGCAGTTGAAGAAATCCTCAGAGAGTAGCGGGGAGTCTAGGGAAATGGAGACATCCCTAACCGCCGGCCAGGAACGTGGGAGGCAGAGGAGTGAGAAGGAGAACAGACGGCTGTGGACCGGGATCCCAGCCTCTCCAAGAGCAGCCACCCGAGGGCTTTTCTGCCGCCAGCACCGGCTGAGGCCGAGGACCACGGCCGGAAGAGACAGGCGTGGTGCTGCCAAAGCCTTCCATCTCCTCGGGAGCTGGAACCATCCACGACTGGTCTGGAGCCTCACAAGCAGCCCGGTGGAGGGCGGTGGGTCCCTCCTTCACAGCTGGGAAGATGGATGCTCAGAATGAATGTGGACTCAGAACCAGGCCGACCTGGCTCCCTCCTCTCCCTGAGACTCGCCAGCTCCCGGAGGCGAGCGCCCCGGCTTCTCCCGAAGGCGCCCTGAGGGGTGACCCCTCTGAGGTGGGTGCAGGGGAAACTCCAGCAGGACCCCTGCAGACACAGACGGATCATCGAAATGGGGACAGAACAGGGCACCGCAGGAGGCACCGCCCAGCTGACAAACGCTCCAGAGCAAGCGTGCCACATGGGCCCCATGAACAAGGTCTGGGGATGTGGCCGCGAAAACAAAAGCTTCCATTTCCATAGAAGCGTCGGTTTGCTCCGATAGAGACGTGCTGAATACATAGGGCTGGAATAAACGAGTCATCGTTCACAGAGAATAACAGAACTTTTTAATAGAAATGAATGTTTTTTTTCTTGAACATTCACTTGCCAGACACGGAATAATGGCACAGATTAATAAGTGTCACGCAATTAAACCTACCTCTCTCGTTCCCCAAAAGCGAAATATTTCCTGTTGCGCGCACCGACCAAGTCAGTCCGAGACTAATGACGTGGCGATGGGCTGCTAACACATTCGCTGCGGGGATTCGCGGGGAGAACCGGTGCGCCTGCACGTAAGGCGCATAAGGGACATGAACACGACCCTGCTATAGCAATCAGCCATCAGCGAAAGTTGTAGCTCGTTACTAATAATTATGTATAACAGGTTATTGTCAATATTAAATTTTTATGAGAACATTTTTTAAAAATAATTTTTCTGCCGAAACCGGTTTGGCTCAGTGGTGGAGTGTCGGCCTGCGGACTGAAGGGTCCCAGGTTCGATTCCGGTCAAGGGCATGTACCTTGGTTGCGGGCACATCCCCAGTGGGGGGTGTGCAGGAGGCAGCTGGTCGATGTTTCTCTCTCATCGATGTTTCTAGCTCTCTATCCCTCTCTCCTCCTCTCTGAAAAGAATCAATAAAATATATTAAAAAAAAATAATAATAATAATTTTTCTTTTTTATGTTTCTTTCTTTTTAAAAAAAATATATTTTATTGATTTTGTACAGAGAGGAAAGGAGAGAAATAGAGAGTTAGAAACATCGATGAGGGAGAGTCATCGATCAGCTGCCTCTTGCACACCCTCTACTGGGGATGTGCCCAAAACCAAGGTACATGCCCTTGACTGGAATCGAACCCGGGACCCTTCAGTCCCTAAGCCGATGCTCTACCCACTGAGCCAAACCGGCTTCGGCAATGAGTAGGGAGTTTTTATTACAACGTTTCTTGTATACCACGATCGTGGCGGGGCCGCGAAAATGTTCGTTGTGGGCTGCATGCGGCCTGCAGGCCATGAGTTTGACATGCTTGCTCAAGAGGGAAGGGGGAAAAAACCAAAACCAGAAAAGTGCAGAGTCAGGGAAGCCCGAAATGGAGGAGTGCTCGGTGATGCCAGAGGCAGAAGAAGATTTGGCACGGACATAACGCATTTCTGGCTGAGATTTTTCCAAACCTTTAACTGGAGATACTGAGGGGGAAATTCCTTCAACATGTTTACCGGGAACAGAGTCCAGCCGGCACGTGAACAAAAGGGGCTGTGTTTGATTTCCCACACGTGAAACTTCCACTCCACAGACTACGTGAACAGAAATGAATGCGAAATGCTTTTCGATGCCGGACGACTGAAAAGTCTATGAAAATAAAGCATCTGCTGAATTAGTCTTACAGGAACACAATTTGATCCTTTAAAAAGCTCCAGCGGGTTTCACCATAGTCTGATCACCTCTCGGAAGCCACTTCCTATTCGGCAAAGAGTTATTTTCAACTTTTCCTTTCTCCATCGTGGAGGGGCTTTTGATAAACATAAGTGATAGTTCACCTCTTGCTGGGATCTGTTTTGCTAATTCAAAATCCCAGTAAAGGAAAAGGGTGGGACCCGTAAGCCTCTAAGTGAGCAAAACTACAGCTACAGGCGAAGAAAAGAAAATCACCTAGGAATTAATTTACTGGTACCCACGTCTGTGCGAGGGGGAAGTCAGCATGCCAAGAGAGACTGGCTATTTTATCCCAGTCCCGACACGCCGGTATAAAATCTTTCCAACGACAATCAACTTTCGTCACTGACACCTTAGAACACAGCCCGGGCTCTGCTCACAGCAGGGTTCGAAGGGCCCTTGGAAGTCACATCCCCCTTAAAGTTTTAAAAAACAGACTGTGACAGCGAACTGAAAACCTCAAAGACGCACGGCGAACCCGACAGCCGGCCACTGACCTTGCTCCACTCGGAAGAGGGTCTTTTCCAGCTTCTCCATTTCGTTCAGAAGCAAAATCCGAACCTGCTTACTGGGTTCCATTTCGGCTGCTGGAGGCCTGGAGGTCTTTCTGCAGAATTAGAACTCCGGAATCCAACGGGTGGCCCCTGAGACAAACACACACATCAAAACCAAGAGAACAGCCGTGCTCTGCCCTCCTCCCAGGCTGCCAGGCACACTTACATGTTCTAAGTGCGTTTTAACCCCCGCAGAGCACAGAGAAAGGGCCAGTCTTACGAATAAGACCGGAGAAGGCAAATGGACAGTTACTCAGACCCTTGCAACACAATGTAACCGAAGCAAAAATACTGTTTCCTAGTCTTGCAATTAAAAAACAAAAACAAAAACCCTCCCCACAAACAAACAAACAATCAAACAAAACCCCCAAAGCAGCGGATCTGGAATCAGGCAGGTGGGTGGGGTGACGTCCCAGCCCCAGCCCCAGCCCCAGGCCAAGCGGCTGCCAGGCTCCCGATGGCACCGCTGCCGGAGGGGTGGGTCCTTCCAGGGGAACAGGTGGGAGATCGCCCCGTTCCCAAATCGGGGTGGGCGGCCACCAATGGGGAGAGGGGCCCGGGAGCAGGTGTCGCCCCGGGAATAGCTGCGGCGGCCGGAGCTATAGATAGACAGAGGGCTCGGCCCCCGGGGGCCGCGGCATTCCTCGCACTTACTCGGAGCGGGCGGTACGTGCGCCGCGGGGACACGCCGGCCGCCGCTGCGGGCGATCGGGCGGGGACGGCGAGGCGGGCTGCCCGGAGGGAGCGGCGGCCGCACGGGCAGGGCCGGGCGCGGTGAAGGGCAAAGGGCGGGGCGGCCCAGAGGCCGGGCCAGCGGTGGGCGGGGCCAGAGGCCGTGGGCGGGGCCGGGCTCTGTGGGCGGGGCCTGGAGCTCCTCCCGGAAGCCGCCTCCCGCCGGCCCCCCGGCCCCCGGCCCTCTAGTGCGGCGGCCCCGGGGGGCGGCGGACCGCTTTCCTCGCCCACTTCCGGGAGCGCCGCGCCGCTGGTCTCGCGAGAGCGTGGGCGCGGCGCGCGGGGCCGGGAGGTGGCTGCGCGGGGGCGGCCGCCCTCTTTTTCCTCCCCGGGGGCCGGGGGCGCAGGTGCGGCCGCCGCCCTGGGCCTCTCCGGTCGCAGCCGCGGGGAAGGCCGCGAGGTCGCTGTGGGGACCGGCGGGATGGTGGGGGCCCAGCCACCTGGCTTCCTGGGCCTTGAGTTTTGGGTCTTTGCTGTTATTTTTATTTATTTCGTGGCCTAAGTGTACTTGGCCGAGTTGTCTGAACCTTGATTTCCCCGCTTTTCAAAGGAGGGGCCTGGCTACGGCCCCTGTCCCCCATCTGTGGTTCCCATACGGGGCCATCTCCCCAATGATGCAGCCCCAGGACTAAGGGGTGCGGGCGGGCCAGGCAATCACCCACCGGCCAGGTAACCACCCACCCGGTCAGGTGACCACCCACCCAGTCAGATAACCACCCACCCGGCCAGGTAACCACCCACCCCGCCAGGTAACCACCCACCTGGCCAGGTAGCCACCCACATGGCCAGGTAACCACCCACCCGGCCAGGTAACCAACCACATGGCCAGGTAACCACCCACCCGGCAGGTAACCACCCACAGGGCCAGGTAACCACCCACATGGCCAGGTAACCAATCACAGGGCTAGGTAACCAACCACAGGGCCAGGTAACCAACCACAGGGCAGGTAACCACCCACCCGGCCAGGTAACCACCCATACGGCAGGTAACCAACAACCAATGGGCACAGGGCCTGTGCTCGCAGTGTCTGCCCTGAAGCCCCAAGGTCCTGTGAGATCAAGGATCCCTGTTGCCGGTAGCTGCACCATAGGGTGACCCCAAAATGCAGGCACACACGTTGAGGGATTATAAAGGCAGTGTTTATTAAAGTACATGTCACTTTCCACATTGAGCCATCAGCTGTGAAGGTGGGTACATTGGTTGGGGACACCCTGTATTTGAGGCCAGAAGTTCAGGACGCCGCCCAGGTGCTCAGGGAGATTTTAGGGATCCGAGAGGGAAAAGGAACACATCTTCCAGAGTCTTTTGAGGATAACGGAGGCTCGTGAGAAAACGGACAAAGGTGTGGCGGGTGGAGAAGGTTCTTGCTTTGGTCTTTGTGGAATTCCTGTAGGCCTGAGGGCAGTAGTGGGCTAAAATCGAAGGGTACCGAAATGTTTGTCTCTGCCAGGGGCTCGACAGTCCAACACAGACTTTGGGAACCCACAGCTCATTAATTCATTCCAGGACTAATTATTGAGAACCTCGGCTTTGGCAGGCACAGAGATTTCTGGGAACACAGCGGGGAAACAAAGTCACGGCCCTCAGGGAACTCCCGTGTTTTAAGGAAGATGCACCCCGCTGGAGGGAAGCCCGGGGCTGGGTGCCAGAGGAAAGCCTGTGCCGGCAGCAGGGGGAAGAAAGGCCTACTCTTGCACAGATTTCCTGCATTGGGCCTCTAGTAGCTAGCGAAACTGTCAGGTCTGGTGTGGAAGGAGGCGAGGAGACCAGCTAGGAAGCTATTTCAAATACACGTACAGGAGATAGGCGTATGTATGTACTGGTATGTGTGAAAAGTGGGTAGCCCAATGGAGGTGGTGAGAAGATGAGTTATGGACCAGTTTTGAAGGCAGAGCCTACACAATTTGCCGATGGAGAGAAAGGAATCAAAGATGGTTGCAGCCCGGTCAGCATGGCTCAGTGGTCGAGCATGGACCTACGTATGAACCAGGAGGTGACGGTTCCATTTACAGGGCGGGCTTATGTCCAGGTTTCAGGCTCAATCCCCAGTGGGGGGCGTGCAGGAGGCAGCCAATCAATAATTCTCTCATCATTGATGTTTCTATCTCTCCCTCCCCTTTTCTCTCTGAAATCAATAAAAATATATTTTAAAAAAAACACCAACAAAGATGGCCACCATATTTTTTTTTAGCCTGAGAGGACATTGCTGTCCAATAGAAATATACTGTGCCAGTATATACCAGAGGTCATCGAACACTTTCAAGTCGCTACATCAGAGAAAGGAAAAAGGAACAGGTGACATTTTAATAATGTATTTTACTTAACTCGGTCTACCGAAAACATGATTTCAGCATGCAACCAGTATGAAAAGCTATTAATGAGATATTTCAGATTCTTTTTTTTTCATGCTGAGTCTTAGAAGTGTGATGTCTATTTTTCACTTCTGATTGTCTCAATTCCGGGAGCTACATTTCAGGTGGCTAGTGTGGGAGACCAGTCAGGGAGAGAGAGGAAGAAAACCGAGGGGGTGGGCCCGGAGGGTGAGATTCAGGACTTTGGTTGTGGACTATCAGCCATCTAGGGCTGTCCACTTCCTCGTTGTTAGGATAGATCTTTGGCCCCCAATCCAAAGCTAAATCATTTTCCCCTTGCAAACGCATTTAGCTTGCTGTTGAAATCTCGGCTCCCCTCCCGCGTTTGACGGGAGGGGTGTAGATGGGCAGTCTGGCTGGAGAAAGGACGGGGAAGGAGGGCTGGAGGCTGAGTTTCTTGATTTTTTTTTTTTTTTAAATATATTTTATTGATTTTGTACAGAGAGGAAGGGAGAGAGATAGAGAGCCAGAAACATCGATGAGAGAGAGTCATCGATCAGCTGCCTCTTGCACACCCCCTACTGGGGATATGCCCGCAACCAAGGTACATGCCCTTGACCGGAATCGAACCCGGGACCCCTCAGTCCCCAAGCCGACGCTCTATCCATTGAGCCAAACCGGTCCCGGCTGGAGGCTGAGTTTCTATGGGACAGATAACAAACAGCAGTGGCTGAAGGCAGAGATAAGGTGGCTTCTCTCTCCCCGGCGGAAGCCTCTGGGTTAGCAGTTCGGGGCTGCGGGGGGCGGGGAGGGGGGGCAGCTCAGTCACGTCCCAGGAAGCCAGCCCTCCCAGGCCCACAGCGTCCTCGCTCTTGCTGCCTGGACCTCCTCACCGTACAGACAGACAGCCACAGCCACGGCCATATCCAAGTTTGGGCAACAGGACGAGGAAGAAGAAAGGCAGTGGGAGCCTCCTCCCTTTGAGAATTCCTGGGAACCCACACAGCAGTCCTGCTTGCAGCCAGCAGTCAGAACGTGGCCACCAGGCGCACACATACCCTGTCCCTCTCTCTCTGGGCAACTACAGAATGAACCCAAACCCACGTTTTGTTTGTGGACGAAAGGAGCCACATGCTAACCTGACAAGCTCAGGGGAGGCCTGCATGGCAGTCTTGCAAACTCAGAGACCTAAAATAACCACCAAAGATGGTCTGAAAATTAAATATTTAACTACAAACAGGTTATAGTGGGCAGTCATTCCTAGGCTGATATTTTCCCTGTCAAAGATCAACTTCGATCTTTCCTGAGCCCATTGGCCTTTTTGCCTCTAAGATAACATATCTGTGAGATGTCTGGGTAACTTGTAACTTCCCTTTGTCTGGAGCCCCCGGGGCACAACCAAATGTGATGGGTGCCACCAGGACAGATACCACAAATTCCTTCATTATCATGTTAATTGTTTCTGCACCCACCTAAGCATGTGTCCATCATTTTACTTTTTATCCAATCCCTGGGTTTCCCACTGCTTTGCTTTATCCCGCCTCCTTAATCCATCACCAATGGATTTCATGTAACCCACCCATGTCCCTCCTTTGATTTCAATAAATAAATACAGGTGTTACCCGCCATTCTTCGGAGCATTATCTCTATTCATTGAGGTTCTGCTTCCTGGCTTATGTTGACAGTTTGGCTCAAATAAATTCACTACAATTCTTCACAAGTTTCAATGTGGGTCTTTTGTTTGTTTGTTTGTTTGTTTGTTTTCTTCGTTGACAGTTATCAAGGGGAGAGAGAACAGATTTGAGCAGGTCACAGGTTGCCTGGTACTTTATAGTCTTCATTTGAGTCACGATTAAGGCAATAAAGAGGGCTTGGAGCAGGAGGACGGATGGAAGGCTCTGGAAGAGTGACTCCCAGGAAGAAGTGGATCTGATGATTTACCGTGCCTGGCCCCGTGGCGAGAGGTTTCACAACCCCCTCCGTTTCCTGCCCCTCGGCTTGGCAGTGGGTCTGCGATTGGCACACAGAAAACGAAGCCAACCACCTCGCCCCTGCCCCTTGCCCCGGGAAAGTCTTGGTGGAGAAGCCAGGCTCAGATCCGGCTGTGAGCCGAATGAGCTAGCTCCAAGGAAACCCAGAACCGGCCGCTCACCCCAGAACACAAGGCCTGGGGAAGTCACGTTCGCTGCTGGTCACACCCCAAAGGAAGAGGGACAGAGCAAGCCACACCCGTCCGCCCATCCGGTTCTTCTTCCCCAAGGTAGCCTCCAGGTAAGTCCCTCTGCCTCTGGGGAAGGGAGGGGCTGCAGGGGAGAGCCTCCAGAGTCTGTTTAGGGAAGAAGCTCCTTTAAGAAAACGAGAAGCCGAAACCGGTTTGGCTCCATGGATAGAGCTTAGGCCTGCAGACTGAAAGGGCATGCACCTTGGTTGCAGGCACATCCCCAGAAGGGGGTGTACAAGAGGCAGCTAATCAATGATTCTCTCTCATCGATGTTTCCAACTCTCTATCCCTCTCTCTTCCACTCTGTAAAAAAATTAATAAAAATATATTTAAAAAAAAAAAAAGAATGAAAACGAGAAGCATTCTCCTCCAGGCATCAAGCATTGACCCCTCCTGCTCTAGTTCCTAAACTTCTGGGACCTTCTCTTCTAAGGATGTACAGAACTCACATGTAGGAAATGCTTTGAAAATTGGTATGCCCCACAACTAGTTAATAACAAATATTCAGTGAACAT